TATATTCCAGTATTCCAGAAAATTCAAGCAGCGTCCCCTTGCGCCTCCCCAGATCTGCGCCGGAGAATCTGAATAGAACTTCAATGTTTGATTTCATATTAAACTGCAAGGGATGAAGGCTTGCATCTATAAGACATGCAGTGAAGACGGATCATAATGGTTTGGGTGCAATCCAGGCCGACTCGACAAAGCTTGATTGGTGACATCTTTGAAGGAATATACGCATTTGCATCGATACATCAGTGCTCTTATTGTGGGGCTCTACAGTTGCAAAACAGTGTTTGAATTCAACTGGTTACATAAGAAAGAACATTCACTCGCTATTGTGTTGCGGCTTTCATCCGATCAGGCGCAGTCAATAAATTCTTGGTTCTGGTAAGAATTTTGCTCAACTTTCTACACCTTACCTGCTGTATCTGTTATTATTACATGTATACACCCGGTATATTGGGCTTCCAAGTAGTAAAAAGAAATCAGTGTATTGCATACCAAAGTGACTATGCAATATTGTATTACATGTATTATAGCATGGGCATCCCTATAACAATATTGTTATTGCTTGTGCAATATTATACAAATATTGAGTGGCTCAGCGTGGAATGGGAGGAATATTATCGCAAGGTAAAATCTGGACTTTTCCATTTCACGAGGCGAAGCCGAGTGAACTGGAAAAGTCCAGATTTTACCGTGCGATAATATTCCTCCCATTTCACAATTTAAAGCCACTCAATATTTGTTTTATATAACTGACATAGATCCTTTTCATTTGATATATTTGAACTTTTTTTCAATGCAAAACTGGAGGAAAATGTATTTCCCTCTTCCAAGCCACCCTTTCACGAAAATGTTTGAACCCAACGCTGTAGCGCTGGCTCTTTGGAATGCTACGCGCAACGCTGAACGCGCACACCAGCATGCATTTGCACACAAATACCGCGTCATGATCTTAACTGTTGAATAGTATTTCCCATTCCCCATGGGCGGATAGTACTTTTTGAGCCGCGGCATGAATGGGAGCAATAACGAATGCCACGTGATGTGAGTTCCACCAATCAAATGACAAGGATCTGTATGTCGGTTATATAAATTCTTCTATCCCCCCTCAAAGCTTTGCAATATTTTGATGTGAAATGTGTCGCTTAAAATGCGGTTCCTTCAAAATTACTTGAAATGTACTCCGTTTATGTTCAATATGAAAACTGAACATTGGTCATTTTAAAAAGAAAATTTAGAGTATTATTTAATGTTGATTGTGATTGCTTAGCCAGTTTAAAGTCAGTCATGAAAGTCATTCTGTCAGTGACTCAGTCAGTCAAGTCAGGACGGAGAAAAGGTTCTTCAAAGGATACTTTTGCATATTTCACCACACTGTATGAGTAAAAATTAATTGCCTACTATTCCGTTTTCTATAATTAGACCATTGAAATTAAAACGTGGAATTACGATCGCAAACCGATTGACAAAATTGCCAGCTGGCCGGAAATTCCCATTGAAGGTTTCATTATCCTTATCGGGTGATGTATTGCTTTGAGTAGAAGTTCAGTACGGGTCACGTTAAGCACACCCACTTAATTTCAGTTTAATCAAGCCTTATTGCATGAAATTGCCACCGGATGAAGGATCATTATTAAATGACTGAGCAGACAATCGGCATAAACCGGTAAGCTGGTTAATCTAATTTTAACTCATTAATCAGTTAAATTAACTATTCAAATATGCAAATAAGTCTGCTGGTCCAATCATCTCAAAGTAGGATTTGCAAAGACTGTTCATCGTTAATTATATAAGTTGACTTTTGAAATCCCCTCCACAGAAAAAAGTAGTGGGAAAAATAATCACATAAAACCCATAAAATAAAACTGGCTGCATTAAAAATTTATTTTGGTCAGTGGTTCGATATTTCCGATTCGGTATTTAACAACGTGGATGGTACATAGCTGAGCACCCAGCTTACCGGCATATACCGGTAAGCTGCTTAATCTTATCACAACTCATTAATCGGTTTAATTAACCATTTGTTATGCAAATAAGTCTGCTGGTCCGATCATCTCAAAGTAGGATTTGCAAAGACTGTCCATCGTTAATTGACTTTTGAAATCCCATCCGCAGAAAATAGTAGTGGGGAAAAATAATCACATAAAACCCATGAAATAAAACTGGCTGCATTACAATTTATTTTGGTCAGTGGTTCGATATTTCTGGTTCGGTACTTGTCAACGTGGATGGTAAATAGCTGAACATCCAGCTGTGCTACAACAGTTGCTTGTGCAAACAGATCTACGGCAAGAGTGTTGCCGAGCTTTGCCTGTATTCAAACACTAATAGTGTGTAACACATCAGAAGCAGAAACTACTCTGGTGAGTGGTGAAGCCTTTGTCGATCTGTCGTCTTCCATCAGACAGAGCGAGATTCTGTCGCAGGCTTTAAAGACATAGCACTACAAACGGGGAAGGAACGCTGATGCTAAATTTGTCGCCTGTTAATGGAGCGTGCCCGTTGGAAAGTTCCGGCCGTTGTGTTTTGACCGACACGAGGCAACATCAAAGTCTCTCTTTAACAGACTTTGACGATAGTTCTGCAAAGGGGAAGAATTAACGCCTAGCAGAATTTGCTACCTGTTAACGGAGCGTGCCCACCAGAAACTTCCAGTGGTTGTTTTTTGGCCGACACGAGGCAACATCAAAGTCTCTCTTTAACAGACTTTGGCAACATTTCTACTAAGGGGAAGAATAAACACTGAGCTGAATTTGCTACCTGTTAATGGAGCGTACCCGTTTGAAATTTCAAGCGATTTATTTTTTGCCGACTCGAGTAGTCATCAGAGTCTAAATCCGGCTGAACCTCAACCTGGCACTTGTCTTGTTTTGAGGGACGAACTTGCCAAATATTTTGATATTTTTTTCATTTTTTATGTTTCATTCTCAAATTTTGTTTTCTCTCCAATAAGTGAATTATAGAGGGAGAGATTTATGGGTTTTAACTGAGCAACATTTGGATGACGCATCTTTAGATACCTAATGTCAGCTCGTGAAAAAAATATGGTTCCCCGTTGTTGAATTCGCCCGGATTACAATTGATCCGTCGTACGTAGTTGGACTGTTCTGCCTTGTTTTTCTGACCCACATGTCGCAGTGGCTTTGCCCAGCTCTCATCAATATTTCATTTTGCATTGCGAGGAAGGTAACTGCACTGCAGGCCTCACAACAAGAGGATTTTTCAACACCTGTTTGTTAAACGCTTGTTGTTGTTTTTTGGCTTGCGATTGGGTTCCTGGCAAGACGTAACCTTTTGGGAGAGAGACCCATCTTTCTGCAACTAATGGAATCATTTTCAAGATATATTTGTGGACAGGATTGAGCTTTGTTTGCCGTCTTGTTGATTAAGGTGACTTTTGTCGCTGGATGACTTGAACACACTGCACAGCCAATTTGAACTCCGCGAGGACTTTGGAAATCATGAGAAAACCTCTCCAAGCTAGCCGCGCTGGTAGGCATCTTGCACAACTTCAGCCATCTGTTCTCGAAACATGAGCATATCACTCAATCATTTATTTGTGGTCTTTTTTTTGCATGGAAATGTCATGTTGTCACTTTACATATTTCTTTCTTCGTTATTTAGATAAAATATCACAATTTTCACTGATATTTACATGTATCTATGATGAACCAAAGGCTATTTTTTAATGTAGATTTTTATTTAGTTGATGTCATACTTTATAATATTGTCATATGTTCATTTTGGTTTTGCCTGTCTTGGGTACATAATTATATAGTGCAATGTATTCGTTTAAGTATAGAGTACCGAAGTGAATACATCACGAGCACAATTATGTGTGTAAAAGACATTAGCGCGTGATTCAGCCCATGAACCAACATGCACGCGTACTCCATTCGTTTGCACTACACTTCCCGGTTCTAAATGACGTCACACTTCGTTACTCTGCAACTTTTGAGTCAGTAAGAACTACATGTATTGTAAGAAGTACATGTAATCTTGTCATTTTGGGGGAAAAATTAAGTTCTTAATTAGCTTGACACCTACCACGTAGCACACTTTACTTTTGAAATGTTGTGTAGGGTGAAATTTGAATGAAATGTGGACTCATTGGTTGTATTGCACATGCCTAAGTGAAGATAAGTAGGACAGTGACTTGGTCATGTGTGAGAGTTGAAATCCATATAAGTCCAAAGAGATAAGATTTCAGAGGAGTCCGAATTTCATATGACACCGGTGCCACGGGCGTAGATGCACACTTGGAACCTAATTGGTATTGCAGAGCCACGCTCATATAATCATGCCTTGAGCATCTATGTATAATAAGCTCGGACGATAATATTCAAAACGACTTGAGAACGACCAGGGTGATGCACATGTAAGCGGGTTACATGAGTTCACACAAGATTTCCTTAAAATATTGCGGTATGTCACATGATAATTTTCAACCAATGAAATTTCTCAATCCATTTTGTGGCTACACAAGATTTTGTGAAATACGTCACATGATAATTCTAAACCAATGAAATTTTACAATCCATTTTGTGGCCGCACAAGAATTTGTGAAACACGTCACATGATAATTGTCAACCAATGAAATGTCTCAATCCATTTTGGGGCCACACAAGATTTGCTTTCTTTTTTTTAAATTTTTGGCGCATCTTAAAAGGGTTCATGGTGCACTTCGAAATATAATTGGAAAATCACGCCAAAATCTAATTTCTCTGGAACTTTGTTGATTGTACTTTAATTCAAGATTTATGAACGGGAATGTTTAGAGCTCGATGAAATTTCACAGTTGTGTGAAATTTGAGGTAAAAATTTTGCTCTAGCAAGGCGCTAGAGGCAAAAAATCCAAGTTCGCCACGTTAGGGTCTGTTCCACGTTAGGGTTCATCAGCAAGGTACTAGAGGCGAACAATCAAAGTGTTCCACGTTAGGGGCCACCCCACGTTAAGGGTACACCACAATAATTTTGTTGCTTTTTCCGTGTTGTCATTCCTCCAGATTATCCCATGAAAGAGGAACTCATGAATCAAATCGCCAGTTTCCAGCGTAGCCGGCTCAACGAGCAGCGGTCCAGCATCTGCAACCTGCCGGGCCTCAAGACCAACAATGAGGAGGTGCTGGGCCAGCTGCTGCAAAAGGGCAACCAGGGCGTGCCCGATGACGACTTCTTTGATATGCTAATGAGATGTCAGGTAAGCTTAACACATGCAAATCCATTTGCATACATTTGCATACATTTACATTTGAATGTGGGGTATGCAAATGAGATTTATTTGGATGACAACTTGTGTTTTTGTTCAAAAGGGCAACCAGGGGGTGCCAGATGATGACTACTTTGATATGCTTATGAGATGTCAAAATCTCATTTGCATACATTTGCATTAGAGTATGGAATGTGCTAATGGTTTATTTGGATGACAAGTGTTTTTGTTTTGTCAAAAGTTGATTCTCAAAAAAATTGTCACTTTAAGGAGCAAATTATTTTTAAAAAAGGGGACAAAAGTTTTTTCTTGAATAGTGAATTTTTTGGATACTTTAAAACCTCAAATCAAATGGTATTAATCATCTGACAAGTTTTTATTTAAGCACCCAAAACTCTAAGCTTGAGTCTTGAATTAAACATGCACTTATTTTTTAAAAAGGTCTGGCCGCCACACAGAAGTGGACTGGAAAAGGCAAACCAACTGGAATTTATTTCTTCCTTTTTTTGTAGATTTTTTTTCTGAAAAATTCAAATGTCATTAAAAGTCAATTGTAATTCCTGAACAGATTTTACCAATCACATTTTGCAATCCTCAAACATATTATTCTGTCTTTTTTAAGTTTATTGTTTTAAGTTCTCGTTAATCATTGAATATTGGACAAACATATTGAACATTTCAGAGCCAAAAGAAAAATTGATTGCGTATTTCCCTGACGAAGTATCAATATTTAAACATCTGCCATTCAATAAATTGTTGAAAGTGTCCTACATGTATGGATTTTCCTAGTTTTTACCAGAGCCATTAGACCTAAAAAGCGTAGGCACAAGTTGGACGTCATCGCTTTTGTGAGACTTCCAACAGAACCCTATATCTGAGAATTGTTATTGAGATCAATCATTGTGCTAAAGCTCTTGATGAAAATATTTACCCCTCATATTGAATATATCAATATATTTTCTGCACATATGCTAAATTTAAGGGGTGTTGTGACAGGATTCCGTTATTAATGCTCGTAAAATTGTGTGCCCGAAGCCACACTTTTTAAAACCACCTTCCGTGATTGTTTTCCTTTGATTGAACCATTTCAGGCAGAATTATTTCACAGGGTATTTTTGGGACTAGCCCTGTCTTCACTTTGATCAGGGTTTTCCTCATTATTTCGGTCGAAACAAACTTTCACACTCGATCGGTCGATGTGTTTCCCTTTTTTTCCGGGTGCTTACCAATATTCCCACGTGCCTTCCATGCAGGGCTCCAGGATTAACGACCAACGCAGTGAGCCCCCGGTCTTACAGCCTGCTCCCACCGTCCCCGATGAGGACTTCTTTGCCTTGATCCAACGCGTCCAATCCAAACGCATGGACGCCCAACGGTCCGACAAGGGACCACAAGATCAGACGAAGTAATCACCAGTCACGAGACTGCATTGCTTGAAGCGAGACGAACGCGTATCCGGACTTTTCGGCCGAGTCGGCATCGCACTTTATTCACATCACAGTCACCTTGATCGGAAGAGTCTGGAGCGGCCATTGGGTGACTTTCGTAAACATTTGCAAATGCCAGTCTCTTGAGGGCGCTGTTCGTGTGGGCGCAAGTCGAATGCGCGTCTGAACAATGTACATTGATTCTGTGATGTTCACTATGATGAAAATTAAATAACAGTGTGATCTTGTGTGCGATCGCTGCGTAGTCCTGTATTGTGTGGTGTGTGTGTTCAGGGGAGTGTTACTGATATTGACATCCTTTGGGAATGGAGGGGGATAAACATCCCCTGGGTAGGGGAGGGGTCATGCTGCATGGGGGTGGGTTACGGCTGAAATTTTTCACGGAGTCATTCCAGGTGGTTATAAAACTCAGACGTAGAAACTCCCCCAAAGGTACACAATGGCACAGCACCATTTTATAGCCACTTGAAATACCCAAAAAAAAGAACACGCTTGATGAACTAACTTCTAGTTTTTCAATAGCCTGGTCCAAGATTTGATTTCAAATTTATTTTCTCAGTACAATGGAACTTCGCTATACCGAACACCGCTATATCAAACATTCAGCTATGCCGAACATCGTCATTGGCCCCTGATTTTTGTGTACAAAACGTACTGAACATTGTTGTTGAAAAATGGCAACAGAAGAGCAACAAGTGGCTATTATCTCCCCAAGGAATAGAAGGGGAAAGCCACCCATTGCTCTAGGTAGTAAGCTCAACTGTGTAACGGTAAATTACATAATTCAATAGTCGGCACATGTTCAAAGTCTTTCTGTAACTACTAGTACCAGGGCATGCAGGGTGAAGTTCTGAAGGGGGCTATTTATTGAAAAGTGAGTACCGGAGCGCCGGCAGCTTAAAATCGCTATACTGAACGATCACTATTATGAACAATTTATGTGGATCCCGCAATGTTTTTATAGCGGCGTTCCACTGTACAGCTGGTTGCCGACAAGTGCGGTAAAGCCAACAATATCAAGTCTTGGGAATTTTGGCAGCGCTACCCAGGAAATTCCGAGCATACCTCACGCATTCAAGCTTTATGTGCACACATGAGCTGCTTAGAATTACCTGGATTGCCAGTGATCGGGAAAATAAAATTCAAAATTCAATCTTGGACGAAGACGAGTCACTTGATGCCATTAATGGGATTCATTGGTGTTTCTGCCCGTGTCATTGCACTGGCAGTTTTTAATAAGTGTATCGGTTGGAAATTAGTTCCAATCGATGTGCAAAATACGGTGCGAAAATGACGTCAACTTTGTAACACGTAATAAATATCGCAATGGTTTTTAATTAATCACATCCTACGTGTAGCATTCTCCGCCACTCAAGCAGTTGTTGAAACATTTTACTGAAACTCTTCCAAGTTTTCACGATTCTGCAACAACTGTTTGAGGTTTAGTAAATTGTCGAGGTGCCTTTTTTAAAAACTTCTGTCTTACTTGAATACATATGTAGTTTTACGTGTTTTATTTATTTTAAGGGAGTTGTAGTGATGTGTAGATATTTACCACATATTTCAAGGGTTTATCTCTCTACTTTTTTTGAGAGCAGTTTAGAGTCTTACCTGATGATCTTTTTCATCCTGTTTGGTCGGTACATGTGTTGCGTATTTAGGTCTATTCTAAACTGTAGGCCTAGGAGACGAACACAACAAAATATTTGAAAATGGGCATATGGGAAGACAGCTATGTAAGAACAAAGGGAAAGAATGTCGCATCCTGACGCCACTTTTTTTCATGTTATCTCAATGAACGTCAGTCATTTCAAAAACATTGAAAAGATATGAATCTGGACTTGAAACATTTCCAATTTTGTTAAAAAATACTTTGAATAAATGCACTCAACTCGGCATTGACTTTGTATGCAACCAAAGAAGTTGCGTCCGGATACTACATTTTTTCCCAACAAAGGATGTTTTTTTGATTATGTGGAAAATAACAGGCCTAAACAAATTCCCAATAGCCAAATTCTTGTTGGAATTTGAACTGTGTCAAGCAAGCACACATGTATTAACAACGAAAAGCCACTATACAGCAGCATCGATAAGTGTTCATTGTTATGGCCCATGTCTTACCATACAACAGTGAATGAAACTTGGTTCTGATACAGACCTGCCTGTTAAGCCCCGCCCACAGCACACTCGGGCACTAATTGCGCATCTCCAATACCACACTGCATGTTGCAGTCACATGTGTCATTAAACGCATGTGCACGCATGTCGGACTTTAGTGAACGTATGTTGGTCATTAATCACAGCTGTGATTGGTCAAGACATCATGAGGTGGGGCTTAACAGGGTGGGGCTTAACGGGGCGGGGCTTAACAGGCGGGGCTTAACACATCGGTCTATTGGTCTTTGGTCTTGGTTGAACTATGCAACAAACCCTTGTGTGGTTGTTCGTGAGCATTTGATGTTTAGATGATCAATAAGCCTGACACTTTCTTCTGTATTTTTGTTGTTGGCTTGTTGACTTGTCCTATCGGTTCTCAGGGCCCAGCTCAATAAGCAAGTATGGCGAGTACTCGACTACTCTCAAGTAATGTCCTCACGAGTACTCGAGTTGTAAAGTACACAACACGCCCAGGACTACTGGGCATTACACCAACGATATTAACTTAGTAAATGTGAGCTGAATGCTTTGATAATCTTTTTGTTACACATATCGAGTCACCGTTGAAGATGTAGGATTTCAGAGTAGAGTTCGACGTAATTAGAAATGGTCCAAACACAGTTCAAGCCTGTTAATTTTAAAATATGAAAACTGGCCACTCGCAGCAGTTTTCTCAGTTAATTACGCTGTATAAACTTAAACTGTACATGTAACTAGTGTCTTAGAAACCCATGTTTGTAAACCTGTAAATACTCTCCACGTCCATGTAAATGAAGAGAATTTGTAAAGATGTGTGATTCTGGGTGAGGTTTTTAAGTACATCGGTGAACAAGTTGGTGGTTTTGGGGTTTTTTTTTTTTTTTTGAGGGATGCGACTTAATTTTTTTATATGTATGTACAGGAACAAAACCCGAAACAAAACTTGTAAATATCTTTTAGGGGTTTTGGTCCCCTAGCACTCGGCTTTTTATGGAGCTCGTGTGCTGTATATTTCTGTTGATTATAATCAATGAATGTAGATACGTATTTGTAAATGAAATGAATGAATGTGTTGAATGTAGCGTCCAAACAATCCGGTCCTCGTGTGCACGTGGGCCGAGTTTTATTCAAATCGTAAGTAGACGAAAAATGATGTAATAGACACGGAACGGTACCACTGCACAATAAAGCAGCACGGTGTTCTCTGAAATACACAAATGTTGTTTCAAACTTGTCTTATCCTTGCCGGTTTTTGTAAAGTTGTTTTTAAAAAAAATTCATTTGGTCTTTGTTTAAGGCAATTGGACAAGTGAACCTCTGAAATTTCAGGGTGAATTAAAAAAAGGCATCCCAAATGGCAGGACCAATTTTGAACGAAGTTGTGCCTGTAGCACTTTCAAAATCTAGGCTATGAAAGCCCAATCAATGGGCTTTCTTTTAGTACAGGAATCATTCAAATCACTCATGTACTTTTCAAGTTACGGGATTTTAAACACAACCACCGTTTTAATTTCTGTGCACGGATCACAGAAAAGGTGTGCGTTCTTTCAGCAAAACGAAAACAATTCACACACATCCCAGGCCCCTATGTTAATTCGTGTTAATGGCTTAAACGCGCAATTTCCCCATTCTAGAATTATTCCCATAAAAGACCTTTTTAACTTTGAACGAAGTTTTGAAAAATGGTGTTATTAATGGAAAACATTCCAACTCTTATGTTATCTATAAATAACCCCGACACTTGGTATAATATTGCAAATATTGAAGAAACATTGATTCATGTTGTGCTCTCTTTCTAAAGGCGGAAGCAAGGGCGGATCCAGGGGTGTTGGGGGGGGGGGGCAATGGGGGCCATCCCCCACCCCCCCCCCCCCCAAAAGAAACCCATTTTTTTAAGTGACGACGCAATAAAGGCAGGCACTACGTACACCACAATGTGACCACATAGAGCTATATTAAATATAATTCTATGGTACACCACCATCTTTTCTATTAAAAAAAATGGTCAAAGTGGTCAAGTTTGTCTCAGTTCGCACCACATGATCGCATCTACAATCCCAACAAAAATTCAGGGCCCTTAAGCGTGCCCTGAACCCTACGCTGTATTTGACCAACTTTTTGGGACCCAAATTTTGTTCCCCCACTCCACCACCCATTGAAAGATTGTGGCCAACCTAACCCGGCCGCAAGAGGGGTATTGAATATCATGAGAAACAGTCCAACGATAAAAATAATATGATCGAAACAATGTAGTGTTTTACACGCGAAAAATTCACATTGATTTTCATCGGATTGCATTTGTCGCGCCTAAAACACTGTATTGTTACGGTCAATATATTGCTTCATTGTTTGACGGTTTCTTAAGGGAATGAATGTGTGCTCCGGAGGTTTTTTTTCACTCTGTTTAAGACTGCTTAGAGTCTGGGTGCTGATAATTACCCGAGCCGGAGGCGAGGGTAATTATCAGCACCCAGACTCTAAGCGGCCTTAAACAGAGTGATAAATACCGACCGAGCACATATTCATTCCCATTCATAAATACCTTTTCGGTGAAAAAATATCAAATAATTCGTTCAAAAAATCCCGATTTTGTTCAACAAGTTCACTTCATGCTTTTTGAAACATCCCTCTAGCAAAATAATGGAGTGTTTTGCTGGCGAGTAAGATGTAAACAACCCTTTTATGGAGATTGACGCGCGCGTAGCATGTTCTGCGCGATGTCACGCAGAACGCACCTGGGGCGTTGCGTTTTGAATTTAGAACTATAAAATTCTGACTCGCTGGTAGTGTTGCGCATGCCTACGTGAGGATTGTGAACGTTCAACCAATGAAACAGTAAGAGGCACTGGATTTTTAGGAGTCCACATTTTATTGTGACACTGGAAAAGTGTTTAAGACCGTGCTAGCCAGCATGTTTTATCATCCGTTTAAGACCGGCCAAGTGACGGGCTCTCGACCAATAGGATCTGAGGTATTTATGAATATGAAATTAAATCTCCTAATGTTAAGCATAATGACTAATCACTACACGAAAATTTAATTTAAAACTTCTTGTATTTCTGGAGTCGTTGCCCCCCAAACGAGTTTGGTGGTGGATAATTATCGAGACCACTATTTATGTGGCGCGCCCTCTATTAAATAAAAGAATATTTGTGCGGATGCTGCACTATTGAACAAAAATAACAACTCGTTTTCCGATCAAAAACTCAAGAAAAACAAGATGTATTAAACTGAAATTTCGTGCACTGATTTTCCACAATGTGTGTCAGAGGTGTATTGAACATCATGAGAAACAGTGCAACAATAAAACTAATATGATCGTAACAATATAGTGTTTTACCGCGCGAAAAATCTACATTGACTTTCATTCGGATTGCATTGGTCGCGCTTAAAACACTGTATTGTTACGGTCAATATTGCTTCATTGTTTGACAGTTTCTTATGAAATTAAATCTCGTAATGTTAAACATAATAACAAATCACTAGACGAAAATTCAATTTAACATCTTGTAGGTATTTCTGGAGTTGTTGCCCCCAAAACGAGTTTGGTGGTGGATAATTATCGAGAACACTATTTATGTGGCGCGCCCTCTATTAAATAAAAGAATATCGGTGCAGATGCTGCACTATTGAACAAAAATAACAACTCGTTTTCCGATCAATAACCCAAAAAATACAAGATGTATTTAACTGAAATTTCGTGCAATTTATTTCTACGATGTGTAACAGAGGGGTATTAAACATCATGAAAAACAGTCGAACGATACAAATAATACGATCGGGGGCAACAATTCCAGAAATACAAGATGTGGTCTCGTATAAAAAGTGGTCTTTATAATTATCTACCACCAACGAGTTTTGGTGGTGGATAATTATCGCGACCACTATTTATGTGGCGCGCCCTCTACTGAAAGAATATAAAAGTGTGAGACCAGCCGATGCTGCACTACTGAACAAAATTAACGACTCGTTTTCCGATGAACAACTCAAGAAATACAAGATGTATTAAACTGAAATATCGTGCACTGATTTTCCACAATGTGTGTCAGAGGTGTATTGAATGTCATGAGAAACAGTGCAACAATAAAGATAATATGATCGTAACAATGCAGTGTTTTACACGCGAAAAATCCACATTGATTTTCATTCGGATTGCATTGGTCGCGCTTAAAACACTGTATTGTTACGGTCAATATAGCTTCATTGTTTGACGGTTTCTGATGAAATTAAATCTCCCAATGTTAAATATCATGACAAATCACTACACGAAAATTCAATTTAGTACATCCTGTATTTCTGGAGTTGTTGCCCCCCAAACGAGTTTGGTGGTATATAATTATCGAGACTACTATTTATGTGGCGCGCCCTCTACTGAAAGAATATTCAAGTGCGAGACCAGCCGATGCTGCACTATTGAACAAAATTAACAACTCGTTTTCCGATAAACAACTCAAGAAATACAACATGTATTCAACTGAAATTTCGTGCACTGATTTTCCACAATGTATGTCAGAGGTGTGTTGAATATCATGAGAAACAGTGCAACAATAAAAACAATATCATCGTAACAATGCAGTGTTTTACACGCGAAAAATCCACATTGACTTTCATTCGGATTGCATTGGTCGCGCTTAAACCACTGTATTGTTACGGTCAATATTGCTTCATTTTTTGACGGTTTCTTATAAAATTAAATCTCCTCATGTTAAACATTATGAAAAATCAATCCACGAACATTCAATTGAATACATCCTGTATTTCTGGAGTTGTTGCCCCCCAAACGAGTTTTGTGGTAGATATTTATCGAGACCACTATTTATGTGGCTCGCCCTCTACTGAAAGAATATTAAAGTGCGAGACCAGCCGATGCTGCACTATTGAACAAAATTAACATCTCGTTTTCCGATGAATAACTCAAAAAATACAAGATGTATAAAACTGAAATTTCGTGCACTGATTTTCCACATTGTGTGTCAGAGGTGTATTGAATATCATGAGAAACAGTGCAACAACAAAAACAATACGATCGTAACAATGCAGTGTTTTACACCCGAAAAATCCACATTGACTTTCATTCGAATTGCATTGGTCGCGCTTAAACCACTGTATTGTTACGATCAATATAGCTTCCTTTTTTGACGGTTTCTTATAAAATTAAATCTCCTCATGTTAAACATTATGAAAAATCAATCCACGAAAATTCAATTGAATACATCCTGTATTTCTGGAGTTGTTGCCCCCCAAACGAGTTTTGTGGTAGATAATTATCGAGACCACTATTTATGTGGCTCGCCCTCTACTGAAAGAATATTAAATTGCGAGACCAGCCGATGCTGCACTATTGAACAAAATTAACATCTCGTTTTCCGATGAATAACTCAAAAAATACAAGATGTATAAAACTGAAATTTCGTGCACTGATTTTCCACATTGTGTGTCAGAGGTGTATTGAATATCATGAGAAACAGTGCAACAACAAAAACAATACGATCGTAACAATGCAGTGTTTTACACCCGAAAAATCCACATTGACTTTCATTCGAATTGCATTGGTCGCGCTTAAAACACTGTATTGTTACGATCAATATAGCTTCATTTTTTGACGGTTTCTTATAAAATTAAATCTCCTCATGTTAAACATGGTGACAAATCCATACACGAAAATTCAATTGAATACATCCTGTTTTTCTGGAGTTGTTGCCCCCCAAACGAGTTTTGTGGTAGATAATTATCGAGACCACTATTTATGTGGCGCGCCCTCTACTGAAAGAATATTCAAGTGCGAGACCAGCCGATGCTGCACTATTGAACAAAATTAACAACTCGTTTTCCGATGAATAACTCAAGAAATACCAGATGTATTAAACTGAAATTTCGTGCACTGATTTTCCACACTGCCGTGTCAGAGGTGTATTGAATATCATGAGAAACAGTGCAACAACAAAAACAATATGATCGTAACAATGTAGTGTTTTACACGCGAAAAATCCACATTGACTTTCATTCGGATTGCATTGGTCGCGCTTAAAACACTGTATTGTTACGGTCAATAAAGCTTCATTGTTTGACGGTTTCTTATGAAATTAAATCTCCTAATGTTAAACATCATGAGAAATCACTCCACGAAAATTAAATTGAATATATCCTTTATTTCTGGAGTTGTTGCCCCCAAACGAGTTTTGTGGTAGATAATTAGTGAGACCACTATTTATGTGGCGCACCCTCTACTGAAAGAATATTCAAGTGCGAGACCAGCCGATGCTGCACTATTGAACAAAATTAACAACTCGTTTTCCGATGAATAACTCAAGAAATACAAAATGTATTCAACTGAAATTTCTTGCACTGATTTTCCACATTGTGTGTCAGAGGTGTATTGAAAATCATGAGAAACAGTGCAACCATAAAGATAATACGATCGTAACAATGCAGTGTTTTACACGCGACAAATCCACATTGACTTTCATTCGGATTGCATTGGTCGCGCTTAAAACACTGTATTGTTACGGTCAATAAAGCTTCATTGTTTGACGGTTTCTTATGAAATTAAATCTCCTAATGTTAAACATCATGAGAAATCACTCCACGAAAATTCAATTGAATATATTTTTTATTTTTGGAGTTGTTGCCCCCCAAACGAGTTTTGTGGTAGATAATTATCGAGACCACTATTTATGTGGCGCGCCCTCTACTGAAAAAATATTCAAGTGCGAGACCAGCCGATGCTGCACTATTGAACAAAATTAACAACTCGTTTTCCGATGAATAACTCAAGAAATACAAGATGTACAAAACTGAAATTTCGTGCACTGATTTTCCACATTGTGTGTCAGAGGTGTATTGAATATCATGAGAAACAGTGCAACAACAAAAACAATACGATCGTAACAATGCAGTGTTTTACACGCGACAAATCCACATTGACTTTCATTCGGATTGCATTGGTCGCGCTTAAAACACTGTATTGTTACGGTCAATATAGCTTCATTGTTTGACGGTTTATTATGAAATTAAATCTCCTAATGTTAAACATAATGACAAATCACTACACGAAAATTAAATTGAAAACATCTTGTATTTCTGGAGTTGTTGCCCCCCCCCCCCCCCCAAGTGAGTCCCAAAAAATGCTTTAAGTACTTTTCCTAGTTTTTCCTAGTTTTTTGTTTGCTTGCCCCTATACTTTTCCCATTTTTTTCTCTTCAAATTTCTACTTTTTTTGTCCACAACTCCGAAAAAATGTAGTTTTTCATAACAGTGTTAATAATAAAAATCACACAATGAAGGGCTTGGGCGCAGAAGTATGGATATTCTTCCAAGAGCTTAGTTGAGGATGGAGCACAAATGTTGTGAGTACAGAACATGCCAATGAGGCTTATGATGCTGTGGACATGGGTGAGTATCAACAAAAACTACTCCTGAAAGCCTGCAAAAGTCCTACTTTTATCCTGATTTTGTCCTCCAAAGTCCTACTTTGTCCTTTTTGGTGTTTTTTTTTTGTTAATTATGATTCTACCATTCTACTTTTGCACCTGGGTTTCCTTTAAAGCCTACATACAATTTATTATGTAGACATTGTGATATGTCTTTGTCAGGCATGCCTTTGAAAATGGTCATGATTTTGAATCGGGAGGCCGAGGGAGCATTCATCATGCGTATTCTTTTGTCCCGCACACTAAAATAGCTCCTGAATAGCTCGGATAAGATCTATTACATTCCAGGAATCTTGCACAATAAAGACCCCCCCCCCAAACCTAGTTCTTTGCAACACCCGTGGTGCCATGTTGTTCGCTGTGACCCATTCTGGGTGAAGCGTTTGGTATTTGTTTTGTTCTTGTGGGTCAATTCGGGCGTTCCGGCTTTTCAATCATTGTTTCATGTGATTTCGGTTCTCTTGAAGTTGAATCTTGGATCGTTTTACTGGACTCGCCAGTCGAAAATGGGGGACCAAAACGATGTGATTCAGGTAAACGTTTCTTTTTTTTATTGCAAAAGATGTGACGAGAAGCAGCTTTGCATTCATGATGTGGTGGCAAGGTACAATGTCAGGTTAATAACTGTAGTTTTGATGGGGAGAAAAGGTTTCATCTCTAGTTTCTTTTCCTTTTCAGAGCCACACTTCTCCACAGAACGGATATTCTATACCCGCACACGACCCTTTTTATTACAAAGGATGTTAAGTTTGAATATCATAACCCCATTTTTATTTATAGGCCTACCAAAAGTAGTCAAGTCGCAGTTGTAGCTGAAACACCCCCGATGTCTACTTGCTTATTGATCAAATTAAATACCTTTTAACTTTGAACATATAAAACAAATGGTTTTATTAATGGAAAACAACCCCAATTTTTTCTTAAGTTGCCTAAATAAAATAATAACCCCATCATCCAATGTTTTCATATCTGTGGTCTTGTTATGCGGAAATGGATTGCAACGCCCAAACCCCAACTCTAGTCTATGCTTATAGTCTACATTGGCGATTAATTATGCAAAAAAGACTGCGTCATGACCTCGAGATTCTGACCATTCAGCGGGCGCTTTCTATAGCGCTAATACAACTCTCACAATCAGGATCCGGAGATCAAGATATATAGCTTGATTTGCCCTTTTCACTTTCTGTTCGTTTCTTTTTTTGGGGGGGGGGTATTCAATGACTTTGGGTCATTTTCCCCCTCCATAGTCCTGAAGCCCATCGCCATTTTGAAAAAAAATGATACCTCAATCCATTGCAATATAGAGCAACTTTCGGGTCAAACTACATCCAAATTTTGTCAGAAATACAAGTTCAAAGGCCAATAAGAACTTGGAACCGTAATTGCTACAAATCCTCAAGTATTGGGGCAACAAATGCCGTACCGGTATTTACAAAGAGAGCATTTCGGACAGTATTCAAATCCGTGATTTGGCTGGCGTAGGCAATTTTGGGGCTATTTAATGGTCTAATGTCACCTTACCCGTCAATCATTACAAGTCACTTACATCGCTTGTCCCGCCTATTCTTAAATCAAAGTGCATTTGCATATACATTCGGCCCCGCCCACTGCGCACGTGGGCAACGATAGGCATACGCGCGTTCGCGCTTGGTGCAGGTGGACTTTGTTTGTGGATATTAACAACAGCTGTGATTGGTCAACGCACCAAGGGGCGGGGCCTACTGGACGATGCGCGCGAATGCATCCGAGTGCGCGCGCGCGTGGTACCGCCTGAAAAAAAATAAGAAAACTTTTAACGCAAACAAGTTTTTCAGAGTGTCTGGTTAATTATTATGGACTGAAATTGGGCAGCTATACTGTCTATCTACCTTAAGAATGATTTGGTATCGAAAAAAAAGTAGTTTGTCAACTTTTTTTCTGACATGAAAAATTTCAGGAAAATGTGGAGTTGGTTAAAAACAATGAATTTGAAGGAGACGAGAACAAGGTGAGAGGCAACTGGTCCAACAAGTCTGAGTTTATCCTGTCCTGTTTGGGATACGCCGTGGGCCTGGGCAACGTCTGGAGGTTCCCCTACCTGTGTTTCCGCAACGGTGGAGGTGAGTCGAGTTCCTGGACTCATTTTTTTTCCTGCAAAGTGCGTCATTGCTCAACTGTTTATAAATCTACCCTTGCACTTATGACATTAAAAACGTGTTTTCGCAAACAGAATGGCGTTTTACCCAGAATTTGTTTTTGTTTTGTTTTTTTCGTCCGCAGGTGCTTTCTTGATCCCCTACGTCATCATGTTGGCCTTCGCCGGCCTGCCTGTGTTCTTCCTTGAAGTCAGCTTTGGCCAGTATTGCAGCCAGGGACCTATCACTTGTTGGAGAGCTGTGCCTATGTTCAGAGGTCAGTCAAAATTACAAAATTGATTGAATCTTCCCAAAAATTGTAAAAAAACAACTTGTTTTGATCTTGTGGAAATGCTGTGGTCAATGTTTATGGTGACTGACCCGCGTGGTGTACAAAATAGGTGGGTTCGAATTCTGACCTTGAACATGGTGCTTGTGTTCTTGGGCAAGACACTTTCTCCACACAGGAGTACAATGGGTACATGGGAGGGTTTAGGCCAAAAAAAAAAGTCTCCAGTTTCTGGTATGCGCGCGCGTCGCCGTAGCCATGCGCGTCGGCAAAATGAAAAAGTTTTTTTTCAATAAAAGATGATGTCTCAAAACCGCCAAACTCACTGGTTTGACTGGAATCCTGCTGCTGCACAGTTTTAACGTGTTTTTAGATGGGGTTATGATCGAGAATAAGCTTTATGTGGCCTCTCTGGACTCCCATATATTTGCACTAAGTTTAGTCGGGCACCATTTGCACACAAAAACAGGTAAAAAAAAAAAAAAGCCGCGTCGCCGCACCACTTTTTGGGCAAGCTCCATACCAGAAACCGGAGACTCTTTTGTTTTGGCCTTAGCCCCACTTGTGTGGCCTCTGTATTGCTGCGCTGTACGTTAGGCCACACGTCTGATTTCCCAACCTACTGAGGAGTTTAGTCCGAAACTTGCACATGAGGACTTCAGAAAGATGTCTAAATTTCTCAAAAAATGTGAAGAAAGATTACCATGAGACATCATAGAATACAACCGTATGCAGTGGTATGTAAAAAAAAAATGCCAAAAAAGGTGCGCCAGGCTTTGGACTAAACTCCTCAGTAGGTTGGAAATGCAGGCGTATAGTGCAGCAATACTGAGGCCACACAATTGGGGCTAGGGAGAGTTGAGCCCGGAAAATGTGTAAAGTGATTTTCCGCGTACAAAAAAATACAGTTAATACAAAATGTAGTTCGACTTGTAAAGCTTAATCTCACAGCTACCAACGTACTTTGGGCTGGACCAACAGAAAGATTTTTATCCTTTATATCTAATTTGCATAACAAAATTCCACATTTTTTGAACTTGTGAACTTTGCCAAAATGAATGCAGCCGGTTCCTGTTCCGGTATTTTTTTTTTTTTTTACAGACAGTTCCAAAAAGCCCTGGGATATGCACCAAAACAGCATTGTTTGATATTGAAAGACACGCAGACACTGTTCCTTTCATTAATGACCCCTTATTCATGTGTTAAAAATAAATTTGGTTTCTGTACACTGTCTGGTAAAAGGTGCGGAGGCCTCCAACGCGTAGGCAACAGTGGTGTGTTTAGGCTGATATACAGGGTGCTGCAAAAAAGAAAGAACCCCACTTTTGACAGGAATTTTAACCTATACTTCAGGGTTGGCTGATTTAAATCACGTTGATTTAAATCACTGATTTAAATCGCGATTTAAATCAAATGGGTTTTTTAAAAATAAAAATCACTGATTTAAATCACTTTTTTGGAAAAATCCTATTTTTGGAAAAATCAAATTATTGAGGGTCATTTTAATCATTTAAATCAACTGATTCCACTTAATTACAAAGTGTAAGATGTTGTTAACACATTCAAACACCCTACTTCATCACCATCGACTCAATTTAGGTTTTGCATAATTACACAAAATCATTGTTTTGATTAAGTCAAGATCTGAGTTTATTAAAAAGTTTTTCTTCAAAGTTTTTAATTTTAAAGAGAGCACACTCACGTTTGCTTTAATCATTCCTTGATCTGTTTGCAGTAATATTGTGAATCAACTGTGCTGGTGTAGGCTTACATGAACCATCAAAATGTGTATTAAAAGTCCCAAGTTGATAGTCTTATTCCTAACGTTTCTCCCTACAAATTTAGATTGAGATTTATATAAACCCTTTAAAGGTGTAAGGCCTGATTTCTGTTGACCATCAATCAAAAAGTTACACAAGGGTCAGTGACACCGGTTTTGAAATTAGAAGCATTTTTATGAAATCAACATGCCCACGGAGAACTGTCATATTTTTTGGTATACCATGTACTTCTTTATTCATATCCACACACAACGTATCTCAGCTGTATCAATCAAGCAATGCACCTTTAAAGTGTCTTCAGTATTAATGTACCATTGAACCAATGGCGTAGACTGCATGTAGAAGAAATCAAGTGATATTTTTAAATCACAGATTCAATACAATTCTTTTCGAAAGCATTTATCAATTTAGTGAGTTTTGTGGATGATGGGTATTATAGGAACCTGTTAACTCCTTTGTGATGGGTGTGAGGGTGCATGGGGAGATTTAAACACATGTTTAGACATATCAATATTTTGAAAGCAAAAAGAAATCAAAAAAATCTGATTTCAATCAAAAAAATCTGATTTAAATCAAATAAATCCAATTTTTTAAAAATTTTATTTTAAAAATCAAAAAAATCGCCAACCCTGTTATACTTACTTAATTTGAATTTTTTTATATAATGTAGTGAAGTATAGCTCTCAAACCATACGTGGTGAAAAAAATCTTTAAAAAATCGCAACAATAAGTTACAAATGTATGATGCTCATTTGAATACAAGTCACCAAAATCACTTTTGACAACGTGTAAGTCTAGTGTAGTGTTGTTTGTTTTCAAATCGAGCTCCGGAGCTCAGTCAAGCGAATGGAATGAAGTCGTCCTTCGACAAACAGATTTGGCACATGACATTTTGAAACTACCATATCTCACAGACAAAATATACATTTGTAATAATGTTTTCGTCACTTATGCTTAAACATCAATATTTTAATACCATTATTTTGAATTTTTGAAGTATGCTCAACAAGTTGGTGAAAATTGCTGTCAAAAGTGGGTTTTCTTCTTTTTGCACCACCATGTACAAACTTTTTTTTCCATTTTTTTTCTCCCTTTCAAAACTTGTTGGCAACTTTTCTACTGGAAATTGTGCAAGCTGATGTCAATAAAAAACATTTGTGACACCCAGAGTTAGAAAGCGCACTCGGGAAAAGCAAGGAGCATTTTAAATGTTTGAGAAAGTTCACTCTACAAAAATTTAAACTAAATAAAAAGAGACGTCTTAATCGCTTTCATCATGTTTTAGAGGGATAGAAGTTTCCACAAAATATTTTTCTGTATAGAATACATGCTATGGTTTTGAAAGGTAATTAGTTATACATTTGCAAACATCAAAAAACAACTACCAAATTATGATGAAATACTTACTTGACTCTCAAACATCCTGTTAAATCATGCCACCTGGTGTGCTATTTCCAACGATGGTCGGCTGACCATCGTTGGAAAAAAAAACTGACTTTTTTTTTTCAGATACTGCCCCCATGCAATTTACCACTTTTATAGTTAGTCCACAATTTGTTTGCAATCGGTTACACATCCGTGAATGGGTGCAAGCCAGCTAGTCTGGTTCCCTGACCTGATAATTCCCCGACGTCTATAAATTACTACATTTCATCTGAAGTAGGTTCAGCATTTTTACCCTAAATTTTTCCAGCATTTTATAACATACTAACCCCAAATCCATCCATTTCTGAAAATAACAGCAAAAGCGGATGCTGCATGCATCTTACATTTCATGCACTGAACGTCCCTTCAAAATGTGATCTTTTCCATTTTCCTTAAACGTTGTTAACAAAGTATCTAAAAATGGTGAAATCGTGAAATAATGTTGATTGCATCATGGTCACTGTGTTTGATATTAGTTGCTTTGCGTCAAAATGGCAGCATCGAGCTGTGTACTCCCCAGGGAGCTGAGATCGTCTTTGGAATGTTTCATTGGCCCAGTGATCAGGGGTAATAATAATAATAATGGTGGATTATGTGTGCTTTAAATTAAAAAAAACCAAACATTATAATCATTATTTTCAGGTGTTGGTTATGGTATGTTAATCATCGGGGCTTTTGTGGGCATCTACTACAACGTGATCATCATGTACACGCTGTACTACATGTTTGCCTCCTTCACCGCCAAGCTACCGTGGGTTGGGTGCGGCAGTGCCTGGAATACCATCCTGTGCTCGGACATTGTCAATGACTGCCTGGCAGCCGGCGGTGTGGTTACCAAGAACAATACGTATGTAAATTTGAAGAAAAAAAACCCGTAACATTTTTCAATTGTTTACGTCATGTTTAAGCCAAAGCGCGCATGCTCAATATGACGCAAACAACGGAAAAAGGACCGGTGTGTTTGCTGCCACCAATGTCTCAAAAGTCTGTAATTCTATTCAATCGATTGAGAATTGAAAGATGGTTTCCTACGATGGTCAGCCGACCATCTTTGGAAAAAAACTGACTTTTTTCAATATGCTGCCCCGCAATTTACCAAATTTAGTTAGTCCGCAACTTGTTTGCACTAGGTTACACATCCGCGAATGGGTGCCTTAGCCAGAGTCTGGTTCCCTGACCTGACAATTCCCCGACGTCTATAAATTGCTCCGTTTCATCTGAAGTAGGGACAGGGAACCAGACTACAAGAACATGCATCTTTTTTTTCTTGGTTTTTCCAGCATCTATGAACACAAAACTTTAAACAGGTCAGTGTAACAATATTTGCTATAAAATGCTACCCCCAAATCCATCCATTTCTGAAATTTACAGGAAAAGCGAATGTTGTACAACCCAAGTAAGTCTAATTCACCAATTATGGGGAGTCTGTCAGTCAGTAAGTTAGTCAATCAGTCAGTGTACAATACAATTTTTTTTTCTGTGTAATTTCTTTTGAAAACTTGTCCCTTTTCTTATCCATCCCTGTGTAGTTGTGTGATGATTAGTACATTAACTGTTGACGACCTGCAAGAGCATAACATCACACAAGATGCTGATGGTAGTTTCAATTTTTCGAAATATTTCGACCCTTTCAAAGGCAATCGCCGACGTCCGAGTGAAGAGTACTGGAAGTAAGTAGATTTGAGTTGAAAGTTGTTTTTTTTTTTTTTCTTTATAATGGAACTTTGGCTGGGAAAAATATGAAACATTATTTGTAGGCCTATCTACAAATCCTGCAGTGGCTTAGCAAGGATTTTTTTCAGTGGGTGGGGGGGGGGGGGGGGGGGGGGGGGGGAGGGCACCAAGGATGGACCAGAACAAAATTTTCCCCAAATTTGCTGGGCACCGACTGCAAATTCGAAGGGGGGGGACTCTTTGACGCTAGAGGGAGTGCTTTTTTCTTACAAATTTATCCTGATTTCATAAAACTGTTGGGTTAAGGGAAGTAAAAAAATAACTGTTTACATTCCTCCTCCTACTGGGAAAAATGTTGCAGTTTCTTCAGTGGTGTATCCAGCTTTTGATGTCGGGGGGGGGGGGGGGGGGCAACCGAACTCGCACATCCATGCCAAAATGTAGAAATTTTTTTTCGGGGGGGGGGGAAAGACCGGTACCCATATTCCAAATGGGGGTGCTCTTCAGAACTGACCATTATTATGCATACTGGAAAATATAGGGTGTCCTGAAAATAATGATGCATGTAAACCCTGCCATTTTTGCCAATTAAGACCGGAATTTACTGCAAATGTTTACACGATCTTCAAGGTTACAGATTTAGCTTGAGAATACCGTTTGTTTAATTAAGATTGCTTTTGTAAATCCAGAGATATGTTTGACTAACTACAAAGCCAAAAAAAAACATTCTTTGCCACTTTTAGGAAGCGAGTGCTTCAAAGATCAGACAATGCATAAGATTATCCCTATGGGTGTAAGACAAACATTCCATTCACACGACAATGTAGGGTTTGGTTCTTATGTTGAAACAATTTAATAGTACAGACAGGTTCACTTCTTTAAAACTTTCATGAAAGAGTTCAATTAAATATAAATAAATATTGCACACTCTGCTTAAAAATGTTAATGTGATTTTACTGATTTTAACTGCTTCACAGAAAGTGGCACAAAAGGGGTTTCTTGGCTTTGCCGTTATTCAAACATATCTTTGGATTTACAAAAGCATTCTCAATGAAACAAACGGTATTCTCAAGCTAAATCTATTACCTTGAAGATGGTGTAAACATCCGCAGGAAATTTTGGATGTAAATTAGCAAAAATGGAGGGGTTTACATGCATCATTTTTCAGGACGCCCTGTATATGCTGATTTTCATGGCGCATTGTTATGGTTTTGGAGCTTGGTTATCTTTTTTTTTCGTGTCAGAACTCTCTAACCATTTATGGAAATAATTGTACCTGAAGACCTCAATTCCAACATATTTGTAAGCTGATATTGCAACTTTCTGCAAAGTAGTTATTTGTATGGGTCAGTTTTATGGCATTTGACTGAATTCTTAAATGCTGCATGAGTTAAAAAGAAAGTGACCGAATTTGAAAAATATTTGTAAAATATTTGGCTTGCTCCATTTGATTTAAAAAAAAAAAACAGGGAAGAAGTACATCTATGAAAATTTCACGTAATTTGCATACTCTATTCCCAAGTTATGTCTATTTGAATAAAAAGGCCACAAAACTCGGCTGTCCACCGCTAATAATTTACCATTTTACAAACCGATGCGATGAATACCCATTGAGTACAATGAAACATTGTGTGTAATCTTTAATACTCGCTCAGCTCAAAAGCTTCTAATGGCATTCCATGGACAGCTATACAAATTGGTTCTTTTAGTAAAGCGTGCATAACTCTTGAAAGCATGGATCAACTTTAGTAATTCTTTTTTTAGATGAGTGGAAGAAGATGCTCTTTTCAGATATACTTTCGAATTTGATTGCTTTTTTAGGAAAAAAATCATTAATTTGGGACACTTCTTTTTGACTCGCCCTGTACTGTTTTCCCCCCCCCCCCGGTTCCTCCAGGTTCAACGTCCTGCAGGAGTCCGACAGCATCGGCGAGACAGGAACCGTCATCTGGCAGCTGCTGCTCTGTCTTCTCCTGGCCTGGATCATCGTCTTCCTCTGCCTCATCAAGGGAATCAAGTCCTCGGGAAAGGTAGAGATCCCTGGTCTGTTTCTTAACACCATCTGCATGAAGCTTGAAACGATGCCTTCTTGGAAGCATTCTTCGCGATCCTCATCTCCAAATTATTTGATTCATTAGCATAAAATTGAACAAAGAAATTAGCTGTAGCAGGGTTTGAACCTGCGCCCAGGCCTGGATTATCAACAAAAATACCTCAGTGTGCCATAAAACACACACATACAGGTGTAGGTATAAACACCTTCAATCGTGGACCCCCTATTGTCCCTCTCTTGTTTGTACTTGACAAGTTTTTAGCAAGACCTCCCATAAGTTTTGTACACGATCGTCAATTGTTGCCTTCAGGAATTGGGGACCCTGGGAACCTCTATTGTTCAACGTGCCCTATTAAATGCAAAAGCAAATTCACCCACACCCTCACACACACACAAGACAATTTTTGTTTTAAATTTTTCCCAGTGGGCACATGACGTTGTTTCAACGTTGAATGTTGGTTGAAATGACGTCACGACGTCGAAATACCGTAAAACAACGTTATTTCAACGTCACTTTTGCGACGTTGATTTTATGTTACAGTTTGACGTTGTTTCAACGTCGAATAAATGTTGAAATTGCGTCGCGATATTATCAACCTAAATTCAATGTCTATCCAACGTCGGTTTTGTAACGTTGTTCCAACGTCCATATTTCGACATTAATCCAACATTGAATGTTGGTTGAAATTGCGTCGCGATATTATCAACCTAAATTCAATGTCTAGCCAACGTCGGTTTTGTAACGTTGTTTCAACGTCCATATTTCGACATTAATCCAACGTTAAATGTTGGTTGAAATTGCGTCGCGATATTATTAACCAAAACTCAATGTCTATTCAACGTCGGTTTGGTAACGTTGTTCCAACGTACATATTTCGACATTAATCTAACGTTGGATAAATGTTAAAATTGCGTCGCGATATTAACAACCTCAAACTAACGTCTCTCTGACGTCGGTTTGGTAACGTTGTTCCAACGTACAGATTTCGACATTAATCTGACGTCGAATAAAAGTTTAAATTGCGTCACGATATTGACAACCGAAATTCCATGTCTATTCAACGTCAGTTTGGTAACGTTGTTCCAACGTACAGATTTCAACATTAATCTGACGTTGAATATGCGTTTAAATTGCGTCACGATATTAACAATGTTAAATTCAATGTCTATCAATCGTCAGTTTTGTAATTGTTCCAACGTATTTTGACATTATTCTGATGTTGGATAAATGCTTAAAATTGCGTCGTGATAACGACCTAAATGTACCAACGTCGGTTTGGTAAACTTTGTTTAACATACGGATTTTAATTAGTCCAAAGTTGAAAACATGTCGAAATTAAGTGCGTCGCAATCAAACATATTGCATTGCTTTGAAATTGAGTATCCTCGCGGTTACTTCAACGTCAGTCCTGCTGTATCAATTAACGTATAATTTTAACTATCAAAGTGCAAAATATTATGTCAAGAAATATAAACAAAATAGCCGACTTAATTGAACTTTGTGGCCTTTTTTATGAAAACATATTATTTGTCAGCACGCCAAAGCTGTGACGCTAGCCAATCACACGGCGCGTAATTTGTTCTACATTCCAAGGTTGTGACGCTGGCCAATCAGTTTTCATGTACTCTCTTTGAATCACGATATGGCGCGCAAGCATATGACCGTTACATATTTCGACATCATACTGCAGTTGTGTGGACGTGTAGCGTGCAGCCGACATCATTTTACTCAAATAACAGGTAAGAATTTTGCCATCAAAATTCGTAGTTATTGTTATGATGTTGCTTAGACATACCTGACGTTTATTCGAAGCACTTACTTATTAATTGCAACCAATTTCTCCCCAAAACGATAAACAAATATTGACACATCACTGGGGTCGGGGACACTGGCATGCATGGTCACTGATGATACCGGCGTCCGGTACGTATGGGAACCAGGTCGACCGCATGCATCCCGGCACTCGGAACAGTGTATTGCTGAGCTGTACTAAAACGGGTTCAATGGGAAAGTAGTGAGAGAAATCCTGAGAAATAATCCTCCATTGGCGTTTTGAACTGTACAGTATAATGGACGTGTGACTTAAACTTTCCGAGACGATATTGTTACCATGAATAAATGTGGCTCAATTACTGGATTTCCTTTGTATTGAAAAGTTGTTTCTGAGGAAATAGAAATTGCATTTTTTTTCACTTGGTAGACCTTATGGACATGAAATGCATGATGATGAAATGTACTTAAGCCTACCTGGTTAAAAAAAATAATAACCAGGAAAAATATAATTCGATTTTCTGCACTGTAGAGTTTCAGTTTTCATGTAATTTTCAGGCTAAAAAGTAAAAATGGATCGTCCAAAAGTGATTGTAGAATGGAATGCAGTATATTTTCTCGAGGTCAACTACTGCCATACTGGATTTCTTCGTACAGCTACACAGCGGTGATAGGTCGTGGGTCATGTACATTATACCGTTTTACTTCCCCTGATTATTAAAGGGAATATACATCATTTGCTTTTGCTGTAATTTTCAGAAATGGATGGAATTGGGGGGTTGGAAATATAAAGCAAATATAGTTACACTGACTTTTTGGAGGTTTTGGGTTCGAAAATGCTATAAAAACCAAGAAAAACGATCATTTTCCTGTAGTCTGGTTCCCTGACTCCATATAAGAAGAAACAGAGCAGTTTACACACATTGGGGAATTGTAAGGTCAGGGAACCAGTCTAGCTGGCTCGTACCCGTTCATAGATTTGTAATCGATTGCAAACAAGTGCAATGGTCAATTGGGGCCAGTATTTGAAAAAAAGCCAGTTGTTTCCAACGCTGATCGGCCGATCAGCGTTGGAAATTGATACAAAAATACCACTTTTCTTGAAAATGACAGTATACCAGGTGCCATAATTTTACAGGATGCTTTAGACTGTCATTTACCAACATCCTATTAAGGTATTTCGTAAAAACTTGGTAATTTTATTTTTCGATGTTTGCAAATGTTGTATATTCCCTTTAAACCAGGTGGGTTATCTTCCATAGGGAATAGGCCTATCAAGTGGGGGATAAACACTCCCGATTTCGATTTCACATGTTGCTGTCACCACCCCGGTGCTCTTGTACATGTACAAGTCACAAAACGGAGGAAGTTGCTGGGTAGTTCCTTGATCCTTTGTGTAAAACTAAAAGTTGCTGTGACAATAGTGAGAATGCATAACACAAATTTCTGTATCAAAACTTTAGGTAAATGCAAGCATGGATAATTATACCGCTGTTTGTAGCCTGTGCTGTGAATGGTGCAATAACAAAATGGACTCACGGTGCAGGGAGTGAGTAATTACGTAAATGTATTGGCCTAAGTAATCAATCATTGCATAGGCAGGTGGTATTTCTACATAAACTTGTTTTTGTTTTGTGTAGATACTAGACATGGTTTGCATATTTTTGGGGAGTATGCAGAGTCTAAGTTTGGCAGGTAGGACAGGTAGGGTAGTTAATCTCACTTTTTCAGCTTCTGAAGAAAAAAATCCTTTTCAAAATTCCAGAAGAGTTTACAAGACCTCACAGATGACGAAACCCCACTCAGCAATGATTCATACAGGAATTGAGGAGGAGCCAAAGTCAGCATGGATTGTCGAACCAGTATGGAGGAGTTATGTATGACTTTCGAAGATGCTTCAGTTTGAAATCTTTCGGACAGTACTCGCAGTGCCGTAGCTGGTATGTATATGCCGACAAAAAAAAAATTCAGGGCTAAGTTTTATGGCAAAAACCGATTATTGTATTCTTAAGTCAATAACACTTGCAGAGATGTAGCTCTGATTGCAGTCATCGCACATAAAAAAAGTGGTATTCAAATCCGTTTATACTTGTGCGAACAACAGACACAATGGCCAGTTCATTCAAAACGTTAACAAAACGCAAAAATGAAAACAGATTTGTGGCTATATCTTAATTGAGTGTTGGCAGAAGTTTCGTCACAGTGCATTGTATAATAACTTGTGTTTGTTTACACTCTTCCGTTATCTTTTTTCCTGATGGGTCTTTGCTTTTGTCTCTGAGCGTTGTTTTTTTCTCATCCAACAGGTGCATGACCAAGTGATTGAAGACAGTTCAACAATGATGGGCAGAGTGGAACTGAAAAAAAGCAGATGAGGAGACGGACCTTTTCAGTTTCGCAGGTAATTTAATTTTCTTCGCCAGATTTAATTTATTTTGACCAATTATTGATCTTGGTTAAAATCTCATTGTGTGGTACTTGGTTGTATGGTTGATAATTGCTGAAGTGTCAGGAAATACAAGTGGTAGTTTTTATAAGTGCAAGTTTAATAAAAGGAATCATTCTGTTGATTTTTTGTACACAATGTCAGCACATAAAATGATGACCAAACGTGTTGTCGCTTTGTTGAAACTAATATGGTTTATGTATGTATTTCTCTTTGTTTGTGTTTGTAACATTTTCGTTTTTGAGGGTGATTTGGTTGTGTCAATGAATAAAGAGATGGTTGGGGAGGAAGCTTGCAATTCTAAAATATTACACTATCTTTTATTTGTCTTTTCTAGCGAGGTCTAGTAACTTCGTAATCGGGCAAGGTGATGGATGTTGCTGCTTGTTGAGTTTTTCATCTCCTGTCAAGTTTGCGCCTGAAAGAAGAGGTGATGGAGGGACACACTAAGGGCCCATGCACCTTCACATTCAGTCGTACCTTTGGACTGTGTTAAATATTTCAATATTGGAACAGTTGATTAATAGTAATTGTTCAAATACAGTAAGTTGCTCTGGAGTGGCTGGTATCTTTCCGTAAGTGTAACAGGTAAAGGCTCTTTAAGTGATGGAAATTCAACCTCTGCCGCATCTTGTACTTTTCATTTTGAAACTTCCACGTTCGAGAAGTGGGGGACTGTTATAATAATTATATACAGTACATGTATTGTGCATTATTTAGTTATTACTGTTGATTCTTGGTTGACCTGTTCAAATGTTCAATTGAATCATTTAGATTAATTTTGTATGAATGATGCTGTTTGTTTTATTATTTTCTATTTGATAGTTTCTAATGCTCTTGCCCAAGTCTGCCGCATAACCTCTTGCAATATTTCACAAGAAAATTCATAGATATGATAGAATAGTGCTGCAGGTAAATTTGGAAAACTAATATGAATTGTATGCAAATGAAAAAAAAAAGTGAATTTAGACGTTTAAAAATTGTACCTGTATGCTTGTTAATTCGTGTTATATTTCCGATGTAAATGCACTGGGCAGTGCTGCATTTCTTTGAAAAAAGAATCAAATTCATTATCATGTATCTTTTTAGAGACTAGTACCCTCGTTTAGGCTATAATGCTGTTGGAACAAGTCAATCTAATTCTGAATTTTACTATGTATGGATTAATTACTACTTTGTTGAAACCTAAAAGGTGTTGTATAAGCTGATAAGGTTGGAAGTTAATTAATAAATACACACATTTTTTTATGGAAAAAATTAAAGTGATTGATAAAGAATTTCATTTAAATTTAAAGTTATTCAATTTCGACATGGATTTAACAACACTCCTCAGCTTGCAAATTTATTTAACATAGAACGATTGGAAAAATGCCAACATCCACCATTATCAGTACATTCTGGCTTTAAATCTTAACACAAACCTTAAAATATTTTGATTCAAGAATTGCATTTATTTAACTGTGATATTTCTAAGAATAGGATGTCATTTAATGTTGATTATTTATACGTTGATTGAACATCATGTCAGTGCTATTTTAATGTAGAGATGTCGACGTTAAATCAATGTTGAAATGTCTACGTTAACTCAACGTTGTGATCTTAACGTTGTTTCAATGTCGACATTTCCACGTCGCTTCAATTTGCAAATTCAATCATTAATCAACGCTGAATCAACGTAGAATCTCCGACATTAAATCAACGTTGACATATCTACGTTGATTCAACGTCGTGCTCTCCACGTTGGTTTAACGTCAGCATAATGACGTCAGATCAACTTGCAAATTCAATCATTAATCAACGTTGAATCAACGTAGAATGTCCGACATTAAATCAACGTTTTAATATCTACGTTGATTCAACGTTGTGCTTTCCACGTTGGTTAAACGTCAGCAAAACAACGTCAGATCACCTTGCAAATTCAATCATTAATCAACGTTGAATCAACGTAAAATTTTCAACATTAAATCAACGTTGAACTGTTGACGTTGATTCAACGTCAGCATTTCAACGTCAGATCAACTTTCAAATTCAATCATTATTCAACGTTAGTTCAACGTCGGAATCTGACGTTGTTTCAACGTTATTTCAACGTATTTTGCCCACTGGGTTAGCATCTCTCTCTGTCTGACTTTTCAAATTAACCAACTGACGCTAACGTATGTACATTTACGTATAGAGCCATTGAGCAACGGCAAATTTTATTGGAGTTTAGATGTACAATTCTTTAGTAAATGAATACACGCGAGCCTAAACCTTAACCAATCACAATAAGGTTTATATTGTTGGAAAGCTGACGAGACGAAGAAAAATGACTCGAGAGATCTAAGCTCCCAGGTGGCACTATTTAACGTTGTGATGATGTTAATGGACCAGTTCTTGGCTGAACGCGTGGTTTACACACAAAACAGGGAGATTTTTGACTGAAAATGCAATGTTTAACATCAATTCGCGAGTGAAACTCAGTGTTTCATTCAGTTTTTCTTTTATTTTCTGAAAGAGTATATTGTTAGGGTCACACTGTAGTGAGATCTAAGGTATACCCCGTCGAATAATGAAGTGGTGGCGACAGATGTGAAAAAAGGCCCGTTTTTATTGATTTTTTCGCCGCGTTCTCTCATAGAGGTTGCACATAAAAACCGGCCCGGTGGGTTAGTTCCCCAAAGGAATTCATATGATGTGTTAAAGTTTGTAGTTCAGAAGCACAAGGTTCCTAAAGCTTTTAGAACTACCAGATTGGCCTGGCTGGCTTATCATCAACATGAAATGCGAGGCTCCAGCATTTACCAGCGCTATGAACTTGATGCCGGTGCCTAACTAGGGTGGGAGTAGGGCCTACGGAACACTTCATCCGGCCCTGCCTGTGTCCTCTGAAAGGGGTGCATACCTATGTTCCCCAATATGTTCCCCAATCCTAACCCTGACCACATATGAATTCCTTTGGGGAACTAACCCACCGGGCCGGTTTTTATGTGCAACCTCTATGAGAGAACGCGGCGAAAAAATCATTAAAAACGGGCCTTTTTTCACATCTGTCGCCACCACTTCATTATTCGACAGGATATACCTTAGATCTCACTACGGTGTGACCCTCACAATATACTCTTTCAGAAAATGAAAGAAAAACTGAATAAAACACTGAGTTTCACTCGCGAATTGATGTTAAACATTGCATTTTCAGTCAAAAATCTCCCTGTTTTGTGTGTAAACCACGCGTTCAGCCAAAAACTGGTCCATTAACATCATCATAACTTTAAATAGTGCCACCTGGGAGCTTAGATCTCTCGAGTCATTTTTCTTCGTCTCGTCAGCTTTCCAACAATATAACCCTTATTGTGATTGGTTAAGGTTTAGGCTCGCGTGTATTCATTTACTAAAGAATTGTACATCTAAACTCCAATAAAATTTGCCGTTGCTCAATGGCTCAGCGCGTAGGGTCTGTTTATTGTACACGTGCTAGGCAGCGCTACTGTATATACACAGAGCCGGGTCCAAGGTCATCTGGCTGTGCGCTTTGGCCAGTTTACATGGGGTCCTTTTGACCACAAAGGATTTGATATGTCTAACCCTAACCCTAACCCTAACCCTAAGGATTTTGGGGAATAGGTATCGGGGAAGAGGGAGACCCCCTCTGAAACACCATACCAGTGCTCTCGCATCGGAGCCATCCAGCCCTGTGTTGGAAGTTTCCCAGTCTATCAGTGTCTGTGTTCAAGGGCACTATAGTCAGAAGCCATAAACCTGCTCCTATGAATCTCTTATGCATCTAGTCGGTTTCCCTGTCTCCTTTATTGGACTGCTAGATCAATTTCAAATTCGCATTGGATTCTTGTTCCATTTGCAGGTGGTGTATTTCACGGCAACTTTCCCCTACGTTGTGCTGGTGATTCTGTTGATTCGTGGAGTCACTCTTCCCGGCTACTATGACGGCGTCCTCTTTTTCATCACCCCCAAGTGGGAACGCTTGGCTGAACCACAAGTACAGTAATGGGGAAGTCTCAGAAAATATGGTGGTTTATAACATGGGGTCTGTCACCATTTTTCCCGTGACTCAAGTTGTGTACAATTGCAAAACAGTGTTAGAGTGGACCACTTGCCGCTGTCCCAGTAACTGACCAAATTATTGTTAAAGAGGTTGTGGAATGCTCGAAAACATTTCCGTCATATTTTGAGTATATGTAGCCTAAGGTGTGATGAAAACGACTATTGTTTCTGTCATGAAATGAGTACAAAGGGTACTTTTGAGAGCTATTTTTCAGGTCCTGTTTCGACCCGAACGTGCAATTTGTGTAAAAGTCGTCGTTGCGGGCAGCAAACAAAACACAGTAAATCGTGACGTAATAAACAGGAATCGTTTATGCTACTCTGCATCGGGAGTCCTGTTTATTACGTCACGATTTACTGTGTTTTGTTTGCTGCCCGCAACGACGACTTTTACACAAATTGCACGTTCGGGTCGAAACAGGCATGACAGGACTTGAAAAACAGCTCTCAAAAGTACCTTTTGTACTCATTTTATGACAGAAACAATAGTCGTTTTTATTTCATCACACCTTAGGCTACATATACCCGAAGAATGACGGAAATGTCTTCGAGCATTCCACAACCTCTTTAAAAAAGCTTACTTGGTTTACAGATGGTAAATGACACTAAACTCCCTGTGAAATTATTCCTTCTGGCATGCTGTCATTTTGAAGACAACAATAACAGAAGGTCATTTCCAAAGATGAGTCAAGTCACACATTTTTGGAAATTCCCGTTTGGGTGGTCTGTAATTAAGCGAATCCATGCATGTGCACCCGTTGACACGAAGCACACATGCACAGTGGCTATTATTTTGTTGGTTCAGTGTGTTGCATCACGTAACTATACAATCGGCTTAATGAGAACCATGCCCTGTGTGCTGATTTCTGGATTGTGTCACAAGAGGGCGCAATATTCAAAATATGACTCGGCAACTTTTGAATCAGAATTCGAGATGCAGAATGGATGTATTTTGTTTTCTCAAAATATACAGCATTCACAGAGCTAAAAGTTTGTCAGGTTTTGTTAAGAGCCCGCCTTTAGATTTCTGCGCTAGCTAGTGTTGCTTCAAACGAAAACAAATGCACAAATGACAATTGGACCATTCTACATTTAAAAGTAACAGGCATGCCTAAAAGTGAAGAAAATGAAGGGCTGTAGTCCAGATTTATTTTGTTATCAAAATGGCATTTTTTTTGTGATCGTATAACTTGGATCTGATTTCCTACAATTTCCTACAAATGTTTCACATATTTTAATGCTAGGCTCTTATATCTGTACAAACAAACTTAATTTTCAAACCTAATTAAAAGATGAATTCTGTGTGATATTTGCTGGGGTTTTTTTTATTGCTGTTTTCCCAGCAATGTAAAAGTTATTCACTTTTGAACGAGACATAAATACATAATACAAAAAAAATCTGTATTAAAGTTAATCAATCATTTCTGTACAAAACTTGAATTATTTGCAGCCTTCTAATAATTCGATGTGCGTAGGGCGGGTTTATTCATGCACAAACCAAAAGCCCTGCTTCGGAGGGTTAGTTGCAGATGCCCAAAATGAAAAAAAGAAGAAGTAGATTTTCTTTGTGAAAACAAACAGAAAATGCATTAGGCCAAAAAAAAAAGTCTCCGGTTTCTGGTATGCGCGCGCGTCGCCGTAGCCATGCGCGTCGGCAAAATGAAAAAGTTTTTTTTTCAATGAAAGATGATGTCTCAAAACCGCCAAACTCACTGGTTTGACTGGAATCCTGCTGCTGCACAATTTTAACGTGTTTTTAGATGGGGTTATGATCGAGAATAAGCTTTATGTGGCCTTTCTGGTCTCCATAATATTTGCACTAAGTTTAGTCGGGCACCATTTGCAGTCATCAGCCGACATTTGAAGCCAAAAAAAAAAAGGAAAAAAAAATAAAAGCCGCGTCGCCGCACCACTTTTTGGGCAAGCTCCATACCAGAAACCGGAGCCTTTTTTTTTGGCCTTAGGAGAAATTTTTTTTTTTTATTTATTGTGGAGTGCCATGGCCTCGTGATCTTGAGCATTGAATTCGTGTATGGTCTGCAGGTAATTCTGCAGGTTGTGGGTTCGAGTCCAGCCTGGGGTTGTGGTGTGTGTGCCCTTAGGCAAGGCACTTTGTCACTCATTGCTTCTATCCACCCAGGAGTAAATGGGTACCTGTGAGGGCAGAGATGACTGTATTTGTAATTGATTTTAGCTGCTTTATGCCGAAATGGCAGCATCGAGCTGTATACTCCCCAGGGAGCTGAGATTGTCTATGCAATGTTTCATGAGCCCAATGAGCAGGGTAATAATGATGTAGCGCCTTGAGCACCAATACAAGTGGATGCATGCATTTTATAAATATGCATACAAAAATGTCTTTTCATTCAAAACGTCCCCACCTTCCCTAGGCTCATATCGATGACTGTCAAGCAACCTGCTAAAATTGATAATTGATTGAAATGATTGAATCTGTAGGTGTGGTTGGATGCAGCGGTGCAGATCTTCTTCTCACTCAGTGCTGCGTCGGGCGGACTCATCACGCTTTCTTCCTACAATAAGTTCCACAACAACTGCTACTTGTAAGTATCCCAGCTTTGCAGCTAATGTTGCTAGCATCGTGGCTTTGGAAGTAATCCCTGGCTGCGCGCACATACAGGTTTATGGTAGCAGACCAGTAAATAAACTTCCATAGACCCCATTGGTAAATGCTCCCACTTCAAAAATTCGGGAAAAATACTCACAACTCTCCAAGGTGTTCGAGACACACATCAAATTAAAGCTTATTTCATCATCTTTCATTTTCTTTTCAATTTTTGGGGGTCAACTGATGACTTGTAGGAGAAATTTCTATCTGAAGTTGATCACCCCTAAAAATAGTCCTGAAGCCCATCGCCATTTTGAAAAACGATGCCTACACTCCATTGCAAAATAGAGCGCTTTTAGGGTCCAAATTACATCCAAATTACACAGAACTGCAAGCTCCCAGTCCTGTGCACGGCTTCCACCCATATTTTTTACAAACCCTCAAGCTCATGGCCCACAGCATGCTCAAATACTGAAGATTTTGAGGGCATGCAAATCGTGATTTGGCCGGCGTAGGCAATTTCGGACCGATTTACTGGTCTGCACCCTTATGGCTTCTGACTATAGCACCCCTTGAACAAAGACATTGACAAAATGGGGAACTGCCAACATAGGGCTGGATAGCTTAGTTGCTAGAGCATCGTATGGTGTTCTAGAGACGGTAGGTTCAAACCCCACTCAAGTCGATATATTTTTCCAGCTTTCAAATTATGATTGGACAAAACTCCAACAAATTTATTTGAAGGAAACAAAAGAAGAAACTTGGTAAAGAAGTTTTTTGAAGGTTCTTTAAAAAAAAAAAAACTAACGGTATTTTACAAATTTGTTTGATGGCTTAGCAGTAACCGTAAGTGAATGATAATGATGATAACTTAGGCAAAAAAAAGTGAATGGTTTTCTAATATAGGTTTTCCTGGCTTTTTAAAACGTTTATCATTCGAATTCACCATTTCTAATATTCAAATTTGTCCGTCAACATCGATTAAGTGCACTCCCAAGTTTAATTTCGTCTCTTTTCAGACAATATTTCAAATTCAAATGATGCAAATTCAAACAATTCGTCCCGGAGTATTCGGTGTCGTCTCATCTACGCCCAACCTTGTTATCCAGAAATCAAATTCATCTAATTGAAGATGAATTTGATCTCTGAATGCTGCCATTCGGCAACAGCTTAGACGAATTTGATCTGTAATGACAAATATCTCGACCCAGTGACTAATGAGGGTGACCAAACTTTAAAATTGAATGGAAAATTGGTTTTGTTAAAAGAGTGTGAATTTTTTCGTGGATGAAATTGAATGATAGAGGTGGTAAATTTGAAGGAAAAATCTTTTGAAATAGCCAGGAAAACCTATAGTATTCAAGTTACAGGATTGAGCAGTTATAAATTTCAACATTTTTTTATAGTGCGTTTCTCATGAAAGCATTCAAGACTGGGAACTCTTTTGAAAAAAAGTGATGTGTTTTTTTCCCCATTCATTGCAAATGTTGACATCAAGCTTTTGGCTCATATACCTTGTTTTGAAATTGTTTGTTGATGCATGTTAGCGACGCTGTACTAGTGGCAACGTTGAACTGCTGCACCAGTGTCCTTGCCGGCTTTGTCATCTTCTCCATCATGGGATTCATGGCTCATGAGCTGGGCGTCGACGTCGAGGATGTTGCAGAGGGAGGTGAATTAAAAAAGAACTTATTAGCAGATTGCCTGGTGGGAACGTTGTAGAAAATGACACAATGTTTATAAGATTTGAGGCTTTGCATGGTGGGGTATCGGTATCGTTTCGGTTTGCGGTAACACCATGTGGTAATAACTACTGCTTAGAAGATATTAGTTCTGAAAAGAACTTGTCCTGCTTATTATCAACTTTGCTAAGTAGTTTTTTGTTCTGATAAGAACAGTCCTGCTGTAAGTTCTAAACGGGAGATTCTTTGGGAGACCAAAGACAAGTTCGTTTAGAACTTACAGCAGGACTGTTCTTATCAGAACAAAAAACTACTTAGCAAAGTTGATAATAAGCAGGACAAGTTCTTTTCAGAACTAATATCTTCTAAGCAGTAGTTATTACCACATGGTGTTATCGCAAACCGAAACGATACAATGTTTGATAGGCTGTAACTATCCCTATATACCCTTAGACATCAATAGGAATATTTTTCTAGAAACCCTGTGGTTATTTCAGACAAACGTCCCCTGAAATTTGCAGGCTAACCCGACATCTAGAGATTGGAATTGGATTTTTCCTGCTTTTTAAATACTTTGCGCCGGTATTAATTTTGCTGAAAATTTCGATTTTTGGCAATAGGCAACATTTTTCAGCCAACTTCTGTTATACAGCCAAACGCCACAAATACTGATTGGCAAGAGTCATTTCCTCAGTAGTTGTACGATATTTCTTGCCGAAACCTCATATGTCTCAATATTCCAGGGTGGGCACTGGAGCATGGGTGTCAATCAGTGGGTGGGGGGGGGGGGGGGGGACAAGTCTCCCCCCCCCCACTTTTTGAAGTGGAGGGGATATCATACCATTTGTCCCCCCTCCACTTTTTTCGTCCCCAAATAAATATTGTAGCCCACATTTTGATCCTATAGCTCAGAATAGCGATTAAATGACTCCAATTTTGAGAATGATGTTTAAATGATGATCTTTTGCTAAAAAAAAAATGGTTTAAAACGGTCAGAAATTGCCTCAGATCACACCACAGAGCATCTGGAATCCAACATTTTTCAGGGCCCTTAAGTGGGCCCGAAACCCCACACCGTTAGGGCTTCATGCTTCTGTGCTCGCATGATTTCTGATCAAGGTATGTCCCCCCCCCCCAACTTTTGAAAAGCAATTGACGCCCTTGCGCTGGAGCGTAAATTGTAGAACAATTGGCCATGCACGACGGCCAATTCAAGAGCAACACAGGGTCCGTTAGCGCTCCACAGACTTCATGGACTTTGTTTTAACAAAAGACACGAGGGATTAACTTGTTTAGACGTTAGCCGGATACGTGTCGAGGAAATCTTGACGTAACCCGTCAGCCTTGCCATCACGTCCTCCGACGCGAACTGGTTAATTAAACAAGCAAGTAGCTTCCATAGTTAATATCAATCAAATTTTGGGGACACAACTTTTCAGGAAATTACAAGCGTGCATTGCTGCATGGCTCAAATACAAGAGGAAGTATTGGAGACCGTGGGCCTGGGGCTATACATTTTGCCCCATTCTTTGTGAGCTTGGCACAAAGCCAAAGTGAACCGATAAATTTCCCTTTTTGTTTTGCCCTCCAAAAGATGCAACCCTGAAACATTTGCCTGTTTTTCAAAAACATGATGGATGAGTTTTTATGTTTGGGTATCAGATTAAAGCTGAGAGCTTTTTCTTTCAAATACTGGAAGAAAAAAAAATCATGAAAATTGCGCATTGTGTTGCTGAGAAAATGCCGATTATGTAACACAAGTCCTGTTTGAAGCACTTTTGGACAGGGTGAAAAAATCACTTCCTTTTACATAATTGGAATTTTCTCAGCAACCCGATGTGCTGTTTTCATGATTTTTTTTCTTCAGTATTTGAAAGAAAATGTTGTCAGCTTTAATCTGATACCCAAATCATAACAAATCACCCATCTCGTTTTTGAAAAAAGGCAAATGTTTCAAAGGGTTGCAATTGTTTGGGCTCACCCTGTCTAGGTTTTGGTCTGGCCTTCATTGCCTACCCTGAAGCAGTGGCTCGTCTGCCCATCTCACCTCTCTGGGCCATTCTTTTCTTCTTCATGTTGCTGACTCTTGGCCTGGACAGTCAGGTATGTGTGCTTTTCTTTGCTACAATGTCGGCATATCAATAAAGATTTAGGCAATTTTACCTAGCATGAAAATATGATAAAAACTGCCAAAAATGGCTACTACGTGAATACTCTAATTACAATTAGAAATAGACAGGAACATTTTATGAAAACACTCCCAAAATATAGTTGCTGCACCACCATCAAAGAATGTGTCTAAATTGATTAATAGTATTTCAATTATTATGATTATTTCTATTCATTATTTCATTTTGGATAAAAAATGAAAAGGAGCAAATTTTTTAATGTAGATATGATTTCATGTTGATAAAATGTTTTCTCTTATAGTTGCTTTACTTTTTTGGATGTAAGCGTTGTTCCAGTTCTTCGTTTTTTGAAGTGAACGTGGTCATTGTTTCTGTTTGTGACTCAGTTCACCATTATGGAGAATCTGGTGACCGCTATTGTGGATGAGATCCCTAGCATGCGGAAGAGGAAATCACTGGTTATGCTGGTAGCCTGTAGCATGGGCTTCCTTCTCGGCTTCACATGTATCACCAATGTAAGTGTTGTCCAAAGAGACCTCCAAAATAGGACAAGTTTGAGTGAGGACAAGGGCGGATCCAGAACACAATTTTGGTGGGGGCCCAAAAAAAAATTGGTCCCCCAAAAAAGTGGGTCAAAAAAATTACGGCGTGGGGTTCGGGGCCCGCTTAAGGGCCCCGAAAATGTTTTGGATTCTAGATGCTCTGTGGTGCGATCTGAGGCAATTTCTGACCACTTTAACCAATGTTTGTTTGAGGAAAAGATGGTGGTGTACTCATTGCCTGCCTTTCTTGCGATGTCACATAAAAATAAAAAAAAATTGGTTTCGTTTTTGGGGGGGGGGGGGGGCCATGGCCCCCTTTGGCCCCCCTGGATCCGCCCTTGCTAGACGACTCTGGTCCTTGCCTGAACTTGCTCAATGTTACAAGAGTTACATTGCATGGATATCCCATAAAGTGTAGTAAGAATGAGTTGACGCTTGCACCATGGGAAATGAAATCACATTTGTAAGTTTGTTAGTTTCCTGATGACAGGCAAAGCATACCGTTTAAAACGTTGAGCTTTCACACAAATTTACTCACAAAAAAGATTTCCTTTCTTATATGATGCATCTGCAAACTTACTTGCTTCAACATGCAAACCGTCAAATCTTCCTATATTAAAAGATCCTACGCTGTTTGTTCGATGTCTGTCTGATGTCTGTGTGTCATGTTTTTCTTTATTCGCAAATTTGTTTCTTTGAAACTTTGAATAGTTAAATATTACAACATTATCTCTATGAAAACACTCCAAAACGTCGGTGAAGGGCAAAAACCTAATTTGATTTACTCCAAAATGTATCGCTATTATGCAAAACATAACATTGATGATGAAAAATGTGTCAAAATTGCTTGAAGGTTTACCATGCCCGATTGGGGTAAACATATGCAAATTGAGGACAAAGTAATAGTATATAACCCTTTAACCTTCAATCATACAATTTCGCACGATATGACTATGTATTTTAAACCAAAAACTTGACGACTACACCCCGTTCGAAGCACGGCATCCTGTATAAAAATTGTTGGTGAATTCTGGAACGTCGCTATACCAAGTAAGGGGGGGGGGGTGAAAACAAATTTGACGACAGACCGTCAATGCTAAAAGTTAGATAGGATTTTTCCGGGGTCGCCAGGCCTTCGCAAAATCAGGTGGTGGGGGGGGGGGGGGGGGGGGGGCTGGAGACCCTCATCTGATAGGGGGCGCTGTTCATAGTTGACGATCAAGGATGCTATCGGACAAAAGGTGGCGCTCTTCATCCTGGCGCATTAGCAGACAGGGACGCGATACTGCCATTAGCTAGGAGTACAATTTGTCGACACTAAAAACGATTAATGGGCATGGGCGTCGCCAGGATTTTTCTAGAGGGGGGGCAAAAAATTTGTTTGGCCAAAAAATGATTCTATTTCTCAACACATTCTCGATTTATCAGTTTTAGAGGGGGGCAGGGACATTTTGCCCCCCCCCCCCCAACTCATTAAATTTACACCACTTTGTCTTCGCGCCTCTTTTTCTTTTTTCTTTTTTTTCTTTTTTTTTCTTTCTTCTTTTTTTCCTTTTTTTTTGCTTTTCAAGGGGGGGGGGGGGCAAGTGCCCCCCCTTGCCCCCCCCCCGCGACACCCATGTTAATGGGGGTGTCACCCCATCTCCCATACCCGCGCCCCCCTCTAGCAACGCCCGTGAGTGAAATCGAATCCCATTGCAGTCTAAAGGAACAAGATTGTGTGATTCAATCAATCCAGGCGGGGCCCTACTGGGTAGCACTACTGGACAGCTACGCCTCCAGTTTCTCCCTCCTCATCTTTGGCCTCTTGGAGTGCATCGCCATCAGCTGGTTCTATGGCGTCAAACGCTTCACGAACGACATCGGCACCATGATCGGCAGCGGCACGGTCAACTCCCCACTCTTCTACTGGTGGCCAATCAACTGGGGCTGCATCACTCCAGCTCTTCTCTCTGTGAGTGTTTTGCTTAATTTCCAAGGAGACAACTGCAAGCAAGATTTTGAAAATTAAAGCAAATATAGTTACACTGACTTTTTGGAGGTTTTGGGTTCGAAAATGCTATAAAAACCAAGAAAATCATTTTCCTGTAGTCTGGTTCCCTGACTCCATATAAGAAGAAACAGAGCAGTTTACATACATTGGGGAATTGTAAGGTCAGGGAACCAGTCTAGCTGGCTCGTATCCGTTCATAGGTTTGTAATCGATTGCAAACAAGTGCAATGGTCAATTGGGGCCAGTATTTGAAAAAAAGCCAGTTGTTTCCAACGCTGATCGGCCGATCAGCGTTGGAAATTGATACAAAAATACCACTTTTCTTGAAAATGACAGTATACCAGGTGCCATAATTTTACAGGATGCTTTAGACTGTCATTTACCAACATCCTATTAAGGTATTTCGCAGAAACTTGGTAGTTTTATTTTTCGATGTTTGCAAATGTTGTATATTCCCTTTAAAGTCACTTTTCATTCTGTACACAAGAACTTCAAACAGGGAAACATTTTACTGTAAGCCTATACTGTGCAATTATCCTTCATTAATTAAATTTCTTTAGTATTTTGAGATATTTATGATGATGGAAGGGTTTAAAATAGAACTGAAAGGATGAGATACCTGTTCAGTTGCAAAATAAATGTATTTCCATCAAATTCATTTAATGTCATATTATATGTGCAGTGTTGTTTGTAAGGATTAGGACATGCACAAATAGGTACAGTGAAAATCCCTTTTACTGTGGTATTTTTTTGTCTATAGGATGAAAAATGACTACTTTTACATAATTGGCATTTTCTCAGCAACCCAAAGTGCTATTTTTATGATTTTTCAATATTTAAAAGAAAAAGCTCTCGGCTTTAATCTGATACCAATAAAAAAAAATCCACCCTTTCCCTTTTTTTTTAAGGCAAATGTTTTGGGGATGAATTTTTTGGGAGTCACCCTGTAGAAGGCCATTATTGTCATATATAAGATTCTAAAATATGTTTTCCTTATGTAGTTTGTGTTGATGTTCAATTGGATGAATTGGAGCAAGCCACTTTACAATAACATCGACCCGTACCCGCTGTGGGCCGATGCTATTGGTTGGATGATGATCCTCTTCGCTATCATTTGGATTCCGGTCATCTTGATGTTTGAGTTCCTCCGTTCTCCGGGCAATTTAACGCAGGTAAATTATACACCTTCCTTACATTGTGGGGATCAACGCCTAGTGGTTAGGATTTGTGACTCCTGATCAGAGGGTTTGGAGTTCAGTTCCTGCCGCTGACCATGTTGTGTCCTTGGGCAAGCCACTTCACTCCAATAGCCTTGCTTCACCTAGGAGTATAAATGGGTACCAGCATTAGCTGGGGAGTAACCTGCACGGTGATGGACAGGCATCCCATCCAGAGGGAATAGAAATATGTTCCATTAATTGTTTCATGCCAAGGAAACCGGAGATAAATGCAGGCCTGACGAGACATCTTGGCTTGTGGATAGAAAACTCACATTGCGTTAGGTTAAGTCTTTACCCATATTGTTTTTTCACTAGTGTCAGTAAGTGAATGTCATATTACTGGCTCAGTACAGTTCTTAACAATTAAGTTTCAGAATCTACAAGAAAACAGGAATCAACTTAAATATCTCCAGAAGTTTCTCCAGATTTTGGAAATTTTCCAAAGAAAGTTTTGTTGGTAATAATGTTGGTAATAATTTTGTAATTATTTGGAAAATACTGTTTTGCAAAAAGTGTTGAGAAAAAAGAAAATTAACTAAGTCACACTTGTGGGATTCCCCAGATGACAAATCTGGACCATTTTTGCATACAGAAAAACCTGGCTGGTCTATAAAAGACAGTCTTTGGGATAGCAGCCTAATATTAGAACCCTAAATCTTTGAATTTGGAAGCTGTCAAGATAAGCCATTATTCTTATAGAATTCTCCACCCCCCTGACAAATGAGGCTTGTACCGAGAGTATGTGTGAATGTCTCGTTATTAGTTTTTTGTTGTTGTTGCATATGCAGCGTTGGGAGGCCATGTCCAATCCTCGTGAGAGCTGGGGGCCGGCCCTGGGTAAGTTCCGCCTGGAGGCCTACGAAACTCACGCCAAGAACAGGTCTACCTTCGGTGGCCGACTGAACCCCACCGGTGACATCTACGACACTAGCCGTACTGCCGAGATGGGCAAGGCGCCGGCCGTCTACTACAATACTGGAGCCACCAACCCTGGCTTTGATACCCCAATGTAAGGTACCAAGAGTGAATCCGGGGGGGGGGGGGGGGGGGGGGGGGGGGGGGGGGGGGGGGGGGGGGGGGGGGCTACCCCCTCCACCAACTCCTAAAGAATTTTGTTTTCACTGAGGAAGTTTGTTTAATCAAATCTTTTAGGTGCGTAGAAGTATATCATTTGTCATTTGCGCATTTTTTTCCTATTGCTTATACTAGGTTTATGTAGCTCAGTGAATGCAGTACAGACCCAGGAAACAATAGTAGTTCGTTTTTAATTTGAAAGTTGCCGAGTCAATTTTTGAATTGCGCCAGAAATCAACGCCCCAAATCAGCGTCCGGGACACTTTCTCATTTACAATTGTGGCCACGCAATTTCACGCACTGAACTGACAAATTATAGCAACATATGCATGCATGTGCGCTGTGTCAACGCTTGCGCGCACCCATTCATAGCTTCGCCAAATTAAAAAAGAACTACTAATAGAAATTACCAAAAATGTCTCTTTAGGCGCATCTTTGGAAATGACCTACTTTAATTGTTTTCTTCAAAATGATAGCATGTCCAGAGAAGAATATTAACTTCAAAGGGTGTTTAGTGCCTTACTATCTTCAAACCAAGTGATATACCGTACTCTACCTTTATGAATGCACCCAGAAAAGCTATAAAAAAATTAATATTTTAAGTTGTTAAAAGCATGTAAAGTGTATAAACCTCAAGCTACAATCCTGGCCAAATCTCGCTGGGCCCCCAACCCCTGGCCCCCACTCAATGTTGTCCGTCATTGCGCGACGTGTGCTCCAACAGCTGGAGAGAACAACATTGACCGGAGGGGGGGGGGGGGGGGGAAATGGGTGACTGTGGCAGGCTAAGGAAATGTCCCAATCATTTTGGTCCGGGTTGTAGCTTGTAGCGAAATTAGCCTGCAAAATAGAGAGTGCACTCCTAAGTCTCTCTGAACGAACAAAGTCAGTACTTTTGGTGAAAAGGGATAAAAGGGATATATTCGAAGATTTGCTTCTTGGCTTTGTTTTGTATTATTGTGACTGTTTTGTGTAAATCATTGAGAACTTTGTTGCTATTTTAATACAGTCGTTTCTAATTTTTCAAAGTTTTTGTCGTGGGGTGGAAGGAAATTTCATATTTTAGATTTGAGAGGTTTTTTTTTAGTTTGGTTTACATTAATTAATATCATAACATTAATTAATATTGTAACAGACTATACATAAAAAGAAAAACAAACTATTAGTCAAGATAGCACCAAATGAACTACAATGTATAGGTGGTGGTTTAATTTGTATATTTTTTAGGCTTACTATTTAGGCCGACATATAACTAAAAACAACTGTATAAACATTACATGCAGTGCGATATTTTGATGATTATTTGAGTGAAATCGATGTATTTTGAAATGTATTACATGCTTGCAAATTTTCTCTTCTTTTGTCAAAAAAAAAAGACCTGAAATGTTATGATTTTGTCTTTCACTTTTCTTAAACAACTATGTGTTCCTATGCAGATTTTGTTTGTATTTTAATAAAATTTAAGTAGGAAATACAGTTTTTATCATTAGAGTGTAGAGTATACCATTGTGTATCAAACTTGATGTTTGTAGTGTTTTAGTGGTGTACGTATAATCTCTTCTGTTAAATGGAAATGTGCAAGAAAATAAAACACAGCACTACTCCAGCTAGCTACTATTGGTCAAGCAACATGGGAAAAAGACGGCCCTTGATTGGCTAAAAGTGCTGCTCATTTGCATATATGCTAATCTCTCACTGGCAACTTGAATACCAAATATGGTAATAAAACCCACATCTGAGCAGAGCTGAAGACGCTGGTGATGCATAGAACTTGGAATCATGCCAAGTTGCTAGACTACGCTTGAAAACTACTAGATGCAACATTTATTTTTGTACTTTTGAATTTAGTATTAACCTTTTTTTGCACAAAACTTTTTGTTTTATTCAGTGTTATCAGTAAAAAACGGGAAAATTGTGTGATGAAATACACTGGCATGCAGGCCCAAGTTTTCTTCTATTTTCTGAGATTTTCCCCCGTATATAAAGACGTTGTTTTGCGCACGATAGATTAGGCCCCGCCCACTGCTACGTTGGGCAACAACAGGTGACACGCAGGTCGGACATTAATCACGGCTGTGATTGGTCAAAACAGCAACGAAGCTTTTGACCAATCACAGCCGTTGATTAATGTCCGACATTTCGTTGGCAAAATAAAGTCGAGTACGTGCACGCGCACGGCTTTTTCTCTCAATTTTAATAGTGTTATATTTTTCTCAAGATTTGAGACGAAACTAATCAAATTGTGGCAAAATAAAGCTCGCGGTTTGTTAAGCCACGAGACATAGAACTTTTGCAGCAAGTTTTAGCAATTTTGCAAAGGTATGTTTTGAGATATTTCTCCGCAATTGTCCCCACCGTTTTCAGACTTTTCTTTAATCCGCAGCTTTTCACCCTTTGCCGCGACCAAAACACGCACGATTTTCAAATTGTATACGGCATGCCCTCAAATTATCCCTTGATCGTACAATATAATTTTCTTATGAGAATAAGATGAGAAACATGTAGTGAACTCTTTTCCATCATGTGGCACTTTATTGACTTTGGGTAAATTTTAAGCGGCAGGGAAGCACCTTGAAGTGAATTAACGACGTACCGTAGAGCGCGCGAGCGCATCGGATCGGATTTGAAGTCGCGTCAAAAATATATCGCGTGCCACAACATATTTGTAAAAATACATCGAGATGCTGACAATAATTAGGTCAGAATAACCTCTTATTTGCTAGATAACCTCTTATTTGCTAAATTTTGGATGGAAAATAATTGAAACCCCAAAGTCTCTCTGTTTTGATGGATCAAATGGGTTTCAGAATTATATTAGGGGTGATTTTGTTTAAATGGGGAGATCAGCCATGAGTCATTGGATAAACCCCAAAAATTGAACAAAAAGTTGAAGGAGGTTAATCGAGCTTGAATTTGATGTATGTCTTGAGTACCTGGGAGATGAAATTGTGAATTTTTTATCGATTTTTGTTGTTGACCTTTTTGGTATTTATGATGGGAATTTACGTACTTGTCAATGTGGTGGTGCCAATGTGGAAAGTTTACCGCAAAAGGGTGTGTGCGTCATTCTCGACGATGATTGGCTATTCTCAGAGTGTCGGAAATATGTGGATTATGCATAGCCTGCATATACGCATGCTAAGACAGTAAAACATCGTGCACCGACCGACTAGACTGAGCTGCGGCCAAAATCTCGATCGGTCGAACGTACGGGATTCTTTTGCATTGAATTTCTCCAGAGAAGAAATGTGAGTTTTTGGAAGGATTCCCATATCTGGCCATCACTTGACACCCTGTGCACAAACCGTATGAGACTGGTCTGTGTTTTCTCACTCTTTTCCTGCCTGCTTGTTTTGTTCTGCATTGACCCAAGTCCAAGCCCCCCCCCCCCCTCCAAAAAGTTTTAACAATAGATTCGGTTGAGTTTGGTTTGATGGTCCAGCTTATCACCAAATATCAAGGTCACATAAACTAGGCCATATTTGCACAGAACAATTGGTCATGTGAGTTTTTTGGAGCACCGAATACAAAGGTCATTTTATCTCTGTGTGTGCAGTAGCCGAAAGGAGAAACTCGGTTGCTGTATGCTAGAACGTTAGGCTACTTGACTTCCTAGCACATTTGGTGGTGCTACATAATATTCCTTCTGGAGTGGTATGTCAGTTTTTATTATAAATAATATTAGAGTATACTGGTCAGGGGCGGATCCAAGAAAATGGGGGGGGGGGGCTGGTACCATATTTCAATAGGGGGCGCTGTTCAAATCCGACAATTATTAACACTTACAGAATGGTGTACCGTATTTGAACAGGCAGACATTATACCAGTATAATTTTTTTTGGTGACACAGGGGGGGGGGGGGGGGGTTCGACTTATTTTTTAGGAATTTGTATAAAAAAAAAAAAAAAATTGACAGAACTGGGGGAGGGGGGTGGTTTGACCCCCAAAACCCATCCCCCCCCCCCCCCCCCCCCCCCCCCCCCCCCCCCCTCTGGATCCACGCCTGCTGGTTTGACTGAAATACCAGCATTGTGTATACCTACTGTATTGTATAATATGCGCAGGTAACGCTTGCAACACGTGCAAGTTGTCACACACAAATTTAAGGTGAGTGCATAGAAAAAGGACCGTGTAGCTAAGTAGCTTACGGCGTCTGATGATATAATTGTGTGGGTTCTTCAGGATATGAATTCAACGTAATGTGTAACGCTGTGCTAATGGGTTAATATTGAAACCTTTCTGTTTTATGTATTTTATTATTCAGTGGGTACCCACACACGGTATGCTGTGTAGGATTCGACCGGCTCTCACCCGTTTTGTGTCTGAAAGTTCCCCGTTTCGTCGTCCGTATGTGCAGCAGCCAGCATTAACGGCCTTAATACTACCGTGTAGTTCGTGTTTTCAACAAAGATATTGTCACCACTCAAACAAAGTATGTACATGTATTTAAGTACGCAGTGGCTATTGTTACGGCAGCCGTAACGCATTTCCCATTTTCTATCGTTACGGTAGACTGCAACTTTTATAAACACATGAGAAGAAAATATAAAATTAGAAGGAAAAAAGTGAATTTGAACGTTATGAAATTCGGACTTTATTTCCCTTTTAAAAAAAATCCTCCAAAGCCTCAGGTTAGAAAAGGAAAAAAATTTGAGTGCAAAACTGAGTTGCGAACCCGCAACCTCGCGGTGCAAAATCCTACCCTCTATCGACTGAGCTGTCGCACTGCTCGCTAAAACGTGGGGAAACAAATAATTATATACCTGCGTACGTATCAAAAAAGTGTTGTAGAGGGCGCTAAACAACGGCTGCCATAACGATAGCCACTTCGATTTAACTATGTATATCAGTGTATATCCGGACAACTGAGGGCGCTGTTGCTGTGATGTCATTTTAGGAAGACACTGTTCAGTTTAAGGGTTTTCTGTTTAAATTGTCAAACAAACATTTGCTCATTGAAAACCTGCCATGTACTTACACCATGGGCGTCGCCAGGATTTTTTCTAGAGGGGGGCAAAAAAATTTTTGACCAAAAATGCTTGTATTTCTCAACACATTTTCGATTTATCAGTTTAAGAGGGGGCAGGGACATTTTGCCCCCCCCCCCCCCAACTCATTAAATTTACACCACTTTGTCTTCGCGCCTCTTTTTCTTTCTTTTTTTTCTTTTTTTTGCGTCTTTTTTTTGTTGCTTTTCCAGGGGGGGGGGGGGGCAAGTGCCCCCCTTTGCCCCCCCTTGCGACGCCCATGACTTACACAACAATGACTGACCAAAGAAATTAATTTTACGACAGCAAAATATCCCAAATTCTGCCAACTTTCGGTGCTGAAATAGCTGTAACATTGATGTTTCTGCCTGAAATGACATCACAGTTTTGCTCATGAATATGGAAATTTGCATTAGCATAAAAATGATAAAGGCACCAAAGTACCCTTGGAAATGGCAAAACGAAAATTCGAAATAAGTTTTAAATGCGACACAAAGGTGCATTTTCAAGGATTGCATTAAAAAACACACATAACTAATTTGCGTGGGCCTTTTAATAACTTTATGCATGACTAAGTTTACGTGGCATTATTCATTAGTTGCACAACACAGCATCTGTTGCGTGCTGTGTCCAAAAATTTGAAATGCAAATGAGCATATATAACAACCACCAAATATTGTGGATGCTAAATTTTAGAGCTCTTCAGTGAATTTTGGTAGTGTTGTGTGCAATTTAACTTTGAATTTTTATTTTTTAAACAGGGACGTTGTCGAGTCCATCACAAGTCCCTGCAAGTCCATCGCAAGTCCTCCAGTCCTAATTCAACTCACAAGCTATTCAAATGAGCTTTGACAAGGGCATTCCTTTGTTTTTGTTCATCAACTGTTACTTGTGACTGGACTTGTGATTTACTTGTGACTGGACTTGTGACTGGACTTGTGAATGGACTTGTGACTGGACTTGTGAATGGACTTGTGACTGGACTTGTGAATGGACTTGTGATTTACTTGCGACTGGACTTGTGATTTACTTGTGACTGGATTTGTGAATGGCCTCTGTAATTTACATGTGACTGGACTTGTGATGGACTTTACTACATCCCTGTTTTGAAATTGTGGTTCTTTTTTTTTTCCCCAGAGGAAAATGTCGTCCCATGGACCTGCGAAAAGGCTGGATGGGCAGAAGACCAGTGTATGGTAATTATGTCTGTGTAGTGTGTGTAATGTACGTTGAGTTTATGATCCAGTACTGGTGTTGACAAGCTTTACTTGGGTGGGACTCGAACCAACCATTCCTGCTTAGAAGTGCAGGCATCTTTAACCAGTTCACGTCGGATGACCGGTTTACACAATCTGGCGTTTTTGTATACACGGGCACGGCTGACGGGTTAAAACGTCAAGCATGCCTGGACTCGCCTCCAGGTGACGTCTAAATACGCTAGTCCCTCATGCCTTTTGTACACAAACAAAGTGGAGGCGAACCTTGTGTTGATCTTGAATTGACCGCTATGCATGGCCTATTCTACAATTTTTACGGTCTGTGAGCACACCCCAGAGTGTTGAAAAATAAAAAGTTTCGGCAAGAATTATTGTACAAATACTGTTGAAATGACTCTTCGAATCAGTATTTGTGGCATTTGGCTGTTTATCAGAAGTTGGCTGCTATAATTTGCCTTTTTTAGAAAATCGAAATTTCGGCAAAAATAATCCCGTCCCGAAGTGGTTAATACACTCGACATCTGACCTTGCCCGGGGTCAACTGGCTGATTCAAATCTGATATAGCAGCGGGTACCACAACCAAGCTGTTTGTTATATGGAGTTTGTGTCCAGGAGATGTAAATTCAATTATTACCGACATACTTTTATGAACACTGTATATTCAGCATTGTCTAAGGGCTTGCGAAAAAATATTCATAAGCTTACTCAGGTGAGACTCAAACCCATGACTTCCTACAGGACGATTCCTAGAAGAACGGCCGTTGGGTTAACGATGTCATTGATTCAAGTTTCCAATGAAATTACTCAACTCTTGTTGTTCCTATAACATTTCTAAAGACTCCCCCCTTTTTGTCATCACATTATATTCTAATTATCATTTTATTTCTCTGAATTGTGATCAACAGGACAGAGTTTGTCAAACTCAGCTCAGAGACGAAAGCTATCAACCTGGGCCAGGTCAGTAGATTCTCAGTTTTGTCACCCCAAGCTTATTTGTTAAAACCTAGAGGTGAGATTTTACCGGCAAGTTTGGAATGGTGTACCCTTTGCTGCGGCTTTTGGTGAATCCATAAGAATGAAAAGGCAATATAGCAATGGCAGCATGGTCGACCAATAGCGCAATGCGATTACAGCTACAGTCCATCATTAGCAGCTATCCAAGAAGTAACTGACGTAATTATTGTTGAAAAGCTTACTTGGTTTAACCCTAACCCACCTCACTTCTCCAAAATCCTCCTGGCGGTTTTGGAGGATTCTAGAGGATTGAGGATGAATGGTGATTGAATCAAATGAAGATTTTGGAGGATTGAGGATGAATGGTGATTGAAGCCCCATGAGGATTTTGGAGGATTGAGGATGAATGGTGAATGAAGCACAAGAGGATTTTGGAGGATTGAGGATGAATGCATTTTGAGGCAGGACTGTCTGCTGATTTTGAAGGATTTTGCGTTGGTTATCCTTCATTTAAACACGAGTGCAAAGTTTTGGGATGAGAAGGATTGTGGAGGATTGAGGATGAATGCATTTTGAGGCAGGACTGTCTGACAATTTTGAAAAATTTAGGCGGAGTTGAAAAATTTTGGAGGATTTTGGAGGATTGAGGATGGTTGTAAGCAACAAGGGCCTAGGGGGTTAGGGTTAAAGATAGTAATGGGACTAAACTCCCTGTGAAATGATTCTTTTTGTCACTGTCATTTTAAGGAATCAATGAAAAAAAAAGGCCATTTCCAATGATGCGTCTAAAGACTATTTCCATCAGTAGTTTGTTTTTTAATTCGGAGAAGCGTAACTGCAATCGGCTCAGTGAGAACGTGTCTCGGATGCTGAATTCAGGCCCACTTGAATTCAAAACATGACTCAGCAACTTTTGATTTGAAGTCCCTATCCTATAATATTGTTTTCTCGGAATATGCATCATTCGCTGAGCTGAAACTTCCTCAGGTTAGTTGTTCAGCACCCTTCTTGAGATTTTGAAGACGTTTGATGCTTCAAACGAACATAATGCACAAATTACAAATGATGAACGCAGATCTACTGATCGTGCTTTATAATAATGTGTATGTATATATAATTCGTTCACAGAAGCTTCAAACAGCGGTCACCAATTCCTTTTGTCACATGAGACTTTGTCTTGTTACTTTCAGGGTTTTCCTGATTTTGCTGCTCCAGACCATGTCAAGAAAGCTCTCATAGACGTAGCCACGAGCTCCAATCCTCTCCTTTTTCAGTACACCAGGGGCTTTGTAAGTTTCCTGAACAGGTTTTAGGGTCCTTGCATTTAAATGATGATATTCTTTGAACAGATTGAGCAATTTCAGTAATTTTTTTATCTAAATGTAGTTTATGAAATTGGCTTTCCAGTTATTTGTATTTTTGGTGCTACATATTTTTTCAAATGGAATGTACATTTGCTCCTGCTGCAATTTTCAGTAGTAAGTGGATTTTGGGGATTAGAATGTTATAGCAAATATTGTTAAACTGACTTGTTTCACGTCTTGGGTTGAAGATGCTGGAAAATGCAAGAAAAACATCATGGTCTTGTACTCTGGTTTCCAGACCCCACTTAAGATGAAACGGAGCAGTTTGTCAACTTTGGGGAATTGTAAGGTCAGAGAATCAGTCCGGCAGGCTTGTACCTCTTCATATTGTGTGTAATCAATTGCAAAGAAAATGCGGAAAAAACTACTTGTGAAAAATTAAGAGCAGTTTTTGAAAAAAAGCCAGTTTTCTCCAACGCTGGTCGGCCGACCAGCGTTGGAGAAAAATCACATTTTTCTTGAAAATGTCAGCACGCCAGGAGCCACGGTTTTACAGGATGCTTTAGAATGTCATTCCTTAACCATCCAGTAATATATGTCGTGATAATTTGATTATTTCGTTTTTTGATGTTTGCAAATGTTGTATCTTCCCTTTAAATATGAAATATATTTTTTCGGGTTTGGGTTACGCTTTTTTGAATCACCGGGTAAACGGATGGTTGTTTGGTTTTTTGCACAGGGCCACCCACGGATGGTGAATGCCATAGCGGCGTTGTACGGCAAGCTGATGGGGAGAGAGATAGACCCCATGGAGGAAATGCTGGTGACGGTCGGCGCCTACCAGTCGCTCTTCTCAACCTTCATGAGTCTTATCGGCCCAGGAGATGAGGTAGGGACATTTCGGTTTTCTTATATGATGGAATTTGCGTCGGGAGGTGTAAATTTATACTGGGTGTTGCCCTTCCTCGACGTACAGAACAGTTTGGTTGGGGTACCCACTGCGATGTCAGACTCAAACCAGGCGGCCCAGGCAAGCTCAGTGGTCGAGTGGTAAGACGTCTGCACTAGTAAGGAGGAGGTTGGGGTTTGAGTCCCACCCGAGTAAGCAGTGTTGTAGTACTCGTACTCGGTACTCGCACTCGAGTACTACTCAAGTACTTTTTTTGGAGTACTCGTACTCATACTCGTACTCGAATGTCAAAGTACTCATACTCGAAATGATGGTACTCGTACTCGGGCAGCAAAGTACTCGTACTGGACATATCAAAATTGTACTCGATCATTAAAGTACTCGTACTCGAATAGCAGTACTCGGGGGAAAAAATGTTACAGCTTCACTTACCATGGCCTTATTTTATCAATTCTTTCAGTTGAAAATTGTTGATTGGATTTCCTGATTTTCCTCTGTGCAAGTCCGGACAAACATATTTAACAGCTAGCTGTGAGTGGGTCCGTGTATCGGTTGACTGGGCCTGGGCAAATTACGCACAATGAACCATTTGCCGTATGGCCGTATTCGAAATGCAAGTACTTGTACTCGTACTCGTACTCGGAAGTACAAGTACTCGTACTTGTACTCGTACTCGGAAGTACTAGTACTCGGAGATCAGTTCTTGTACTCGAAGGTACAAATACTGGTACTCATACTCGTACTTGGCAACCTAAGTACTCGGCAGTACTCGATACTAGGAATAAAGTACTCGACTACAACACTGCGAGTAAGCTTGTGAATTTGTTCTCGCAAGCCCTCAGCCAACACTGGGTATACAGTGTCATAAAATACTTCAGTGAAAGGCGAAACCCATATAAAAGTATGGAAAAGGTCGGTGACACCTGATTTTATTGGCGTTTCATAGTTATGGTGCAGGTAATGGCTCCGTGCACAAGTACCCTGCTGCACAAACACCCGCTGACGATGCCTGACGCTCTCGCAAAAATGCTGTTGCTTTGGCCCATTAGAATAAACTAAGTCTTGTGTAGTTTCCTACTTAAGGTGTGATGTATGAAAGTTAGTGCAGGCACTCGGAATTTCCAGGGTAGCGCTGCCAAAATTCCTAAGACTCGGTTTAATTCAGCTTGTTGATAGCGACCTCTCGCTGCAACGGCTTTACCATGTTCGTTTAATACTAGAATAGAAGCCAAAGACTATCTTGAGTGTGTTCCTTGCATCCATGAAGAAGCAGGCACTCGGAATTTCCAGGGTAGCGCTGCCAAAATTCCTAAGACTTGGTTTAATTCAGCTTGTTGATAGCGACCTTTCGCTGCAACAGTTTTACCACGTTTGTTTAATACTATAATGGAATCCGAAGACTTTTTTGTGTGTTCCTTGCACCATTAAGAAGCTTTGTGTGTGCGTTTGTCTGTATCAAGGCTCCTATTACTTGCAGATTTTTCATTAAGTAAGATTTGAGGCTTTGCATGGTGGAGATACTAAATAATGAAAGGTTTGCAGAAACACCATGTGCGAATAATTTCTCAACTAAGAGAATGGTTCTGAAAAGAACCAGAGGTATAAACTCGACGTTCCGGTCAGTATGCTCTGACCGTCAGTATGCCCTAAAGACGGTCAGAGCATACTGACCGGAATGTTGAGTTTATACCTCTGGTTCTTTCAGAACCATTCTCTTAGTTAAGAAATTATTCGCACATTGTGTTTCCGCAAACCTTTCATTATTTAGATTTTTCACTGGCTCAGTGAATTTTATTTTTTTAACCCCCGTAGGTGATCATTATTGAGCCGTTCTTTGACTGTTACGAGCCCATGGTGATGATGGCCGAGGGAACGCCAAGGTTCATTGCCTTAAAACCTGTAAGTAGTCGTTAATCTTCTCAGTTGAAGACACTTAAGTACATTGGGAATTACCCAGAAATGTGCTGAGGAAACTGAAGCCTTGCCCAAAGTGAAGATAGGGCTGGTGTCGAATACCTCTTTAAAGGGAATATACAACATTAGCAAACATCGAAAAATAAAACTACCAAGTTTTTACGAAATACCTTACTAGGATGTTGGTAAATGACAGTCTAAAGCATCCTGTAAAATTATGGCACCTGGTGTGAAGTCATTTTCAAGAAAAGGGTATTTTTGTATATATTTCCAACAATGGTCGGCCGACCACCGTTGGAAAAAACCTAACTATTTTTCAAGTACTGCTCCAAATTTACAATTTTGTTCAGTCCAAATTTTGTTTGCTATTGGTTACATGTTCATGAACGGGTGCAGGCCAGCTACAACTGGTTCCCTTACCTTACAATTTCCGGTATCTGTAAATTGATCCATTTCATCTTCAGTGAAGTCAGGGAACCAGACTACTTGAACATTTTTGTTTTTCTTGGTTTTTTCAGCATTTTTCAACACAAAACTTCAAACATGTCAGTGTAAACAATATTTGATCCATTATGCTAACCCCTCAAATAGTTAATTTCTGAAAATTACAGCAAATGCCAATGATGTACATTGCCTTTAAGTTATTCCGTCTGAAATTCTATCATTCAGAATAAGATTACCATGGAAGTTGGTTTTAAAAAAAGTGTTTCTGCCATTTTACAGTGTGGAGGACATTTTGTGTGGATGACAATTTCTTTACATTTTACCTCATGCATAAGATAACAAAGTAGAACTTTATTAATTCCATAATATACAGAAGTAATGACTTTTCTCTTTACACGTTTCAGAAAAAACGATAATCCGGAGTCGGCGGATGATTTTCAGCTGGATCCTGAGGAACTAGCGGGACTGTTCAACGAGAAGACAAAAGCCATCGTTGTCAACACTCCCAATAACCCGCTGGGAAAGGTATAGGTTATAAGTCTCCTACTAAAAATATATGGCTGGATAGCTCAGTTGGTAGAGTACTGGCACGGTAACCCGGAGGTTGTGGGTTCAAACCCCACTCCAGTCAATTTCATTGCTCAAGTTTTTCAAAAATTATTATAATGCACCTACATTAGTAAGTTTCCCTTTGTGGTTCATTTGAAAATTTGTAATAAAAAGCTGTATCCTCTCTGAGTGATCATCGATATTTCCTAGGTCTGTATCGTGGTTTTCCTCTAGAGGAGATACAGGTTTATGGCTTCTGACTAGCACCCCTTGAACATAGGCATTGACAAAATGGGGAACCGCCAACATAGGGCTGGATAGCTCAGTTGGTAGAGCACTGGAATGGTAATCCAGAGGTCGCAGGTTCAAACCCCGCTGCAGTTTCCTTGTTCAACTTTAAACAAATTGAAAATAACGTCTGTGTGAAAACTCATATTAGTTTGGAGGATTCAGGACAGTTTGGGTAAATGGATTGGTGCAGTCAGTGGAATAAATGTGGAAATTTTTGTGGCCTTATTTTTTAGGTTTATAAGAGGAGAGAATTGGAGATGATAGCGGATCTGTGCAAGAAACACGACGTGCTGTGCATCAGTGACGAGGTTTACGAATTCATGATCTACTCCGGCCACGAACACATCAGAATGGGTGAGCAAGCATGTCAGAAAAAAAAGCACCAGCAGCAGATTTCACGAAAGTTTACGCAATGGCGTAACTCCACTTGCACAGCAATTTATTGCGTAACTTCCACAACATTCCATGCTGCGCAATATTTCAGTTTTGACATTTTCACGAAAGTTTCATTGTGCGTAAGGCTGCGTCTTACGGAACAAATTATGGCGTAACTTATGCCATCATTTCAGGTGGCATAAGTTGTAGTGTATCGACTGATCGAAAATGACCCATTTTACTAACAAATCCTGATTGGCGTAAAGCCTGGATTTGCGAAACTTATCAAGGTTGATACAAGACACTCACAGCTTTGTGTTTGAGGCACCTGAATTAGTATTTTACTTGTGACAGAATTTTTAGAGTTGCCTTGCGATTTCGAAGTAAATCAAAAAAAGTAATTTCAGAATGGCGGGCGGAGGTGATTCAATGACTGTTTCGTGACCGAACACAATCTTTAACAAACAGCTGTTAGAGATGCTGTTATTATTCTCGTCCGAGGTATTTATCATTATTTACAATGTTGCGCAGCTACGCCAAGTTTCGTGAAATCGATCATAAGTTTATTCTGCAGTTGTGCAATAAATAAAGGAAAAGGGAAGAGGAACAATAGAAAATCTTCGATTTACACCATAAGCAAATGTGTTCTACATAACCGCCAAGGACTGACACATAATGGGAGAACAACGGATCCTTTCAGTCGGGCATTGGGTCTTATGTTGAAAACGGTCCTCGATCATACAGTTATGTGCTGTAGTCTGTGGGAGAGTGTTATATTACAGGGACAAAAGGAAACACAAAGCATTGTCCTCAGGAGTGTAGTAAAACACGACTGTGTGCTTTTGTTTATGGTGTAAATTGAGGACACACACGTGCAACATCATCAATAAATCGAGGACAGAAACCGAATCGAGGACTCCGGTTGGAGAATGTGTACAAAACCAATGAGAGCTGTTGTGAAAAACAAACAAAGGAAAAGGGAAGAGGAACATAAGAAAAACCTCGATTTACACCATAAACAAACGCGCTAGTACAAGCGCGTGTACACAACCCTGAAACGATCTCATATAGATTGTTTGCATTGAGGCCATGTTGGAGATGTGTGCATCATTGTGCCTGTTCAAAACTCACTCCAAAGATGGCCGCTGAATGCAGTCTATGTATTGGGAAAGGTTTTTATTGGTTTTTTTTTTCTTCATCCAGCCACTCTGCCTGACATGTGGGAGAGAACGTTGACAATTTGCAGCGCAGGAAAGATATTCAGCGTGACAGGATTCAAGGTAAGGCATAGACTGAGTGCATAGGTACCCCTTGTTCAGTTACAACTTCTCGGGAATCTTCTCTGGAAAGTGTCCCAAATCTTCCTGTAATGTTTGTAAACATTGTTGATAACTTTATTTCAGAAAACATTCTTGGTATTTTGGTTCAGAATTCTACATATAATACCTGATACAGTGGCCACATTGCAGATAAACTTATCCTCAATTTATCATGATTATTTAAAGAAAGGTCTCTTAAAGGCCAGTTCGTACTCTGTTTGAAAGCAAATGCGACCGTGAATTGACGTCAAGTCAAGTTTTTACGCTGCAAATCCTTGAAAACAATTGAGTCAGTAAAGTCTTTCACGAGCCAATGCGGCCCATTGGGCCAGTGTTTATCTCTGTTTCCTTGGCATGAAACAACTGAAAATACTCCCCCTGGATGAGATGCCAGTCCATCGCAGGTTACTCCCCAGCTAATGCCGGTACCCATTCATACTCCTGGGTGGAGAGAGGCAAGTGTGGTGAAGTGGCTGCGAAAGGACACAACATATGGCAAGCAGCTGGATTTGAACCCTGCCCCTCTGACTATGAGCCATGAACCCTAACCACTTGGCCACACATCCCCCTAGCACAATTGAACTCGGGCAAATTTGACGTGATTTTTTCATGATATCCAATTTGCTTTGCATTGGCATATCGTGTGAAGTATGAACTGGTCAGTTAAGCAGTAATATCTGTTAATACTGATGAGGCCTTGGTTTTTCTGTTTATAGCTCGGTTGGGCCATAGGACCAACAAACCTCATGGATTGTCTTAAAACTGTTGGTCAGAATTGCAGTTACACGTCGCCCACACCGTTACAGGTAAGTTACTGAACCTTGAGATACCTCTTGAAACCTTGTAAACCATCTTAAAACCTTGTACAACCTCATAAAACCTCATGAAATCTTGTAGAACCTCATGAAACCTCAAACTCTCGTAGAACCTCATGAAACCTCATAAAACGACATGAAATCTTATAGAACCTCATGAAACCTCATAAACTCTCGTAGAACCTCATGAAACCTAGTAAAACCTTGTAGAACCTCATGAAACCTCAAACTCTCGTAGAACCTCATGAAACCTAGTAAAACCTTGTAGAACCTCATGAAACCTCATAAACTCTCGTAGAACCTCATGAAACCTAGTAAAACCTTGTAGAACCTCATGAAACCTCATAAACTCTTGTAGAACCTCATGAAACCTAGTAAAACCTTGTAGAACCTTGAGGTAAACCTCAAGTTACCACCCGCTTAAGTTAGCATTCTCCCCTTACCTTTAACAGAATCAGTTTTTCATGCATAAAGTTATTGCCCTATTTACTTCTCACAGATTGTTTTCTAAAAATACCTTGCCCTATTTTTTTGTTTTTCCTATACAATCAATAGTCCCTTTCCTTTATGAAACGATAACAGAATGTTGTTCTGACCACAGGAAGCCGTAGCGCATTGCCTGGAGCTAGAATTGTCTCGTCTGGGCCAGCCAGACTGTTACCTGACGAGCCTAGCCAAGGAACTGGAAGTCAAGCGAGACAAGCTGGCTGGTCTGCTGCGGGACATTGGTCTATCACCCATCATGCCACAGGGAAGCTACTTCATGTTGGCCAACGTCTCCCACTTAGGTTGGTACCATACAGCTATATAAAATTACTAGAGCGCTAACTCTTCATTCTTGCTCTCGGAGACGCTTTGAAGCCATCCTGGACGCAGACATTTTGAATTCATGTGCGTGTTTGTAGAACACAATCAGAATAGATGAATGCAAACAACTTAAGCGCGTCATTGACGGTTAAAAAACATCAAGGTGAAATGCATCTGCAGTAGAGGGACGCGCACACATTGCACTGTTTGCGTAGAGCAAAATGAAACGCTCATTGCTGATCGTGCTTTTCAGTTTAGGGCGTATCGGCTTCGATGACACACCGGTATGGAAAACAAACGCAGATATGCAAATAGAACTACAAAATACGTAAACAATTTCGAGTTTTCCATAGGTTTGTGTACAAACATGGATGTGCCCAGCAGGCATTACTTTGTACATGAGATAGCGCTCTAGTCATTTAATATAGCTCTATGGTTGGTACTCAAGATCCTCCTGTTGTACTCATACTCATGTACTTTCTTCGTGCTAGTACTTCGTACCTACTTATGCTTATAAGAAAGGAATAACCTTAACTAGTACTTGTACTCCTACTCGTACTTGCTGCAAAGGACTTTCACTTGAACTTGTTTCAAAGTACTTGTACTCGTACTTGTTGCAAAGTACTTGTACTCGTACTTGTTGCAAAGAACTTGTACTCTTACTTGTTGCAAAGAACTTGTACTCGTACTTGTTGCAAAGAACTTGTACTCGTACTTGTTGCAAAGAACTTGTACTCTTACTTGTTGCAAAGAACTTGTACTCGTACTTGTTGCAAAGAACTTGTACTCGTACTTGTTGCAAAGAACTTGTACTCGTACTTGTTGCAAAGAACTTGTACTCATACTTGTTGCAAAGAACTTGTACTCGTACTTGTTGCAAAGAACTTGTACTCGTACTTGTTGCAAAGAACTTGTACTCGTACTTGTTGCAAAGAACTTGTACTCGTACTTGTTGCAAAGAAATTTTACTCGTATTTGTTGCAAAGAAGTGACACTTGTACTTGTAAAGAACTTGTACTTGTTGCGAAGTACTCTCACTAATACTCGTTGCAAAGTACTCTTTTTTTTTACTCAAATTTATGGTGACCTACTCTACTACAACACAGCAGTCAGCAAAAGAGTACCTTTTTCAATAACATTTGCAATGAACAGTTTACTAATGGTAAATACATTAGATTGCTAATTAAAGAACGTGTGTTAGAAATTAAACAATTTAAACGGGTTTATGGCACATTGTAATAATGCTGAAGGCACAAAACAACTTTAAAAAGTCTGTTAACCCGAGTTCATCTGTTCTCATCACCACAATTCTACCCGTTTTGGAAATGTACAAAACCAAAGCTGAATTGGTATTATTGATTTTCCTTTTCCTCTCCAGATTTGGATTTGTCTGATTCTGGTGACGGGCCAAGAGATTACAAGATCGTCCGCTGGATTACCAGGAACCTGGTAAGCAACCGTTTTGTGCAAGTGCTCAAACACTCTAACAAGAGAAGGATAGTCTAGTAAAACATGTCCAACGCGCACACAATCATGGGCAGATCCAGAAATTTGTGCAGGGGGGGGGGGGGGGGGGGGGAGGGTTTCATCGGCGAATCAATGCTGAAATGTAGACAGTTTTTTTTGTCTAGACACTTTACCTCCGTAAAATCATGGAGCTATTAAACAGGGTAAAAACATTACAGTGCAGGGGGGGGGGGGGGGGCTCAATTACCATACTTTCAATGGAGGCACTGATCAAATCCGACGATTATTAACACTATAGTACAGGATAGCCTACAAATACCCCGTAACCCAGCTGGCTGTGTCTGTATTTTGTGCACAGGGGGTCCCTCCCCCCCCCCCCCCCCCCCCCCCCCCCCCCCCCGATCCTTGCCTGACAATTCTATTCAATTGATTCAGAATGGTTTTTCACTGTATGTCCCGTCATGCATCTGATGTACACAGTGGTCTGGATTTAGTCCATTCATTGGCATTACGGGGTAATCCTATACAATAGCACTGCCCGGCTCGCTTTACCAACCTACAACCATTGTATTCACGAGTGGCAGTGAGTCGGTCAGTCAGTCAGTTACGTACAAAGAGGACATTAGGTTTGTCCTCGTCGACAATCAAAAATGCTTTATGCATACAGTAAACTCCGGCTAAGTCGGCACTCTCGGGACCCGAGAATTTGTGACGACTTACGCGAATGCCGACATCTGCTGTAAGACGTCATTTTGCCGACTTACATGAATGGCCTTATTGCACACATGATTCATTGCACTAATTGGCTTCGATTTACCCTAGTTTATCTCCTAAATGCTTTAGTTGAATCCAGTAAATTATTTCCCAAATTTTATAAACACGTTTGGGGTATTGATAGTGGAGTAATACATTTATGTGCACAGTTACGAATTAAATGCGTGCGTGGTATATTAAGTACGCATTGACTGCATCATTGCAGGCATAGGCATTGACTGCATCATTCAATAAGATGACCCCCAAAATGGACAGAGCTCATGCGTACAGCCTAGAGGGGTTACTGCTATTGATATACTCACGATGCATGCAGCAGGAAACCCTTTGGTTTGGCTGTGAAGCAACAGAGATGCAGCGATCATGGGCCGTGCCAAACCATTTTTCTTGCCAACTGCAGTACAGGAAGTTGATGCCAATGCGTGATTTTTTGAATGCCGACTTACACAAAGGATTTTGTTATGCTGTTCATGGAAAGGGGATCGAGAGTAACATGACGACTTGAGCAAAATGGCGACTTATAAAAGTCGACTTAGAAATAAAAAGTTAATGGAAATTCATTCCCGGCAATTGGAACTTTAGTCAGACAGCCGACTTGAGCAATTTGTCGACTTAGTCAGTGTTTACTGTTTTTATTTTCTGGATATTAATCGATTCCAACTTTGATACCTCTGAATTCGCCAGGGTGTAGCTACGATCCCCTGCAGTGCCTTCTATTGTGAGGAACACCGAGCCTTTGGAGAGAAGTACATTCGCTTCTGCTTCATCAAGGTAAAGCAAATTATAACTTACCATAAATATGTGACCCTCCAGCACAAAAACAGTCGCAAGGCCGTATTTTGAGGTACAGCCTGTGATACATTGTACAGGAAAACAATTATCAAAAGTTGATTTTAAATTTTCCAATGAGTTTATATTAAGGAAACTTGAACAACAAAGATATCAAGTTTATTTTTTTAAGTGAACTGAAAATACTTAAAAGTTGGTAAGATTTTTGTCTCATTCCTAAATTCTATACATCTTTGGAAAGATTATTCAATGTACTTTTCCAGGAGCCCAAAATTCCACTTTGGAAAAATAGGTCCAAGTGACTGGTTTTGTGCTGTTGGGTAACACTTAGATTGAGAGCCTGGCTATTCAAGACTACTCTGATCTCGAATTAGAAGGCTACTCAGATTCGAGCCAGCCAACCGATCCCGTTAGCTCGGTGGTTGAGTGGTAAGACGTCTGCACTAGAAAGCAGGAGGTCATTGGTTCGAGTCCCACCCGAGTGATTTTTTCCAACTGTCACTTGGGAGGTAACACACTGAGTATACAGTGTTTGTACGTCGGTGAAGGGCAAAACATAATTGATTTACATCACCCCGATGCGAAATTCCATCTCATGAACTTGGCTATTGTTAGTGTCATTCATAAAAACAGGCATGTAGGAATATTGTTAACTACCCATAAACACATCTACCAAAAGATGAAGACAAATTCTGGCTCGAAATGGAGATAGGACTGATACTAAATATTCTGTGAAATAATTCTGCCAGAAAATGTTTCGATTGCAGGAAAACAAGTTTCATTGCCTGCGACAATATTTAAGGGTTTTTTTTGGCTTTTTTTTGGGAAAAATTACAGGAAGACAGCACCATAGAAAAAGCGGCGGAGAAGCTAAGGAAATGGAAGGATGCTGTATAAGGATGGAAGCACAAATGAAGAGGCTGTTCCTTGACTTCACCCATTTGGATAATGCTGCAACAGGTTGTCGACCAGACTGTGTGTGATTTAGGGGAGACAGTGCTACTTTGGTTGGATGGGGTATAGAAATTAATTAAATTAATGAAATTTGCCTAATATTGCCTGTCTCCCTGATTGTGTATATCTGATGCGATCAAGCTAAATGAGACGTTTTTTGGGAATGTTCATCTCAAGCCAAAATAGGGTCACTTCATCACATCACTTCATCGCATTTCTTGGTGTTCCGACTTCCATAACTTTTGAACTAAAGATGGTATCAGAATGCGGTCTTCTCATCAGTAATGTTGGGATTGTGCTCTATTCAAATCTGTAAAAAAAAAAAATTGACCAGGGCTGACAAATGACTCATTTAGCTTTATCACATCACATATTGAGGCTTGGCACTATAACAGTTTATTAGAAAATGGAAATAGTGGATTTTAATTGACTGATAACTGGTCATGTGACGTGTTTCAGTAGTTCATATGTAGCGACATATGACTCCGCAAAGCACGTCACCTCATGTTGTCCGATTACAATAGCGTGGTCTGTCTCAAAGACTTTTGAATAATTATGTTCTCACCGTTTTGAGCAGCACAGATAGAATACACCCTGGGCACAAGGTTGGCAGTGTACCCAGGGGCATGCGCGCATTGGACTGTTCAATTGAACGCATAGGGGTGTCAGTACAGAGAAACCCGTCTTGACAAAAGTAACATTTTTGATAACCATATTGTTAGTTCTTAAAGACTCTATAAATATATATAAACATATATATCATGGTAAAACCAAAACAAATTGTCTGGTTCGAAGTAAGAAAAAAAATGAATTTTGTACGTCCTCGGGTGAAATGGCACCCGAGGCGAAGCTGAGGGTGTCATTTTCACCCCTCGTCTGTAAGGCCCCCCCCCCCAAAAGTCTCCGGTTTCTGGTATGCGCCCGTGTCGCCGTAGCCATGCGCGTCGGCAAAATGAAAAAGTATTTTGTTCAATGAAAGGTGATGTCTCAAAACCGCCAAACTCACTGGTTTGACTGGAATCCTGCTGCTGCACAATTTTAATGTGTTTTTGGATGGGGTTATGATCGAGAATAAGCTTTATGTGGCCTCTCTGGACTCCTATATATTTGTACGAAGTTTAGTTGGGCACCATTTGCAGTCATTAGCCGACATTTGAGGCAAAAAAAATCAGGTAAAAAAAAAAAAGCCGCGTCGCCGCACCACTTTTTGGGCAAGCTCCATACCAGAAACCGGAGACTTTTTTTTGTTGGCCTAAAAGGGTTAACCTTATAATTGTTACAAATTTGGTGAAAAATTTGTGAATGCAAGATAATCATGTTTGTTAATTTTGACCGATGAATCCCTCATTTTTAGCAAAATGAGGGATTTATGGATAAAAATAATTATATTTTAATACTGCTTTTTCCCAGTTTCATTTCACTGTATTTTTCTGTTAAAAGGTACATTTGGCAGGGGAACTTCTCGAACTGAATGTATCTTGCATGTAGAAATCGGGCCAATTGACGTGTTCAAATTTGTTCAGCCAAAATTTGAAATAGCAAGGGGTAAACCTTACATTTTTCACTAAATTGGGGTCAAAATTGTCTTTTTTTTGCATACGACTCAGAAATACCCCTTGATGCAAGAGGAACACATTTCAGTATTCATCAATCCAGAATTTGGAAGAATTGGGCACAAATAATCCACTTTTCGGTTAAAAATTGATATTTTTGGACTGATCTTATCCCTACCACAACTGTCCAGAAAACATGTAGGAATGTGTTTTAGGGCCCTTTGGGCATCTTTCCTTCAAGTTTTTAGCAACTCTATTTATCCGCCAAAATGTAAAAAAAATATTGTAAGGGGTTAGCTTTACCGTTTTTCACTGAATTTGGTCAAAATTCACTTTTCTCCAAATAATGCAAAACTTCTTTTCTGGAGATAAGAGGAGCGGCAATCAATAGTCAAAACACCCAATATTTGGAAGATTTTGCCATAAATTTTACCGTAAATTTTGGTTGACATTTTCTTTCCTGCAAACGACTCACAACAGCAAGAGGAACAAATTTAAGTATGCATACATCCAGAATTCTGAAGAAATGGGCAAAATTGCCCATTGTTTGATTAAAAAACAAGAATTTGTGACTGAATTTGTAGCCACCGTTTCTTCTAAATGACACGTATGTCCAGAAAATGTGTAGAATTGGGTTTAAGGAACCCTGGAGCATCTTTCCTGCAATTTTTGAGCAACTTCATTTTAAGGCCAAAATTGACAAAAATTGCAAGGGGTTAGCCTTACATTTTTTTAAAATTAAAATTGGCCGAAAATTGACTTTTTCTTTAAACGACTCGGATTTTTTTTTGATGTGATGCAAGATAACATGTTTTTAAACTCTTCATGTGGTTTCATAAGAGCTTTTCTGTATAAGTAAATTATTGACTGGAAGATAATTTTGAACCAGTTTTTGTGTTATTCAGAATATGGCTAATGAAAATCAATACAAAATGTAAAACATAATTGATCAGCATTTGGAGTAGAAAAATCAGTTAATCTGGCATTAAGAGGTGACCAAGGTTTTAATAAAGAAAAGGCAATTTTGACCAAGTTTCTTTAACATTTTAAGGGGTTAACCTTACATAACTATGTTTGAAACGTCTAGCAAACGTGTAAAAATGTGTTTAAGGGACCTTTGGGTATCTTTCCTGCAATTTTTGGACAATTGGTTTTTGGGGGGTTTTTGTTGCAGAAATTGGAAAAAAAATTGCAATGGGTTAGCCTTACACTTTTAATTATATTATTTAGCCAAAAATTTCCTTTCATGCAAATGGCTTCTTGATGTTAGATAACAGTTAATAATTTTTCGTTTGCTTTCATAAGAGCTTTTAAGTATAAATAAATAATTGATTGAAAATAACGATTTTGGACCCGTTTCTTTATTTTTGTGTTATTCTTAAGGTACCTATAGGAGCGACCGCTGGGGGCGCTCAACAATAGCGGTATACCGCTGGGGGCGACCAACAGCAGTCGCCCCTAGAGGTACGTACCGCTGGAGGCGACCAACAAAAGTCGCCCGTAGCGGTATACCGCTAGGAGCGACCAACACAGTCGCCCCTAGAGGTATTCGTACCGCTGGAGGCGACCAACAGTCGCCCCTAGAGGTATATACCGCTGGGGGCGCTCAACAATAGTCGCCCGTAGCGGTACGTACCGCTGGAGGCGACCAACACAGTCGCCCCTAGAGGTATTCGTACCGCTGGAGGCGACCAACAGTCGCCCCTAGAGGTACGTACCGCTGGGGGCGACTCGCCCGTAGCGGTATACCCTAGCGATATACCGCTGGGGGCGACCAACACAGTCGCCCCTAGAGGTATTGGTACCGCTGGAGGCGACCAACAGTCGCCCCTAGAGGTACGTACCGCTGGGGGCGCTCAACAATAGTCGCCCGTAGCGGTACGTACCGCTGGGGGCGACCAACACAGTCGCCCCTAGAGGTATTCGTACCGCTGGAGGCGACCGACAGTCGCCCCTAGAGGCACGTACCGCTGGGGGCGCTCAACAATAGTCGCCCGTAGGCGACCGTACGTACGTACGGTACGTACCGCTACGTACGTACCGCTGGAGGCGACCAACAGTCGCCTCTAGAGGTACGTACCGCTGGGGGCGACTCGCCCGTAGCGGTATACCCTAGCGATATACCGCTGGGGGCGACCAACAATAGTCGCCTGTAGCAGTACACCGCTGGGGGCGACCAACACAGTCGCCCCTAGAGGTACGTACCGCTGGGGGCGCTCAACAACAGTCGCCCATAGCGGTATACCGCTGGAGGCGACCGCAACAATAGTCGCCTGTAGCCAGTTCGCCTCCAGCGGTACGCCCCTAGAGGTATTGGTACCGCTGGAGGCGACCAACAGTCGCCCCTAGAGGTACGTACCGCTGGGGGCGCTCAACAATAATTGCCCGTAGCGGTACGTACCGCTGGAGGCGACCAACACAGTCGCCCCTAGAGGTATTCGTACCGCTGGAGGCGACCAACAGTCGCCCCTAGAGGTACGTACCGCTGGGGGCGACTCGCCCGTAGCGGTATACCCTAGCGATATACCGCTGGGGGCGACCAACACAGTCGCCCCTAGAGGTATTGGTACCGCTGGAGGCGACCAACAGACGCCCCTAGAGGTACGTACCGCTGGGGGCGCTCAACAATAGTCGCCCGTAGCGGTACGTACCGCTGGAGGCGACCAACACAGTCGCCCCTAGAGGTACGTACCGCTGGGGGCGACTCGCCCGTAGCGGTATACCCTAGCGATATACCGCTGGGGGCGACCAACACAGTCGCCCCTAGAGGTATTCGTACCGCTGGAGGCGACCGACAGTCGCCCCTAGAGGCACGTACCGCTGGGGGCGCTCAACAATAGTCGCCCGTAGGCGACCGTACGTACGTACGGTACGTACCGCTACGTACGTACCGCTGGAGGCGACCAACAGTCGCCTCTAGAGGTACGTACCGCTGGGGGCGACTCGCCCGTAGCGGTATACCCTAGCGATATACCGCTGGGGGCGACCAACAATAGTCGCCTGTAGCAGTACACCGCTGGGGGCGACCAACACAGTCGCCCCTAGAGGTACGTACCGCTGGGGGCGCTCAACAACAGTCGCCCATAGCGGTATACCGCTGGAGGCGACCGCAACAATAGTCGCCTGTAGCCAGTTCGCCTCCAGCGGTACGCCCCTAGAGGTATTGGTACCGCTGGAGGCGACCAACAGTCGCCCCTAGAGGTACGTACCGCTGGGGGCGCTCAACAATAATTGCCCGTAGCGGTACGTACCGCTGGAGGCGACCAACACAGTCGCCCCTAGAGGTACGTACCGCTGAGGGCGACTCGCCCGTATAGCGGTATACCCTAGCGATATACCGCTGGGGGCGACCAACACAGTCGCCCCTAGAGGTATTGGTACCGCTGGGGGCGCTCAACAATAGTCGCCCGTAGCGGTATACGTACCGCTGGAGGCGACCAACACAGTCGCCCCTAGAGGTACGTACCGCTGGGGGCGACTCGCCCGTAGCGGTATACCCTATCGATATACCGCTGGGGGCGACCAACACAGTCGCCCCTAGAGGTATGCGTACCGCTGGAGGCGACCGACAGTCGCCCCTAGAGGCACGTACCGCTGGGGGCGCTCAACAATAGTCGCCCGTAGCGGTACGTACCGCTGGAGGCGACCAACAGTCGCCCCTGGAGGTACGTACCGCTGGGGGCGACCAACACAGTCGCCTCTAGAGGTACGTACCGCTGGGGGCGACTCGCCCGTAGCGGTATACCCTAGCGATATACCGCTGGGGGCGACCAACAATAGTCGCCTGTAGCGGTATACCGCTGGGGGCGACAACACAGTCGCCCCTAGAGGTACGTACCGCTGGGGGCGCTCAACAACAGTCGCCCATAGCGCTATACCGCTGGAGATTTTCGGGCAGGAAATAGCAAACTTACTTTGACTTTCGTGACGGTTGCCGGTTCAACCTTCCCGCACGCCCGCGAAGAATTAAATTGGCGGACGGACCACGCGTGTCGTCGTTGGTGGCTAGCGCGCGCCGTACGGCAGCCGGATGGCGTCGGGCCGGCAGCCGCATCAGTAAAACAGGTCCTTCTCTCGGGGAAAAAAACGAATAAATTTCCCATTTCCCCTGAAACGGATGAATAAAACAAATTTCCCATTTTCTTTAAACAAGAAAAAACGATAAACAACACCACTACCTATTTCTCTTTAAAAAAGAAAAACGGATAAACAAAACCATTTCCCATGTCCCTTTAAAAAAGAAAAACGAATAAAACAAAACCCACTTCCCATGTCCCTTTAAAAAAAGAAAAACGGATTAACAAAACCCACTTCCTATTTCCCTTTAAAACAAGAAAAACGGAACGTGGTGAGATTTCCCACTTTCCAACGCGACAGCCTGAAAAACGAATAACGATTCCCACTTCCGAATTTGACATCGAAACGGAAAACGAATAACGAATAACGATTCCCAATTCCGAATTCGACATCGAAACGGAAAACAAATAACGAATAACGATTCCCAATTCCGAATTCGACATCGAAACGGAAAACAAATAACGAATAACGATTCCCAATTCCCAACTCGACAGTGTAACGAAAAACGAATAACGATTCCCACTTCCCAACTCGAAAGAAAAACGAATAACGATTTCCTTTTCCCATTTCCTATCGCGAAGGAAAATGGGATTTCGTGGTGCATTATGGGAAGGCCGTGTCAAAAACGTAGTCAGTCGGCCGTTGAGGGCGCACTTGTACATGACCATTATTTATCTCGGATCGATAGCTAGCTGTGATCGCAACTGATGATGGTTTTGGACATGTTCCGATAAAAAGTGATCGCTGTAATGAATATGGCAGAATATATACGTGATCCCTTGGAATTCCCATACTGCGAGGAGGTCTCAAAATATGAAAAATTGGCCAAGATAGGGCAGGGAACGTTTGGGTAAGAGAACAATTATTTGGAAAGAATGTTGCAACCTGACGCTACTTCCTTGCAGTTGTGTACAAAGTCTATGGAGAGTCAATACAATTTTCGAAGTATTTCCTAACAAAATTGGAAATGTTTCTCAGTCCCAGTTTTATGTCTGATCATCATTGTTGCAATGACTGACCTTCACTGAGATGATATATTATTTATGGAGAAAACAGAACATTCTTTTCGGGTTAAAAATAAAATGAGTTATATATCGATTGTTACATTTACAGTCCGTGGTTTATGAATGATGTTTGTGTTTGTATGTATGTCATGTTTGACCATGTCACTAGAATTAGTACTGTGCCAGGGATGTGGGTACAAAATGTACCACGTTTTTTTGATCATATCGTTCTTTTTGTTCTGTTCAAGTAGATTTCATTTTCTTCTTCGTAATCAGTGGCTTCGGAGGAATGTAAAAGAGAAATTATGTCTGAGAACCATTTGGTTAAATGATAAGACCTTGACGTTGAATACTAGTTGAAAAAGGTCAGAGAACCAATTCATTCCATACCAATAATAGTTGAAATCACGTTATGGGTGCCGCAACGATAGCCACTGCGTAACAAAAAAATATTCTTTTAGGAACCTGTTTTTCCAGTTGATGTTGCACAATCAACACGATCAAGTAGCACTGGAAACAAACGTGTCCCTAAACCTCACCATCTTTTCTTTTCAATTTATTCTCATTAGGGAGGTTTTCAAGGCAGAAAACCGGAAAACAAAGGCGGTGGTTGCCCTGAAGAAAGTGCTCATGGAGAACGAAAAAGAAGGGGTAAGATAAACTTAACCTTCCCAAATCTTTTCACCAACAATGCTTGGTATTGTTTTGTACACAAAAATCGGGAGCCAAGGACGATGCTTGGTATAGCGACGTTGCGCTGTAATTGGCTTTCTGCATGATCTTTTTGGCTGTAATTAGTAGCTTTTATTACTAAAGTAACTTTTGATTTTTTTAATTACAGTTCCCTATCACAGCACTGCGAGAGATCAAAATTCTTCAGCTTCTGAAACATGAGAACGTAGTGTCCCTGCTTGAAATATGCCGCACAAAAGGTGAGCTGCAATGCGCTCGACATTTAAATTCATCAAAGCTATATGTACTTCTTTTTTTTATCTTACTATTTTTTAATCTCTTATGCCCTCATGACATTGTAAGGCGATTGTGGAGTTAAGGACTCCTCAGACTTAATTCTTAAAAAGATTTTTGTTGCTCGAAAACGACAATCTTCTAATTACATTGACCATGCTATTTTGAAGTTTGAACACTATTTCAGGATAAACTGCGACGCAACCGTGCAAATCGACACACTCGCACAGTTGTCGACATGTGTTCAGCTAGTGAGATAGGGAAGGGGTACATTTTTTGACAGTTCTTGATAGTCTAAAGTATAGAACCTTGGTTAATCCGAGTTTTTGTATTACTTTGGTTAACATGTTTTCTTTTTTTTCCATTTGTTGACAGCAACAGTGTACAACCGTTTCAAGGGGAGCATCTATCTGGTCTTTGAGTTCTGCGTCCACGATTTGGCCGGGCTCCTCAGCAACTACAACGTGCAGTTCTCCCTCGGAGAGATCAAGGAAATCATGAAGCAGCTACTGAACGGCCTGTACTACATTCATAGTAACAAGGTGCTGCATCGGGACATGAAGGCCGCTAACATCTTCATCACTAAAGAAGGGAAGTTGAAGCTTGGCGACTTCGGTCTCGCGAGAGCCTTCAGTATGCCCAAGCCGGGCCAGGTGAACCGCTACACCAACCGGGTGGTGACGCTGTGGTACCGTCCCCCCGAGCTGCTCTTGGGCGAGCGGAACTACACGCCGGCGATCGACCTGTGGGGCGCCGGCTGCATCATGGCCGAGATGTGGACGCGGAGTCCCATCATGCAAGGCAACACGGAGCAACACCAGCTGACGCTCATCAGCCACCTCTGCGGATCGATCACGCCGGACGTGTGGCCCGATGTCTCCAAACTGGACATGTTTCACAAGCTGGAGCTACCCCAAGGGCAGAAACGCAAAGTCAAAGACCGCCTCAAGAAGTACGTCAAGGATCAGTTTGCTCTGGATCTCATCGACAAACTCCTAACCCTGGATCCGAAATCGCGGACGGACGCCGACCAGGCGCTCAATCACGACTTCTTCTGGAACGACCCAATGCCGTGTACTCTTGTCAATATGCTGTCCAAGCACAACCAGTCCATGTTCGAGTACTTGGCTCCGAAGCGGAGGATCAACCAGCCGGGACATCATCCGGGGGGTCATGGCCCACCGATTCACCCCCAGCGACAGCCTGGGCCATCCGGTAGACCTGCCAATGCCACCGACGCAACCTACGATAGAATATACTGAAAAAGGAGTCAACACAGCAAATGTCACATTGAGAAAGCAAGGCGTGAACTTACCTTTGTAAGGTGTCACGACGAATATTGTTGCCCCCATCAAGGCAAAGGATGTACTGTTTCTGCCATATTTTTAATCGCAGTATTGCAAAACTCAAACAATAACACATTCTGAGTGCTGTTCATGTTTTTGCCAGTAGTGCATAAAAAAAAATGCACCTCTTTATTTTCCTCCAAATGTATTGAGTTGCACCTTAAGACATTGAACCAATGGGATGCGATACTAAAAAGTAAGCATCGTCGATATCAGAATTTTCAAGAATCGATGAATCGGATATCCAATATCGAGAATATTCGATATATCAATTGTCCCGTGTCATCATCATCATCGTCGTCGGTTTTGAGGCCGTTGCCCAGTCTGTTCTGGGTTGGCCGTGTAAAAAGTTAAAGACCATAAACATGACACTTTGATTATAAAAAACAATGTTATGTCCCATTTTTCCACGGCTTTCTCTGGAGCATATTGCTCACACTTTTAGAAATAAATCTCAGCACCGAGTGTTTGTCCAGAACGGGCGGTTTCTTTTGAGGTACATTCGGGAGACCGCGAATTCCAACAAACGCAGAGCACAAACCGACGCAGCTTGGCATTTTGCAATGTTTTGCAATAATTTTTGAGTCACAAGCACAAGTCGCCGCCGAGTTTTATTTCATTATACAGTCGAGTCTCATTATAACAAACTCGTTCGGACCTTGCCAAATTGTTTGTTATATCAGAATTTTGTATTAAAAGGAACATCAGTCCCATTCATTGTGCATATAAATGCACAGTCGGGACCAAGGCTTTAGTTTGTTATAACCAGAATTTTGTATTAACAAAGTTTGTACTAACGAGAGTCAACTGTACACGTTCAGCGGACGTTAAACACAAAGTAAAAGCACAAACGGGAGATTTACTTTGACGATAATCTGATGCACTTTCGATATTCCTGATAGGATTTTAAAAAATTCTATTGGCGATATCGATATCAAAATAACATCGAATAATCAAGTAATATCGACGGTGCTTACTGATAAGTCACATGAAGCAGATTGTTTTCAACCAACTTTTTGCCCAACGCTTATACTTCTGTTAAAATTCAAAGACTGTAGAAGAAAATCATCGCTCATAAATTAGTAGAAAATGACCACATGAACTGCATGACAATTTTGAGATGCTTGTAACTTTTTATATAATTTTACCCCCTGAAGTACGGTTTTTACCATTCTGACCCTTCGTGTAGAAATGAGGTGTTAAAAATCATGTCAGTTCAACTACACCAACACTAACTGTCAAACAGTTAGACCTACCATGTATGTGTGCTACGACTGCTATTAAAGTTTTCAAATTAAAGACTGATGCGTATAAATTAGTGAAATATACCCTGTACTAACTCATGAAGACATCATTAACAACATTGACCAGTTTCTGTGGTCTGTCACTTAATAAAAAGTTGCAAGGTATTTTGTATTTACATGGTTATATTCACAAGGTTGTGTTACAAGCGTGGCGGTAGGCAGGTTTTCGGGGCGCACATAGACAGTTTAAAGGTAGAGTGGACCATATGAAGCTAGCAAAAAAGTAACCGACCACATTGTGAAAAAGCTTACTTGGTTCGAAGATAGTAATGGCACTAAACTCCCTGTGAAATGATTGCTTCTGGCATGCTGTCATTTTGAAGAAAACAACAAAAAGGTCATTTCAAAAGATGTGTCAAGTGACACATTTTTGGAAATGTCCATGAATGCGTGCCCCTATGTGTTCTAATGTGTAGTTGGTTTGCAATTGTGCGAATCCGTGAATGGGTGACGCATTTCAAAAAATGACTCGGCAACTTTGCATTTGAAATGGAGAGCCAGATTATGTTTGGTCTTTTTTTCTCGAAATATACAGCATCACAGAGCAAAAACTTCTTCAGGTTAGTTATTAAAACGCCCTTCTTTAGATTTTGAGCACTTTTGTTGGTTCAAACGAAAAAAAGAAGAAGCATAAACTACAAATGGTCTATCTACCTTTAAACACATGTATGTCTGGGAAAAATAAAGATCTTCGAAACCTCATGGTATTTATGTGTACGAGACAATCCATATTTGTAAAACATAAACAAAATATTAATTCATGTAACCTGTTACTCCCTGTACAACCAGCCAGAGCTCTGTATATGGATTTACCAAGAAATAAATACAATGTAATACAAAATCATGGATTTTACAACAGTCAACCACTGAGGAAAAAAAAATCTCATTTATTTGAGTAAAAGACGACAAAAGAATGAAATGGATTAAAATTTAAAATGAAAAAAACAACCTAAAACAAAATCTTATTCTGGCCTTCAGTCTTTACTGTTTGTTGCTTAATTACTAACAGGCCCTCACAAAGCCTTCATGTACAAGAGAAATCAGCACCAAAACAAGCGACACCCTAAAACCGAAAAAAGCAATAAAAGTTCCAGCCATTGTCTTGAGCTGGGGTGATATACATGTCATATGCAAATGAGGTAACATGCAAATTATGTCATATGCCAACTTAAACTAAACACTGATCCATTAAGCCCCACCCACTGTGTGAGACATGTGCAGCTCAAATGTCGACAATGGGCGGGGCTTAATGGATTGGGGGCGGGGTTTAATGGTTGGGGCGGGCTTAATGGATTAGGTGGGTGGGGCTTAATGGATTAGGGCAGGGCTTAATGGATTGGCCTATTACTATGGGGCAAAACGAGCAGCCCCGTAAGTTTTCTTATCAATCCAACACTCCTCAGTGTTGCTGGTAAACTTACGAGCGAAGTCACCATCAGCACTTCATCAAGTGTTGTCTCGACAAAGAACTCTGAACTTTGACTAAGGTCCAACCCCTGTCGCTTTTTCCTGATACGCTAACATTCCCAACAGTCCAACACGCTTGAAATGTAATGATATAACACTGTTTCCTACAAGCTAGTCTTGATCCCAGACTGGATTTAGAATTTAATTCTCCGAGTACAGTCGGTCGCTGACAAAACGCAGAAAGCTGCTGCTGCAGTAGAGGTCACTATAAAACAAGAAAATCAATTCAATCTTGGGAACTTTGGCACCGCTACCCGGGAAATCCTGAGCTACCTCGTTCGCACTGTATTCAAGCTAATGCACACGCGTGTGAGCTATGCTCAGAATTTCCCGGGTGGCATTGCCAAAGTTCTCAAGGCAACCTCTACTATTGCAGTGACTTGATCGTATTTGCCGAGGTAACCCAGCGTGATGTTATTTTGTCTTCGTTAGATGCAAAGGCATCATCACTACAGACAAATCGTTGGGTGTGCCACGAAGTGAAGGACGGTCTGTGGACTTTTGTACACGATACGTCACTTTGTGGTGCAGCAACTATCCACGCTACGTCACTTAGTGGGGCGACCGCTGCTCATTTTCAGGAGCCGGTCTTCTCAAATCTTTGTGAGTAGATGCAAAATACTCACCAACAGGCAAATTTCACATCTTACTCAACGTATTTGCTCCGAACCTATAGGTCTCTCTCAAAGACGGCTGTAGGAGATTTGCAACTGCATATTTTACGCAATAAAGCAAGCATTGCTCAGTGTAGAAAATGTTCCAAACACGTGCACTTGTTGCTCGAAATGTGTTGGAAATGCGATGCAGCTGATGCGCGTTATGTAAGTTGACGCTCAAAATGCCGGTGCACGTGGCTGGTCTGTAGGAAATGACGTCACTTGAGAGAGACCTATACCATGAACCCTCCGTTTTCTCTTTCATCAAAGGCACTATTTCTGAAGAAAAAAAACACCCAGAATTGTTGCCTTTGCTCTACACAGTTTGAACAATTCTTGTGTTTTCTTTCTTTCTTTTAATCATGGAGTTAATCTTGTACATCTCAGAACAACTACAGACTGATCACGGTTAGGACCAATAGGGGCAACGTGAGCCTGGTAAGAAATATGATCAGAAAAATGAGGGGAAAACGGCAAAAACAAGGATTAACTGCACAAGATAAAAAAAAAAAAAACCCAGTATGCAACGCCTTGGCTATGTGAGACCCCCGTTACTTCGTTTTTGTTGTGTATTTACAGATGCATAGTTTAAAATGTTCTAATAATATTACACTTTACAAAATGTACACATTTACAGTTGTATAAATTACACCAGACAAAAAAAAATTAAAAATAAACACAAAAGTAACGGCCACTCTTACATTGGGTGCAGCATTTACATGTACCAGACATAGAGTTCTGCAGAAGCAGATAGGGAAAGAATTTTGCATCCTGACACCACTTTTTTTCATCGTATACAGGGCGAGTCAGAATGATTTGTACCCAAATTCACTCTTTTGTTTTGTGGCAACTCAAGTATTCTGAGAAAAAAACTGAGTGTTTCATGTGAATGTTATTACCTTGTCTTCCACAGGACTTTTGAATTTTTCAAATTCGTGGCTGTGGCGAGGAGTTATGCCGTTTTCATTGAAATGGCTCATTTTCCAGTCTGCACACGGAATTGGTTTTGCCTTTTTTAAATGTGTCGATAACTTCAAGTGAGTCAGTCACCTTGACTAGGTTTTTATTTGTTATTACTCTGCTTCACATCAGTACGCGATTTCGATAAATTTGTTGAACCATGGAACCGTGGTCAGAGTGTCTTTTAGCGTGTGTTCTTTGCTAGCGCTTTTCTTCAAAATGATACAATGGATATACATGAAACTTCACCAAATATGTCCAAAATACCAACCAATAATATCTTAAGTAAGATTTGAGGCTTTGCATGGAGGAGATACTTAATAATGAAAGGTTTGCGGCAACACCATGAGGGAATGATTTCTCAACTGAGAGAATGGTTCTGAAAAGAACCAGAGGTATAAACTCGACGTTCCGGTCAGTATGCTCTGACCGTCTTCAGGAGAGTGCCTAAACTCTAAGAAAGTAAATACTTGAGTAGCAAATGCGACATCGATGAAGTGTGAAGTTGCATCCTGTGTGGACGCCAAGTAGCTGGGAGCCTAGAGCAAGCTTGGTGCCCACTGATTAATGACGCATCTTGTTTGCACTTGTTTTGAGCATTGCTACATATTTTTATTGTTTTCTTTAATTTGAGTCCGGATCATTCCGACTCGCCCTGAATTATCTCAATGAAGGTCAATCACTGCAAATTTTTTTTGAAAAGACATGAATCTGGGACTGAGAAACATTCCCAATTTTGTTAGAAATTACTTTGAAAAAATGCACTCGATTCTCCGTAGACTTTGTACACAACCAAAGAAGTGGCGTCTGGATACTAGTTCTTCCCGCAGATAGACAAGATACCGTTGTAGTACTGCACAGTTGGCGCAAACGAGTACTAGGTTTCATTGAACGACCGAGGAACAACTTTCAACTTATCTTTTATTTTATAAAACACTGTGCAACCTATAAAAATGCAGCCGTGTTTTGTGCAATAAGCACGTATTTTATGAGTTATTAGCAAAGCTGTGATTTGATGAAGTAAGCACAATGCAGGTCTAGTCCCCAGTGCGTTGGCAAGCAATTTGAATGATAGAGGGGGATACACATTTGGTGACAGACTACTCCGAGCTGGAAGGTACTCAGGATGGCACCCGAAGGGGGAGGGGCTTGGGGGGGGGGGGGGCTTGGGGGAGGGATGCTGGGCCAGTCACAATCTGACTCCACGTATTGGGGGCGCTGTTCAAAGGGGACAATATTGGACCTTATCGGACAATAGGTGGTGCTATTTGTTGTGTGGAATATCTGCTGATGGACACGGCCCACAAGATGATGACTGGATGATGACTGGTCAATGGCACCATCCTTGCGGCTTCTCCTGGCATTTCAAAGCAGCATCCTTCTTTCAAGGTAGCGTACTAAAGCAGTTGTCCATCTCTACCATAGTAGCAGTACGTCCGTGTATCTATTCAGCTCTATATGTACCAGAGGCATTCTTTTCAAGTGTAACGCTGCACCTATCTTTTTTTTCAGTCAAAGGACATCAGGTTAGCTGGTGTCTGCAACAGAAAATAAACGTTAACAATTAGTTAACAATACAAGCAACTTTCATGAATCATTATTACTAGCATTCAACTAGAACAGGTCTAGGTTTGACTAGTCGAGCCAAACCTGAAAGTCTCAGTTTTGGATAGTAAGTAGAAGTAAAGTCTGTCTCGAGCCAATGTGGCCCATTAGGCCGGCGTTTATCTCCGGTTTCAGTAGCATGAAATGACTGAGAATATTTCTATTCCCCCTGGATGGGATGCCAGTCCATCGCAGGTTACTCCCCAGCTAATGCCGGTACCATTTATACTCCTTGGTGGAGAAGGGCAAGTGGCGGTGAAGTGGCATGCCCAAGGACACAACATATGACCAGCAGCTGGATTCGAACCCCTGACCCTCTGATCATGAGTCAGGAACCCTAACCACTAGGCCCCACTCCCCCAAGTTTCGGATAGTATTTATGCGCCATTAGTCAGTCAATCCATCAGTCAGTGACTCTCACTGTCGGAGGAACGTCGAGGCAAATTCCATGCTACTTGAACCACTTCGCGCCAGGATTATTTTTGCCAAAAATTTCCATTTTCGCAAAAGGCAAGATTTTTTTAGCCAACTTCTAATATATACAGCAAACGCCACAGACACTGATTCGCAAGAGTCATTTCAACAGTATTTGTACGATATTCCTTGCCGACACCGCATATGTTTCAATACTCCTGGGTGTGCACTTGAGCGTAAATTGTACAATAATAGGCCGTGCACAACCGCCAATTCAAGATCAACACAGGGTCGGCCTCCAAAGACTTTGTGTGTGTGTACAAAAGACACTAGCGTGTTTAGACGTCACCCGGAGGCGAGTCGAGGCAATCTTGAAATTTTAACCCGTCAGCTGTGCCTGTGTATAAAAACAGCCAGTGCGTGTTATCATGTCCTCCGATGCGAACTGGTTAAGTTGTTTCAAAGAGAACCCGACTAACCTTTGGTCCTCTGTGTTTCTTAGTAGCCTCATCAAGGTACCGGACCCACTGGCAAGCCAAGGCATAAGAAGGGGCTTTGTATTTATAGGAGTTACCTGGTAGGACAGATGAGGGTGGGAAGATGGTGAAAGAAAAAGAGGGTGGATGAGACAATTAGCCTAATATTTACAGATTTGGACCGGCCAACCAACCCTGGCAAGCTGTTGGCAGTTGCGTGGTAAGACGTCTGCACTAGTAAGCAGGTCATGGGTTCAATTCCCACCTCAAGTAGCTTGTGAATTTTTTTTTTTCGCAAGTCCTCCCACAACACCGAGTGTTTTTAGAAAATATGTTGGTGAAGAGCAAAGCCCAATATTGAATATACACATCCTGATGGAAATTCCATCTTATTATAAAACATTTATATCCACCGCTCTTACTTTGTTACTACTCCACCCTCGCTTACCCCCGGACCAAGAAGTTTCGCGATGATGTTTTGGCTGCTGTCTGACAAAGGAGGTTTTAGCACTTTCCTTTAATAATAGCAGGTTCTTATATAGCGCTTTTAACTAAGATTAAAGCGCTTTACATTATTATTACCCCTGCTCATTGGGCCAATGAAACATTCCAAATACCATCTCAGCTCCCTGGGGAGTATACAGCTCGATGCAGCCTGTTAGGCGCAAGGAAGCTAATTCAATCACATAACCATCTCTGCCCTCACAGGTACCCATTTACTCCTGGGTGGAAGAAGCAATGAGTGACAAACTATATTGCCCAAAGGCACAGGCACCATAACCCCAGGCTGGACTCGAACCCACAACCTGCAGAATTACCCACAGATGATGAGTTCACAATGGTCCAGACCACGAGGCGACAGCACTCCACAATACTCTAAACATCAGGAGTAAGAAGCATCATATATCAACCACAATTTGACCAATAGTTCTCTATCAAATTTGCTCATATATTTAGATGTATTGTTAAAACACAAGCATTTAAAGAAAGAAAGACTGAATTGTCAAACTGAATAAAGACCAATCTGGGCAGGCTCCCTTTTTAATCACTATGGCCCCTTTCAATGACGAAAGCATTGTGCTAGCTATTGTTCAGATCATCCTTCATTGGCAGTTGCTTTGTACAATAGCATGCACAATGGTTTCTCCATTGAAGGGGGCCACGGGACAGCAATCTCGTGCCTGGATTCGTCTATAGATGGCCGTCCTAAAGTAACCCACCCTTTGCAAGGTCTGTTAGCAGGATGATGTTGTTTCCTCTCGTCTCCGGTAACGTGACCACCCAGTCACTGATAGAAAACAACTTGCAAGGTCTTATCTTGAACTGAAAGAAACGGCAAGACAAATGAACATGGATTTAATCACACAACCCAAAAATCTATGCATCTCCATCACAGCAATGTGTACGCTCCTTTCTCAGATTTGATATAATCTCATGATTTGTAGATAGGATAAATTTGCTTGAATGTAGTGTTCCTGCACTGCATACACCACGCGGACCGACAGAAACAGGGAGAACAACAGATTCTTTGTTGACCTCATGTGTTATCTTTTGTTAAAAACGGTCCTCAATCGCGATTTATGTGCTTAGTCTGTGGGAGTGTGTTATATTACAGGGACAAGGGAAACATAAAGTCTTGTCCTCAACAGTTATGTTAAGTACGACTGTGTGCTCTTACATGGCTTTACGACCAAGGATCACACACAGGGAGCACAAAGGTTCTTTTGTGGTCTTGATCGAAGGTCCCTTTGTCCTCGAATGCCGGTTTGCGCACTTAGTCTATGGGAAAGGTTTAGATAAGGAAACAAAGGAAAACACAAAGCCAATCCTTGGAAGCATAGCAAAAAACGACTGTGGTGCGCATGAGGTGTGTTTAAAATTTCCTGGGTAGCACTGCCAAAATTCCCAACATTGGGTTTGATTCATTATGTTGAAGGCGCCCTCTACCGCAGTAGACTTGCATTCAGCCGACCGGCTGTATTAGGGAATGAAAAAATACAAATTCAGTCTTGGACAAAGACTAATAATAATAAGCCCTGCCCACAGGAAACGTGATCCACAACACATGTGCCTCTCCATTGTCACACTGCATGGGCGTGTCATGCGCGTTGTGCACGCATGTCACATATTAAGTATGGCTGTAATTGGTTAGAATACCAGTGGGCGGGGCTTAGGATCGCATACTTACATCTGTTCTGTCGTGCCCAGTGAAGTACTTGGCTGCATAGTGTACAATGTTGGTTCCCCATAGACCCACCCAGTACCTGGTCCACGACGTCACCTGTCAAGACAACAAGACAACAAGATTTGCAAGTCTTATCACGACAACCAGTTATAATGATTTCCAATGATCAGCTCTAAAAGTGGCCATCTAGCCCCCATTTTAAAGGGAATGTACATCATTGGCTTTTGCTGCAATTTTCAGAAATGAACTATTTGAGGGGTTAGTATAATAGATCAAATATTGTACACTGACATGTTTGAAGTTTTGTGTTCAAAAATGCTGGGGAAAAAACAAGAAAAACTAAAATGTTCAAATAGTCTGGTTCCCTGACTCCACTAAAGATAAAATGGATCAATTTATAGATGCCGGAACATTGTTAGGTATAAAGGACACCAGTCTAGCTGGCCTGCACCTATTCATGAACATGTAACCGACAGCAAACAAAATTTAGACTGAAAAAATGGTAAATTTGGAGTAGGAGTTGACAAATAGTTAAGTTTTTCCAACGGTGGTTGGCCGACCACTGTTGGAAATTGATACAAAAATACCACTTTTCTTGAAAATGACTTCACACCTGGTGCCATAATATTACAGAATGCTTTACACTGTCAATTAACAACATCCTAGTAAGGTATTTCGTAAAAATTTGGTAGTTTTGTTTTTCGATGTTTGCAAATGTTGTATATTCCCTTTAAGCCCATTTTAAAAGCAATGTTTTTTTTGTAAAACTGGGCAAAACAATTTCAATTTTCGACATATAAATGCTATTTTGTGTACCAGCAGAAAAATGCCTAAAGAAACATGTACCCTCAACATACACAATTTCTATTTCTGCCCCGAGTGCAACTTTAACACTAAACAACCGTCAATATATCTTTAAAGCAAGGAGTTTGTTTAACCAATAAAATAAAACAAATCTGTCTCAGTGATAGCTGCCTATCTTTCAAAAATACAAAGCAATCATTTTGTAACTGTCTCCAACTTTCTGAGAATATGAACAAGGTCAAGAAAATATGTTTACTGAAAGAGGAAAAAAAACCCATTGAATTCACTCACCGATACTTTCCTCCCAATTTTCATGACCGGTTTCCGCTTGAGGTAACCTTAGAAACAAAGAAAGAAATTAAAAGTTGACTAAAAAAATTATAAAATGGCTCAAAACATATCTGTCAATTTAAAGTTTCTGAGAGGATCGTTCATACTCACCATGTATTTTGAACGCTGACGCCGGTACGTCTGGTAGATTCTGCACCAAGTCTTCACAGCTTTCTGTCATGCTGTAGGAAGAAAGTCAAAAGCAATTTCAGTTCACTGTCAAAAATCTCACAAAACACAAACGACTAAGACATGCAAATAAATAGCATCTCTTGTTTCTTTAAATTTAATATTAACTTGGAACACGTGTGGTCTAGTGGTTAGGATTCATGACTCGTGATCAGAGGGTCAGGGGTTTGAATCCAGCAGCTGGCCATATGTTGTGTCCTTGGGCAAGCCACTTCACCCACACTTGCCTCTCTCCACCCAGGGGGTGGAGTGTGCCTAGTGGTTAGGGTTCGTGCTTCATGATCAGAGGGTCAGGGGTTCGAATCCAGCTGCTGGTCACGTGTTGTGTCCTTGGGCAAGCCACTTCACCCACACTTGCCTCTCTCCACCCGGGGGGGGGGGGGGGGGGGGGGGGGGAGTGTGGCCTAGTGGTTAGGGTTCGTGACTCGTGATCAGAGGGTCAGGGGTTCGAATCCAGCTGCTGGTCATATGTTGTGTCCTTGGGCAAGCCAATTTACCCCATTTGCCTCTCTCCACCCAGGAGTATAAATGGGTACCGGCATTAGCTGGGGAGTAACCTGCGATGGACTGGCATCCCATCCAGGGGGAGTAGAAATATTCTCAGATGTTTGGTGCCAAGGAAACCGGAGATAAACACTGGCCTGATGAGCCATATTGACTCATGACAGACTTTTTACTTTTACTTTTAAACTTCGGCTGTCCAGAATTACAAATTCAAACCCTAAATCCACATGAGAAGCTAAACAACTGCAATATCTTGTTGTGTATTATCAGATCCTATTTTTAAACATTTATTTAAGATAAAAACGAAGATGATTTTTTTTATACTTACTTGTCCCCTATCCAGGGATCATGATCGTCGCTGATTTCAGAGCCTTCACTACTACCTGCAAAGTCAAGAAGTCAACAAATTACGTCAAAATGGGAAAGAATTCCATATACGTACGCCACTAGTTTTTCCCTGCAGTGACTCATTACCCATCAGAGAGGGATAACATGTCCTAAAAAGTGACAATTAGCAGGGAAAATGATGAAGCATTTAGTTGGAGAAAACAGAATTTTTCAGACCAGTCTCATAGGGTTTGTACACAGGGTGTCGAGTGGCATAGGTATACGGAATTCTTTCCTCAAAATGCTCCAAGTTGGTCCTGTTCCAAGTCAACTCACAAGTTTTTCAAATGAACGTGAAAATGGTATATCTTTCTAATTGTGAATCCCGTTACTGGACTGACTGGACTTGTAAATTGACTTGTTAAAGGTATAGTCCATCATTTGTAATTTGTGCATTTTGTTCATTTGAAGCAACAAACATGCTCAAAATCTAAAGAAGCGTGCTGAACAAATAACCTGATGAAGTTTCAGCTCAGCTTCTGCTGTATATTTCAAGAAAAGCAACATTCTAGGATCTCGATTTCAAATCAAAAGTTGCTGAATCATGTTTTGAACTGGGCCTGAATTCAGCGCTCGAGACACGTTCTCACTGAGCCGATTGCAGTTACGCGATGTCGCGCACCAATCCAACGAATGATAGCAACCATGCACGTGTGCGTCGTGTCAACGCTTGCGCCTCGCTGAATGAGAAAAGGAACTACTAACAAAAAATTTCCAACGGTGCTTCTTAAGACACACCATTAGAAAGGCCTTCTTTTGTTGATTTCTTCAAAATGACAGCTTGCCAGAAAGAATAATTTCACAGGGAGTTCAGGCCCCTTACTATCTTTCAACCAAGTATGTTTTTCAACAATAATTAAGTCAGGCCACGTCCGAAACGGGCTTCCAGAGCTACAGCTACGTCTATTGTCAGCGCGTCCCCGCGTATTTTCAATGGGCGCAGACCTAGACCTAGCTCTAGACAACTGATTCGGATGCAGCCTAAGTTAGTTTTTGGATAGCTGCAAACGATGGACTCTGGCTTTAACAGACACGTGAATGGAACTGAAATGTACTTGTGACCCACTGCAAGCGTCTAGACTTGAACAGCAGAGCAACTTTTGTGACTCGCTTTCCGTTCAGCCTCACCTATTGACATACCGTTCATGGACCCTTCTATGGAGCTGGTGATGGAGGGGTGGCCGTGCGCACTCGTTTCCTCCAGTAAGCTGTCGTCAAGAAGATGCCTCGGTCCGTGGCCAACGTGTGAGTTGGTTAAACTGGAGGAGTGAGGATTTGTATGAGACCTGGCTTATGATTGGTCGAAATACATCACACTCTATCCAATAGGATTACAAGTTTGAGTTGCATCAATCGTTGTAATGTGCAATTGATCATTTAGAAAGAAAGTTACCTAATACAAATTTTAACTATTTTTTTTTTAATAACTCTTATTAATCCTAACCTTCCCAAATGCTCATTGCAAAATGGAGGATTTTGCTGGATTGAGGCTATATGGCAAAAATGTGTGGCTGATTTTGGAGGATGCACTGTGTCAAGGTCTTAGGCCGGACCTTGTGTTGTTTTTGCTCAGCCGTGCATAAATTTAGGCCTACATTATACTTGACATCCTCCGCACTGCTCCAGGATGTCACTAACTCTGCCTCAACACTTCGACAGTGATTACTGGAGGATTTTGCAGGATTCAGGCAGTGGTCACCCCTCCAAGGACCACATTCAAGAAATAATGGATGATTGGAGAGGATTGAGGCTGTATGCTATAATTACATGGAGGCAGTAGGATTTTGCAGGATTGAGGTTTCATCACAGCAAAAATGCCTAGGGAATTAGGGTTAATATTAAAAATATGACAGTATATTTGACTTACTGTAAAGGCTCAATCGCTGTGTGAGACACGAACCTGTTCAGAGAGAAAAGATTAAAACAATCATGAATTTTGTAAATCTCTCGTAACTGTACCGCACGAGCACTCTATGGTCCTGTGAATAAACACAATGTAATACAATAATACAATGTACATACATTGGGGAATTGTAAGGTCAGGGAACCAGTCTAGCTGGCTTGTACCCGTTCATAAGTGTGTAATCGATTGCAAACAAGTGCGATGGTCAATTGGGGCCAGTATTTGAAAAAAGCCAGTTTTCTGGTCGGCCGACCAGCGTTGGAAATTGATACAAAAATACCACTTTTCTTGAAAATGACAGTACACCAGGTGCCATGATTTTACAGGATGCTTTACACTGTCATTCACTAACAGTCCGGCAAGGTTTTTCAAAATGATTTGGTAGTTTTATTTTTTGATGTTTGCAAATGTTGTATTTTCCCTTTAACTTTATGAACACATTTTCTGTTTGAATAATTGTATCAACTTTTGGTACGGGCCCTGCTCTCGTGACACTTACGTGGTTCCTAAGCTTTTACATTTCCGATGACCGGGTACGAATCTGGCCGCAGCAAGGGGCGTGGCGGGGGTGGATTTACCGGGTGATGAGCCTCGATCTACATTCAAGAACATCAGATAGAAACCACATGAAGTACATAAACAAACTGAACACATCAAACATAACTAAATTTTTGAATGTACTACCTGTCAAAAAAACATGTCCTACTTTGAATCCTAAATAACCCAGCTGTTTTAATACCAATGAAATTAAACCAACAATTCAGATCATGTAAACAAGATATGACACATTTTATGGAGTGAGATTCATCAGCTTTGTGCAAAGGGTGAGATTTAAACGCCATACGAAAAAAAACCCCTCATTTTCAGAATGTCGCTACAGTGCTGGAGACGTTGGCAAAACACATAAATACTGTAGTCTGGTACCATTATCCAATTCAACAGTTTGCAAGGCCTATTTACACATAAAAGATTTTGTCGCAACGACTATGTCGCCAGCAATGTCGTACTTGTTCTCCATAACACCGAGGACAGACACACAAAGGGAGAACAACAGATCCTTTCGGTCCTCGGGAGTTGGGTCTTTTGTTGGAAACGGTCCTCTATGGTAGGTTTGTGTGCTTATGGTCTATTGGAGTGTGTTATATTACAGGGACATAGGAAAACACAAAGCATTGTCCTCGGGAGTACAGTAAAACAAGAGTGCGTGCACACGTGTGTGTGTGTGAACGAACAAATGCGTGATATGTCTCACGATTTTTGACATTAGCGCGATAAGTCGGACGACTTTGTCCCGTAAACGTAAACGCGTTCATTGATTCGTGCGTATATATAAAAACACCCGACATTATTGCCTGACAAAATTGCGTATGTGTAAATAAAACTAAGGAAACAAAATAAACTAGACATATGTTTGTGGACAAACATAGGGCTGTTTCGGTAGCTTTTTGTGACATGTGACATGTGTTCCATCAACGAAGGATGTGTAGTTCTGTTTATAATAAATGGTGGCATATAATATGTGATTCCATTCGCATAGGGCTTTGAATTATGACGTCACATGACACGTGATGACGTCATGATGACGTCACATAAAGTTTTATCTATTACTATAATATTATGGTAAAGAACATCTTAGCCAGAGCAAACATCGTTGAAAGCATGTTCGCGTCTTTCACCAATTTTAAATTACAAAGCACTTCCGGTTTCAACCAGAACAAAGGGTCACGTGATTTATTTGCACATATTAAAAAAATGAAGACCCTCGATAATTCTTTCAATTCCCGCAAAAATCATGCTCAGGTCTCGACCACCTAATTTTTTTCTACCTATAACACATCCCGGTCTAGCCACATACCAAGTTTCAACCCAATCAGACTTACAGTTCTGTAGATATAAGACTTCATAATATGCACGTAAATTTTCAAAAATCAATAAAAAAAATTATGTGATGAAGTCATCATGACGTCATAGTCTTGGCATAATTTTTGTATGAGGGTCTTCCTTGGCTGTAACATTGATGACGATTCTAGATCGCCAAGTTATAGAAATGGTGGCTTGAAAACGTGTACAAAGTCAATGGGCTAACACGTGTACAAAGTTAACGGGCTAAAAAAAACCACTGCAGAAAAATTGCACCTTTAAATTTGTAATTTGCCTTTGAACTGAAACATTTTTATGAAATATTACTTGATATTCTGACCCTTAGGAATATGTTCAATCGAATGACAGCGCGAAAAAAATACGATTTCTCTTTCCTTCTCATAGTAATTCTCGGCTAAAGTTCAGAACTACTTAGTAAGATATCAGTGTTGTATAGGAAAAGACTTGTGGAAAATCCCACTGCAGAAAAACTGCACCTTTAAATACGTAACATAGGGCTTTTCGGCATTATGATTTTTTATTATACGTCCCTGACTATCCGCATGCATGAACATAAAATCTGTCAAAGTTAGCCGAAAATCGGCTAAAACGGTCACTGTGATATGATGTGGACAGGATTTGACCTCGGCAACACGTGCTCTGCAGGCTGACTGACATTACATGTACGATGTACATGTACAGTATGTGCGTAACGTACGTGTATGTACATATAGACGTTCTGTGCATGTTTTAGAGCAGATGTATTGTCAACCTGAAGTTTTAAGCGTGCGCAGGGCATGTCCGAGTTTGCGTTTTGCCTTGAAGCTTTGAAATGTGTTAGACCTACCCTTAAATCGACAATTAAAGTAAAAACTAACATAAAAACTGCCATGGTTGATTTTTCAGGAATTTTCAAATGAAAAAGGGTCTTTTTATTATAACTTCCGGTCTGATGACGTCATTCGCCTAAAACTTCGCACACGTCTTAAGTGGGTCAAGGTCATCATATACACCAATATTTAGGCGATTCCGACAATCTTCACCACAGACATCTATTCAAAATACATTTTTGCAAATTTTCAACCTGTCGCTAGAGGGCGCTCGAAGATTGCATGATGTCATTGGTAGATGATTTGAAGAATACTTTTAGCCAAGAGACTAACACCGTTAAAAGCAAGTTCATATCTATTACCATTTTCAAATAATAAGCCACTTCCGGTTTTGGCCTTTTTCGACCGGAAGCAAGGGTCACGTGATTTCACGCACACTGAATGAAATAAAGACCTCAACCTACTCTACCACTTGCCGGTAACAGAATGCTGCGGACGCGTACGGTTGATTTCTTATGCATTTTTAAATATTAAAAGTGTCACAATTTAATTGCCTATAAATACACACAGGATGACGTCATCATGACGTCATCATTACACAAGGTTGTTTGAATTATGGTCTTTGCTTGGACAAAGATTGGTGCAAATGAATTACTGGCAAAGAGTTAAAAATGCCCTTTGAAAATCGACAATTTTTTTTCGATTTCTGTGTACAAAGTCTATGGGAAAAATTAAATATTCAAAATTCTATAATAAATTAGTCGATGACGTCACGATGACGTCAATGTTCGGCACAACACTTCAGATGATGGTCTAAGTGTGTGCCAAGTATAAAGTCAATCGGATTGATTTTAGTGCCCAAAGTGCCGGTGACAAAAAAAACGTGTACAAATGCTATGGGCAAAATGACTGAAAAAGAAAAAAAAAAAAAAAGAAAAAAAAAAAAATCTTAACGAAAACAAAGGCTGTTTCGGCAAAAGTGCCGAAACAGCCAAAAATGGCATCCTTGGGAATAAGGTCTACAGATATGCTAAGAAAATTATCATGAAATCAACCAATTTTACTCGTACCTGATGTATCTAATTCATCTCTGGATTTGGACATGTTAGCCTGCTGGTTGATGGGTTCAATCTGTAACGATAATCTGTCAACAACAACAAAAGAAAAAGGGCTGATTTAAAAGTTGAGCAAAGATATTGACTGGAGTAGAATTTGAACCTGCAACCTTCGGATTACAGTTCCGGTGCTCTACCAACTGAGCTATCCAGCCCTATGTTGGTGGTTCCCTATTTTGTCAATGTCTTTGTTCAAGGGGCGCTAGTCAGAAGCCATAAACCTGTATATGCCATGCAGCCAGGGATCACGCCCAAAGTCACGATGCTAGCAACATTAGCAATGCTGCAAACCTGGGAACTAGCAAACGGGGATCACTCAGAGAGGATACGCCAGTAAAAAGTTGTTGCATCTTGTTGCATTTAGCAGGGTAACTGCTCATAGTGTTTAAGGTGAAACAAGAGTATCCACTGTTGCATTTGGTTGCATTTAGCAGGGTAACTGCTCATAGTGTTTAAGGTGAAACAAGAGTATCCACTGTTGCATTTGGTTGCATTTAGCAGGGTAACTGCTCATAGAGTTTAAGGTGAAACAAGAGTATCCTCTGTTGCAGTTTGTTGCATTTAGCAGGGTAACTGCTCATAGTGTTTAAGGTGAAACAAGAGTATCCACTGTTGCAGTATGTTGCATTTAGCAGGGTAACTGCTCATGGTGTTTAATGAAACAAGAGTATCTTCTGTTGCATTTGGTTGCATTTAGCAGGGTAACTGCTTGGTGCCAAGGTTGGTGTGCACTGGGTTCACTGCACAATGCAACATAATCCACTGTTGCAGTTTGTTGCATTTAGCAGGGTTCTCATTTGAGTTGAGGTGGAAAATGTTGCATTTAGCAAAGGTACCTGAAGAATACCTGAAAGGGGTTAGGTCATTTGTTTCAACGAATTACTTTTGATGAATTTAAGTTATCTTTGTCAAACATCCTTGAAACTGATATTTTGATACCATGTAATAACGGACCTCTGCACAACAAAGACACAAAATTTGCTTACTTGTAATTATCTTCTTCGACAAATTTCTGCAGCTCGTCGATGTACCGGACAGATTTTAGGTAATTCTGGACGTAGGGAAGCGGCTCTATCTCACACGTGGACAGCTGAAACTCTGCTATCGTCCGTAAGACGTTGTTCATCTGGAAACACAAAGCGACATTTGTAAAAAAACTGTGCAGTGCATGTGCTTAACAACATTGTAGTGACCTCTTCTTACAACAACAGTCTGTTATGGGAAATGTAACATTTTTGTGTTAATTAAGAAGCTTTCCTCTGGTATACAGGGTGGTTTAAAAAGAAAAACGGAACAGCATACTTCCACTACCTTGAGACTCAAACCACCTGTACCAATTGATGGCGAATCCTTTTAGAAGAATTATGACACCAAAATCTCCTGATTCGTCCAGTAGTTTTTGCTGCAGAGCCTATTTTGTGAAAAACACTTCTTTCATGTGGGTATTATTACATAACAATCCCTCTATCAATTACAATGTAAGTCGAATTCCCGGGCACGGTTTAGTAATTCATCGGGACAACAATGACCCCACCTTGCTTCACAAAATAGGCTCTAGAACAAAAACTAACGGACCAAATCAGGCAATCTTAGTTTAACAGGCATGCAACTGGGAATTTAGAGAGAAACAAGTCAGGTGTGTTTACAAACACAAATGCCCCGCAACGGTGACAGTTCCCATGACATAACACCACTCTTTTAACATCAACTTACATGTACCTTGGTCACATGGAACATTCATTGACAGCATTAGTGTCTTCTGTAGGTTTTATATGAATTAATCCCTAATCCCTATAATCTCAGAATAAATACATGATTTCTATTGTTTTAGCCACTGTGAACTTGACCCTTGACTTTTTGGCCCCAAATTCAATAGGCTTCTTAGGATTACCAAGAACAATCCACAAACCAAATTTGAAGTTCACATGTAAAGTATTTCTCAAGTTATCGCGCTGACAAGATTTCTATTGTTTTAGCCACTGTGAACTTGACCTTTGGCCTTTTGGCCCCAAATGCAAAAGGCTTCTTAGGATTACCAAGAACAATCCACAAACCAAATTTGAAGTTCATATGTTAATTATTTCTCAAGTTATCGCGCTGACAAGATTTCTATTGTTTTAGCCACTTTGAACTTGACCTTTGGCCTTTTGGCCCCAAATGCAAAAGGCTTCTTAGGATTACCAAGAACAATCCACAAACCAAATTTGAAGTTCATATGTTAAGTATTTCTCAAGTTATCGCGCTGACAAGATTTCTATTGTTTTAGCCACTGTGAACTTGACCTTTGGCCTTTTGGCCCCAAATGCAAAAGGCTTCTTAGGATTACCAAGAACAATCCACAAACCAAATTTGAAGTTCATATGTTAAGTATTTCTCAAGTTATCGCGCTGACAAGATTTGTCCAGACACACACACCCACATACACACCCAGACTTGTTTCACATACCTAGTGTGGACTTTCCTTTCTTTTCGTGTAGTTAAGGAACACCAGTGGAAAAACTCATTTTTCTCAAACTGTGAAAACTCTTACAACCCAATTTTTTTTCAATGATTCCCTTTAGTGTTTCTCTTCATTCTGCTACAGATAAACCTAACCCAAAAATGCCTCTAAACCTGTTTTCCAGAAATGGGGAAACACTGTGTGGACGTGGGCAAGTCCACACTTCGTCGCTGCTACCTACATTATGTGGACGTCTTTTGTTCGGAAGTCCACACTGCGTATGTAAGACAAGCTCACACACCCACACACACACCCACCCACCCACCCACCCACGGAAGGACGAGGCGGAAACAGTATGCCCCTTCGGCTTCGCCGCGGGGCATAAAAAAGAGGAAACTCCAAACCACACAAGACTTTGTAGAGTATTTTTCAATTTGTAATGGCATTCATGAGACATAAAAATTGAGGAAATCGGCAGATCCGAGGAAAAGTTGCATGCCTGTTGGTTTAATTTTTCTTCTAAAAAGATTCTCCACGCATTGGTATATGTGGTTTGAGTCTCGGGGTAGAGGAATTATGCCATTCTGTTGTTTTTTTTTACCAGCCAGTACAGTGTATAATGGACCACTCTGAGCTACTGCAGTCATTTGTTGCATTCCGTAAAACTTTCACAAAAGAAGAGTACAATATTGCTGATACTGACCAGCTGGGGGCACTCACTTTGTTATCAGAGGACTCTCATTGTTCTCTGTGGCATGTATTGGAGTGCCTGTCCAGTTACCCTTGAAATGACATGGCAGATATTGGAGGGCCATGCAAAAAAACATAGGAGATTTTCTTGAGGCACATATTGGCATGCGTTGGAGGGTCTAGTAGGGTAAGGGTTAATTAAAGAGGAGTAGAAAGTTGCACAAAATATGCTCCTAAAAAAAAATCATTTGATGGTCCTTTAACCGAACCTTCTGTAGAATACAGAAGTCAGCACTCTTCACTCTGACTGACCTTACGTGACCTCTGATTAACCTAGAGTGACCTCTGACTGACCTAGAGTGACCTCTGACTGACCTAGAGTGACCTCTGACTGACCTACAATGACCTCTGACTGACCTTAATTGACCTCCTTTCGCTCTCGATGCCGCCAGTACTTGGATGAGCTACATCTATGAATATGAGATCTTGGAGGTACAATCCTGTGGACATGAACACAGATTTGACACAAGTGTAAGATGATACAAAATTAAATGAAGAGCCACAAAATAAAATTTAATAATAGTGCAAGTAAAACTTGCGCGATCCTCCTGGCGTCCTGCCAGTTTCATGTACAGGCAGTTAGTAAGGACAATTTTCAGTGACGGCCTTGATTGTCCACCCGGCAGGTACCAGTTCTCAGTTGAATGGGGAGTTTGGGTTGAATGGAGAGTTTGGGTGAGACACCGGACTAACAAATGTTATTAGTATCTCTCCAGAGACCTCGTAAATATCCATATTGGAAAGGATTTTTTGACATCGGCCATCTCTCCACACACCACCTTTCAAGTATGGTTGAGATTGATGACTGAACTTTGCAGTGAAATGGAACAAACACACACATACAGGTACGCACATGCACACCGGCGCACAGAAGGGATACGCGATCGCAATGTCCCCCTGTCTGGCTTGAAAGCCAGGGGGATAAAAACTCGGTCTAGACTATAGACTCCGTGCACAAGTACCCCCTCAACAGTTACAAAGGGAGAGTTGGGGGGACCACTGGGAGGGACATTCAAACGCTGCCCATCGGACCTGACGCTCACGCAAAGATGCTTTGGGTTTGTTCACATTCAGAATAAAATAATTCCAGCGTACTTCACGTTGAGTTCACGCCATAATTCCCGCTACACTTCGCGCATGAAAATAATTCCTGCGTACTTCACGTTGACTTCACGCCATAATTCGCGCTACACTTCGCGAATAATTCCTGCGTACTTCACGTTGACTTCGCGCCATAATTCGCGCTACACTTCGCGAATAATTCCTGCGTACTTCACGTTGACTTCGCGCCATAATTCGCGCTACACTTCGCCAATAATTCCTGCGTACTTCATGTTGACTTCGCACCATAATTCGTGCTACACTTTGCGAATAATTCCTGCGTACTTCACGTTGACTTCGCCATAATTCGCGCTACACTTCGCGAATAATTCCTGTGTACTTCACGTTGACTTCGCACCATAATTCGCGCTACACTTCGCGAATAATTCCTGCGTACTTCACGTTGACTTTGCGCCATAATTCGCGCTACACTTCGCGCATGAAAATAATTCCTGCGTACTTCACGTTGACTTCGTGCCATAATTCGCACTACACTTCGCGCATGAAAATAATTCCTGCGTACTTCACGTTGACTTCGCGCCATAATTCGCGCTACACTTCGCACATGAACCACTGCAAGCACAAACAGTACACAAACGTGGTAAGTCCTTCCCACTTGGCCTCTCAATGCGCACTTTTTGATAAAGCTTCAGAGACGTCCAATGTTCGAGTTCTCACCTAGGTAGGGTATACAGGGCAGTCTAACGTTATCCATGTGCTCGCGTAGTCTCTGCCGATTGTCGTCCTCGGACATGAGGTCTGCTAGCTTCTCACACGTGGACCGCTCTTTCTTGTGGAGGAGCTGTACCCAGAGAAATATACAAGAACATTTGACGAGCGAAACTTTTATCTCAAAGTTGACACTGAGGGGGGACAGAGTTATCACATTTCACCCACAAACATGAGTGTTTCATTATCTTCAGTAAAATACTGAAAGGATTTAGTCAATAAACAAGTAAAATTACAACGACTTTATAAGTTTTAGGTAAAACTTAATTTTTGAACTACCTAAAGTTAAAAGGTTCAGAGAAGACTTTGAGAAAAGAACAAGGTGCAATGCCAAATATAATTTTTATCAAACCAAAATAAAATGATTTCCAGAAATATCTTGTCTCTCTCTTGTAACACAAATCGCTGTAAACACTCTGACCCCCACTTGAAAAATATTCAAAAACAAATCCAATAGTCCGACAAAAAGACTGTTTACAAAATTAATATGCCTGTTTTACTAAAACCAAAATATGGCCAGTTAAACTTGCGCGATCCCCTAGCAAGGTGACAGTATAAATTAGTAATCAACATTTTCAGTGTACCTCACCAAAATTAACATGACCTCTTTGACACCTAAATTATCTTTGACCTCAAATGTCTCGAGTCATCTGAAGTACCCTTATCCAAAGACTATTGTCACCAAGTTAGGTTGAGATTGAAGTCTGACTTTTCATATGACAGTACTAAACAGCTAACCTAACCAAAATGGAACAAACGGACACAGACAGACAGACGGACACACAGAGGGACACACAGAAGGCATACACTATCGCTAAATCCCCCTTCCTGGTTTACAAGCCGAGGGGATAAAAATTACCGTAAAATTTTGAATCAGTCAAGAGGGAAGGGCAAATTGTGGAGTTGACTTACGTTCCATGTTTTACTTAGTCTGAAGATAGGTGCGCTGTGTAGCGCTGAAATGACGGCCATGAGTGAATGGTAGTTGTTCAGCTCAAATAGTTTCTGAAATCAGACAAAAAGAGCAAATGTGAGTTTATTTAAAATAGTTAGGAGTAACGACTGGCAAATACACATGTATGGAAATGGTTATTTTAAAATTAATTTGGTAATGAAACCAAGGATTCCTCAAAGCACCCCAGGCACTGTAGCTCACAAGCCTGACAAAACCAGGGGAGAGAAGACAATGAGAAGAATTTACAGTTTTAGAGGTGGGAGGAAAACCCCAGAAGAATATTCTGAGGAAAACCCACGGAATCAGGTAGGGACTGAAAACCCAATCCACATATTGACTCAGGCGGGATTCGAACCTGGGTCAAAGAGGTGGAAGGCGAGGAAAGTACCGCTACGCCAACCTGACTCCAGGGACATTTGAACGCATTGCCGACAATGCCAGACGCTCACACTATGACTTTTGGGTACACTCAGAACAATATCAATCATACGTATGCTCACGCGGTGTGTACAGTCCACAGGCTTCTCGAAAGTGGTAAAAAGCGCCCTCCGTTGTTTGCGCGAGGGCACAAATGCGTGTGTTACTGTTGACTATAGCAAAGTACTTTGGAAGTGGTCTTACTTTAAAAATGATGAACGCTGAAGGAGAATCTTACCTTTGCAATTTTGACAAACTGTCCCAAGATTTCAGCCCTAATTTTCAGCGTCTGCCCGGCGAGGATTTCATGAACGACCCAGAAACTAACCTGGAGGACACAGAAAATTGAAATTGCTTAGGGAAAAACGTATTAACATTTAATACCGCATTAAACCAGACAATGTATTCCTAATTGAGCTGGACCAAAAGTCTCAGTTTAGGACATTAGTTATACTCAGTGAGCGACTCAGTTAGTGACTCAGTGAGCGACTCAATTTGTGGATCAGCCAGTGACTGAGTGAGCAACTCAGCAAGTGACTCAGTTTGTGAATTAGTGATTCAGACAGTGACTCAGTTTGAGAATCAGTCAGTGACTCAGTGAGCATTTTGTTAGTGAATCAGTCAGTGACTCAGTGAGCAACTTGCTAGTAAATCAGTAAGTGACTCAGTGAGTGACTCAGCGAGTGACTCAGTGTGCGCCTCAGTTTGTGAATTAGTCAGTGACTCAGACAGTGACTCAGTTTGTGAATCAGTCAGTGACTCAGTGAGCATTTTGTTAGTGAATCAGTCAGTGACTCAGTGAGCGACTTGCTAATAAATCGGTAAGTGACTCAGTGAGTTTCTCAGTGAGCGACTCAGCGAGTGACTCAGTGTGCGCCTCAGTTTGTGAATTAGTCAGTGACTCAGTTTGTGAATCAGTCAGTGACTCAGTGAGCATTTTGTTAGTGAATCAGTCAGTGACTCAGTGAGCGACTTGCTAATAAATCGGTAAGTGACTCAGTGAGTGACTCAGTGAGCGACTCAGCGAGTGACTCAGTGTGCGCCTCAGTTTGTGAATTAGTCAGTGACTCAGTTTGTGAATCAGTCAGTGACTCAGTGAGCGTTTTGTTAGTGAATCAGTCAGTGACTCAGTGAGCGACTCAGTTTGTGAAATAGTGAGTGACTCAGTTTGTGAATCAGTCAGTGACTTGGTGAGTATTTCATTAGTGAATCAGTGACTCAGTGAGCGACTCAGTTAGTGAAGCAGTCAGAGACTCAGTGAGCGACTTGTTAGTGAATCAGTCAGTGACTCAGTGAGTGACTCAGTTAAGCAGTCAGAGACTCAGTGAGCGACTCAGTTTGTGAATCAGTACGTAACTCAGTAGGGCGACTCGTAAGTGAATCAGTCAGTGACTCAGTTAGTGAATGAATCAGTTACTCAGTGAGCGACTCAGTGAATCAGTCCATGATTCAGGTCAGTAACTCATTTTGTGACTCAGTTTCTCGGGGAGTCAGACAGTTACTCTGTCAGTCAGTAACTCAGTTACTCAGTTAGTCAATAACTCAGTCAGAGGACAGCAACCCAGTCAAATGTCCCTATTGCTGAATGTCAACTTGAGCTTACATGATTAAATCTGCGAGTGAAGGCGACGATGTTGGGACACAGGTTGTTCTTGTCTTTGCCTGACCAAGCACAGCTGCTTAGCTCCTGAAACGGGAAAAGATCAAAAACAAGGAGTGAAACAAGGAATATCCAAAGGTTTGTATCAAAGTCAGCCTCCTCAAGATGGGCAGAGCATACTGTCTGAAATGTTCAGTTTTTGATCAGTCGTCCTCAGAAAAACATAATCTGAAAAAAAGAGACTGTATTTCACAATGCAACTGCTAATTTTTTATTTTTTTTTCAATCTAATAACATTTATTTCCATGAAAAGCAAAAAAGAATTCAATTAAACATGAGAACAAGTGGAGATTTTTCATTAACAGTGAGCAACGCAATAAAATTGGGGCCTGATCAGATTTGGAATTCCTTTTGATTCTGCTACCGGTACGTGAAATAAATCTACCCAGAGCATAAATATTCCATCTCTGAAAGATCAACTCTTTGACGGCAAGGGCCAGATGCACTTTTTTTCACACGTCATTCCCAGGATGCAGAGGGATTGTGATAAAATAGAAATTCCAGATGCTTTTCATGCGCGGTCATAAATAAAAATTTCTCAGATTTAAATTTACGCCCCAGTTCTGGCAGATTTATAGCCAATGCAAGGCTTTTCACAAGTTGACATGAGGTTACTGGCATTGGTAAAATAAATTAATTAAGTAGGCAAAATGTGCATGTAGATAGATCTATACATGTACACAACACATCAAAATGAATAAATTTATACCATTAGAAATTTTCAGAGTGGGATTTGCTATTCAGTTTTCGGCAAGAAAAGGTCCGAGACTCCTAGTCTGTTATCTCCTTGACCAAATGTTAGGCCTACTAGATGATGGATATCGTTTCGGTTAGCGGTAACACCATGTGGTAATAACTACTGCTTAGAAGATATTAGTTCTGAAAAGAACTTGTCCTGCTTATTATCAACTTTGCTAAGTAGTTTTTTGTTCTGATAAGAACAGTCCTGCTGTAAGTTCTAAACGAACTTGTCTTTGGTCTCGAATTTTCGACTAGCCTGCTCTAGTCATCGTCAGGAGACTGAAGATAGTTGGAGATGCTACTCCTTAAAGTAGGATTTGTTAGGATTGGGAGTGCTTGCTGGGCATGCCCTGCTCGCTCGGGTGTGTCAGTTGGTTGTGAGCCTTGGGCATTGTGTTGAGGGATGCCCGCTGAGCGTTCCTGCTCGCTTGACTGTGTCAGTTGGCTGTGAGCCTTGGGCATTGTGTTGAGGGATGCCCGCTGAGCGTCCTGCTCGCTCGACTGTGTCAGTTGGCTGTGAGCCTTGGGCATTGTGTTGAGGGATGCCCGCTGAGCGTCCTGCTCGCTCAGGTGTGTCAGTTGGCTGTGAGCCACGAGTGTTGCAACTTGGAATAACTGAATGCCATATGTGGCTTATGAAGTAGCCGATATCTTGTGGGACAGTGTCATGTTTGTGGATCTCAATAGCTTCTCTGATACAACGGGTGTATGTATAAGATGAATAAGATAGATGATGGATGTATAAGATTCGAAAAAAAATACATTTTCACAAAAGCTCTGTCCCGGTTTAATTATAACTAACTGACTGACTGATAAAGTAACTTGATACAGCTGTGCCTTGACTGTCGGTGATGGATAGACCAGCTGTGCACACAACTTGTCTGCTTTTTGTCTGACTGAATTTGACAAGTCATAGTGCTGGCTTAAAAAAAATGATCTGACTGTTGGTGACTAGCCTGTGTAAAAGGCATGGTAGGGGAAGTGGATGGAATTTTTGACTGTCTATGACTGTTTAAACAAAGAGGTCATAAATGGTCAAACTTATCTTCCTCACCTCCTGGCATACTGTGTACAAACCAATGGGGGTCTTGACCAATATTGACCCAGGTAATAACAAGGCTGACAATGCATGTTTCCATAGGAGAGTTTTAATGTACCGGTATTTTAATTGGATCTTAAATAACTTGAGGGTTTATTGCTCAATATGCAAGGCGCACTAGATCAATTTTACTTGGAAAACGCGCGGCGGAAATGTCATTATTATTATTGTTATTGGGTAGATGAAATTGGGTAGATGTCGGCAATACAGTGTTTACGTTACAGTGATACGATGCAACTGTACCCTCCACCCCAAATCTCACAAAGTATATCCACGTACTTATAAAGGCGGGATATGTTGCACGTTCGCAGCCAATACACCAGATTACATATGGGTTACTCCATGAAGTTCGGGCAAAAAGTGTGACATTGGGTCAAAGTTCCCAAATGTTGATCTGAATATTGTTTTTGATAGCTCAACTACTATATTTTTAGGAAATAGTATGCTTTTTCCCCAAAACATAAAACTGAATTTGTGGTTGATCGTTATATTCATGATGGGAAATTCAAAATACCTATGCTACATGGACACCAAATCTAAACAATTGCTCTGAACATTTTTTAATGGGTTAGGTTATTTGTCAGTTTTCTTGTTGTTTAAGATTAACTTTTAGGGTATAATCAAAGGAAAAAACAAATGGTTCAGCAGATGCTCAAAAAAAGTTGATACAACCCATTGTAAATTGAGGCTTTTTGTTTAATTTTGACAAAATTGTGCTTGTTTGGAAAAAGTAACCAAATCAGCTAGAAGAGATCTAAAATAGCATTTATGAGTAAAAGTTTGACTTAAATGACACAGTCAGTGAACCACCTTTCTAAAATGATGTTCAAAATGTATGCCTTTGCTCGTCGTGCTGAGCAATATGGCTGACAATGTGTCAATTTTAGCTATGCTACATGGACACCGTGTCCTGTAGCATAGGTAGAAAACAGCACAATTTATCCAGTAATTAACTGAAAATTAAACAAAAAATGGCTAAATCATGTTTTATGGCAGTGGACATGCAAACCGAATACAGAAGCTGAATTTTGGATACATAATTTGGATGTATGTATGAATTATAGAGTGTGGAACAATACCTATGCTACATGGACACCGTGTCCTATTTATCAATTTTCACTTTAGAGGAGCAAACCCTTATGTAAAATAGAGTTCATCTGTATCTGATTGTTATTAATTTATTGTAATTAACCACTCTCTTGGTTCTAACATTAAAAAAATAATGTGTCTACAATCATAGCTTCACAACTAAAGGAATACTCTCTTACCTATGCTACATTTTCTACCTATATGCTACATCTGGACACCACGCTATATTTTGGAAGATAAATCTTCATTGCTGAAGAACAATTTTGCAAAGCATGTTTTATTTTGAATATCCATCCAATTACTATTTATCAAAGGTTAAGATGTGTCAGTATGTGTGGAGGTATTTCAGCTTGAGGGGTTTCTTTAGTTTGAAAATACCGATGCTACATGGACACCATTTCAAAAAATGATACTTTTTCTTCTTGCATCTTATAAACAGCAGGAAGTTTGGAGAATTCAACTTTTTAAAAACTCAACTTGGAGTGAGTTGCACATATTAAAATCAAAATCTTTCAGATACAGTGTACTGTATGGAGATAGCAAGCCTTAGTACCTATGCTACAGGACACAAAAAGTGTGGACACCAAATGTAGCATAGGTAACAGAATTTTCACATGCATGTAATATCAACACGAGCAGCTTTTGTACAATTTTATGCATAGATATGGGTGAATATGACTTTAATCTAATAGTAAATTGCTTAAAAGGATTGATCAGTTGGCATTTTTGCAACAAAACAACAACAATAAAAACACATGTTTCTGTTAATTTAAATGTCACACTTTTTACTGACATTTTTAGTGGTTTTTGCACACATTTTGCCCAATAAAAATTATTTGAGGGCAGATACAGTCCTAGTTTGATTTTATTTTTAAAAGTAACATCATATCCTTTGAGGAAAATGTTATTTTGAAGGATTTGAAAGAATAATTTTTTTACAAATTGATAACAAAGAGAGTGATTTCAGCATTATCAGCTATTATTCCAACTTCATGGAGTAACCCATATACAATGCCCATGGGTAAACTTTTAACAAATTACTGGCACCGCTTGCCTGTACTGAGAACCCAATCAACGGTTCACAAATAACAGAAACAAAGTGCTGCAGGGCTTTCGTTCACACTTTCACAGACCTGGGTAATTAGGCGGGCCAAATTGTTATTGCGAGGGAACACTGCTATACCAAAGGTCAAAGTCGTTCGTGTAGCTTATCCTCCGGCATTTTGGCTTTCGAATCACAAGTTGAAAAAAAAAGTCAGATAGGCGAAGGAAAAGTCAGAATCTATCAAAAAGTATTTATTTGTTTATTTGAGCTGCTTTGAGTGTTTTAACCCTCCTACTGTTTTAACAGTCACAGACAGTCAAAACTTCCATCCACTTCCCTTGACATGCCTTTTACACAGGCTAATCACGAACAGTCGGATAATATTTCAAGCAAGCACTGTGACTAGTCAAATTCAGTCAACAGACAAAAGCTGGAAACTGGTGAGCACAGCTGTCTTATCCATCACCTACAGTCAAAGCATAACTGTATCAAGTTGCATAAACAGTCATAGCCAGTCAATCCTACTCTACGTACAGAGCTCTTAACCATTAAAAACACGGCCACTTTACTCATTTTGACTGAAAGGACAACTTTGCAGAGGATGGTTAAAGACATCATTTGCTTTTGCTGTAATTTTCAGAAATGGATGGAATTGGGGGGTTGGAAATATATAGCAAATATAGTTACACTGACTTTTTTGAGGTTTTGGGTTAGAAAATGCTATAAAAACCAAGAAAAACAATCATTTTCCTGTAGTCTGGTTCCCTGACTCCATATAAGAAGAAACAGAGCAGTGTACATACATTGGGGAATTGTAAGGTCAGGGAACCAGTCTAGCTGGCTTGTACCCGTTCATAGGTGTGTAATCGATTGCAAACAAGTGCGATGGTCAATTGGGGCCAGTATTTGAAAAAAAAAGCCAGTTTTTTCCAACGCTGGTCGGCCGACCAGCGTTGGAAATTGATACAAAAATACCACTTTTCTTGAAAATGACAGTTTACCAGGTGCCATGATTTCACAGGATGCATAAGATAGTATTATTAATTTAATACAGTCCATTATTATTTCATAATAATTTGGTAGTTATGTTTGTTGAGATTTGCAAATGTTGAATATTACCACTAAGAGGAAACGTATTATTGATTGTAGCACTGTTGCTCCTTTGTATCAACATAAAGCAGGATTCTTTCACGGGAAAAAATATTTGACCTTTTTCACGTTCGAATTACATGTTGAAAGGGAAAGAAATGCTGAATTTTGTACTGCGCATTTCCTGGTTGCAACTCTTTCAAAGGATTTGATTTTCCCAGTGTAACAGTTAATAAGTACAACACAATGACTTTGGAAAGTGAACATAGATGCAGAACAACATCACAAACACTGAAGAATGTCTTGAAGATATTGTGACATCAATTTTATAGAAACTGGACACAGCGTTTGTGCATGGTGTCATTTTCAATGCTGGGTACGGACAATTCTTTTGTTTTCCATAAATGATGTACCGGTATAGTGCATAAGAAAGTGTGATAATCTGCACTCATTTTTGAAATCATAATTATGCCACACTTTTCCTAACTGCTGTAAAACTTTTGAATATTTACTCATCATACATGTAAATTAAATAACATAATAATAAAATTACCGGGAATGGGACATTAGGAAGACTTCCCCATAGACTTGTGCGCAAAATTTTTTTAAACTTAAATGTGCCCTAACCCAATATTCCCTTGTCCTTTTTCCACAAATTTCGGTATCTTTACTGACCACGAGCAACAAATATAACCTAACTGCGACAACAAAATTTTGCCTTTAAAGGGGGGTTGTGCCATTAGGGAGACAGTTATGTGTCTCCCTAATGACCGGTGTCTCCCTATTATGGAAGAAGTTACGATAACGTGTCTCCTTAATCAGTTAATGGTACAGTTAGTAATATAACCGTATTTATAAAGCGCTTTTCCAAGGGATAAATGTGTAAAGCGCTGGGGGAGAATGCAACCAAAGACAGGTAAATAAAGTATATGAACATATGAGACCCATTATGTAGCACCTTTTTGGTATGTGCTGCTGCGCATATTGCTGCACAATTCCACGAGCCAATCGAATTAAATACAAATTGGTCATTGTAGTCGGAGAAAATGGGGGAAGGAAGAATATAACACCCCCTCCCAATTTTTTTTTTTTTCAAAGACAGCACTTTTCGTTTAACTCACCTCTGGGGTAATGGATTTGAAGACGGGCAGATCCATTAGCGTTATCTGGTTCTGAAATGAAATAACACAATCATTGGACTTTAACACAAAGGAAAACCCAAAGAATTGATTTGCTAATTAAAAAAAGTAACTTAGGACACTTACATACGTGTACGTATTTTGAAATGCCTAAAAGCTAGGGGTTGTGTATCGGATCCAGGTACCCGAGTACCCGACCACAGATGTCAGGAACCGGTTCCAGATTATGGGATCGGGTACCCGTACTAAACCAACTTTACAAATTACTTAGTATTTTTCTCAGACTATGAAAAGAAAAAGGTTTTGAATGCCACTGATGGGGAAAAACAAAACAAACACCACATTGATGTGCATTTCAACACGACAAAAGACGCTCATGGAAGTTGCAGATTAAGCTCTTTCGACAAGTTCCGGGATTTTGAATTTTGGGGTTGGGTTTCTTTTACGGGTACCCAGGTATCCGTGATTTACTTCAAACGGGTACCCGGATCCCGTACTAACCATAAATGCACACCACTACCAAAACCTTGTTAGCAACACGTCACCCATGTATAGAAACTCACAGGCATTCTGTCCTAGGCCGAGTGTCTTTCCTTTGTCTTTTCCTTTGAGTAACATTTTCTCAATCATTTAATCAGCAAGTTTTTGGTAATTTCACTTCACCCGCATTTGATCAATCTCTATATATTTGTATGAAAATGTAACAGCCTGTGGCTACATCCGAAATTTCTTGACTACGGCTTGCAAATTTTACAGATGTGGCTATGGAACCGGTTCTAGCCACTTCCCATAGATTTGTGTGTAACGGCTAGCTGTAGCCATTTCATTCGGACACAGCCTCCGACAGTGAGCATACTTACAGCTAGGTCATCTGGCATGACCCTGAGCACGTCAAACACCACGGCGTCATACGTCTTGAGTCTAGGTAACGTCCATCGCCCGCTGTCTGCTGCTTCTCGCCCGCTCAACTGCAGATAAACAAAAAAACAAGACATGGCAAATTAAAGCAGGTCCCAGAGTGTACGAAATTCTATTGGATCGATTCAGAATGGACTTCTCTGGAAGTATTTCACGTGTGGACGTACGCAGCATAACGCACATGTATATATTATGTACATAAATTGAAGGTTGTCACAACTCTCTCTGTTTTTAGTTTACGATGGGCGGGATCGGAGGATCTGAGCTAACGTTGTGCATCAGGTCAGGTTGACCAGGCCAAACCGATCCGAAACATTAAAGATTTAAACCGAATCTGAACTGAAGCCTATCTTAACTCCCCAAATCCGACCCAGCCTGACAAAAAGTCAAGCAAAAACAGACCCCAACCGACACGGGAAAAAAAAAAAAAAAATTCCTGAATATCTGGCTTGGGCAACTGTGTCTGCTGTTTGTGCCTGAACTTACCCTACCTGCATCGCGAGAAAATCGTCATCTCTCTGTAAAGAATCATATCGTACGGTACGATGAAAACTCATAACGTGGCCTACTGGTGGGCCTACACATTATAGACTGTGCGTGATAGACTGCAAACAGCATGCACATTCACGCAGTGGGTTGACGTTAGTCGTACCAAGCACAGTAACTCTTTTTCCCGATTTAATGTCGGGTTTTCCACAAGATGGCTTAATACCAACCTGACCCGAAAAATCGCAAACGCAAAACCAAAACCGACCCGACCCGACTGAAATGATGGACAAACCGACCCGACCTGACCCGAAGTCAGTTTGGGGTCCAGGTCGGTTTCGGGTTGGGTTGCACAACATTAATCTGTGTTATTGACCTATCGCCGTTTGCGAGTTAGCCACGCCCCTTAGACAACCCTAAGTTTTGTTTGTCTTAAGCCCGGTTCATACTCCACGCGAATGCGAAGCGAATTTGACGTCATGAAGCATTCGCTGCGAAATTCGCCTGAGTTGAAATATGTTTAACTTTTACGAATTCGCAGCGTGAATACTTGCCATGACGTCACAAATTCGTGTTCGCTTTCGCTTTCGCGCCGAGTATGAACCGGGCTTTTGATTTTGCGCGTTCAGCGTCCATTTGTATGTAATTGGACAATATTTCACAAGCTGCGTTGACGCGATTCTAACGCGATTGGTCAATTGGTCATCACACTGCTCTACTGACTGATTGTGCCTTCATCAGTCAATTGTCTGCTGCCATCAGTCGATCACTTTTTCTTTCTAATTCGCAGCTCTGGAGGATTGTTGTTAAATGAAGGAAAGTAAATTCTCCGATTGCCTGCCGGATCAACCGATCGCAAAAATGTATTTCTGCTCAATAGAGCCACAGCATACATATTTTACTGCATTATTACTTTAGCATTACCATTGTCTGTGCATCTAACTGATCCTGAATGATTACAGCATCTGTCCTTGCGATACCCGTACTGCAAGTCTTCGACTGTTTTGTACAAGTGAAAGTATGCATACCATGGCCGATATCTTCCGGCAGGTCTTAAACAAAATGCGGGTGGGTGTGTACAAGCGGTAGTCTTTTATGCCGCTGTCAAAACAGGACCATGTCAATTCCGACCTATTACATTGTATGTTTACACATGGAGGAATAAAGATATGCGCATTACATAACTTCTGTTAGCGCAATCATGGAGGAAGAAACATGCTGGATATTGGCCTGATGTAGCAAACACTCATTTACATGTAACAGTACTTTCTGTGGCAGTGGCTGTGTGCATATGTAAGCTGGAGGTGAACTGATTATTAGGAACACAACAGGAAGAGAAATTCTTGGATTATCTCGCAATATAATCCAATCAACAGTAAAGAGTGACCCTGGAAAACTGACATACATCTTGTGTATACATACATGTACATGTCGGTACACTGTGTACGTGCGGAAGTGCAAGAATGCAAAAAGCAAGCAAATGTATACTATTAGACTGCCGTTGATATTTTGATGCATTACCCTCGTGATATTTAAACAGTCACAGACAAATTTTCATCCACTTTCCCTGCTACACTTTTAACAGATTATATGTCAAGCAAGTACTGTGACTAGTGAATTCAGTCAACAGACCATGAACAGACAAAGCAGGCAAGTTGCGGGCACAGCTGGCTTATCAATTACCCACAGCCAAAGCAAAGCTGTATCGAGTTTTAACTAAAACTCAACACACATTGGCCAATTCGGTTTTTTTTTTGAAAATCAGTATTCCAAGCCAAATTTGTTTTTGAGTATCATGTACATGTACCCACATGAAAATGTACGAGTATTGGCACTTGTATGTATAGTAGGCTACACTCCTTGTAGCTGGATCAACACTTATGAATTGGAAAATTCCAAATCATTTGAAACTGTTGTACACATTTAAAAAAAAAAAAAAACCCAAAGTTTAACCATGTCAGGCATGAAAATGAATTTCAATGAAACAACAGGAAACTTGGGCAGAAACAGGAAAAAGATTTGGAATCAGTCAAAAAATCCCCCAAACAGGCTCAAAATAAATAAAGCGCGGAAATCTGGGCATAAAAAACACAGGAATTCCTGTTTAAACAGGAAGATTCTCATGCCTGCCATGTAACGTAAACATGCGTGAGAAAAACAATGCTTCATTGCCACTAAAAAAATGTTTGCACTGTACATGTACAATTTACATAATGTACATGTACCCTTGGGGAAAAAGTCCTACACTGCTCACTAGTAAAATTATTTTCTTACAAAAAATTCCAAATAATACACCTGTACATGCATCAGAAAATAATTCTTGATTCCAAAAATATCTGTGTCTCCCTCCTCAGAAAAAAAATTCAACAGAGTGAGACAAGAAATTTTTTCTTGAAATTAGACCTTTTCTGAGTTTTAAGAAAACCATTTTTAGCAGTCGGTGTACAATGTATATGCCAAGCAAGAACAAGGTGTATGCTCGGAGGTAGGATACATGCAATGCACATGTACCGTACATGTGTACACCTTAAAAGCATAAAAAATTGTAACATTAAAAAAAATATTGAAAACTCACACACATCAGCAAGTTGATCATACTTCTATAAAAGCTAAGAATGACGACAACGCATAGTCAGGAATTGCAACTTGCGACACGGTAAGTTTGAGCTTGGATCTTTCAGCAAGTCGACCGCCCGGCCACTCCTTTGTATGGTTAAAAATACTTCGTGCAACTCCCAAATTGTTGTGAGGGTGGGAGGATATGGACGTTTTAGGGGAGGAAGTTGCGTATTAGTAATTCTCCTCGCTAAAACCTTGAGTAAGTCAAAAGCCGGTCAGACGAGACTGTTTCTATTTTCTCTCGTGGATTTAATCTCCGAAAAAAAGAAGTCAAAAGCGGGTCAGACGCGACTGTTCTTATTTTCTCTCGCGGATTTAATCTCCGCACGTTTCAGTGAGGTAGTTCACTGAAATACTGAAGAGGTTCCGAACATTTTAGTAAGTGTATAAAATTAAATTATATCCCAGGATGTTTTCACTATTGGGGTTGAGAACATTACTTTACGGGCAATTCAAGCATTATGTAATGTCCGTTACAGAGAGCTCAAGGAATAAACTTGAATTTTTTTTCAGATCTTTAAGGGAATGTACATCATTGGCTTTTGCTGTAATTTTCAGAAATGAACTACTTGAGGGGCTAGTATAGTAGGTCAAATATTGTTACACTGACATGTTTGAAGTTTTGTGTTCGAAAATGCTGGAAAAACCAAGAAAAACGCAAATGTTCAAGTAGTGTGGCTCCCTGACTCCACTACGGATAAAACGGATCAATTTATAGATGCCGGAAAATTGTAAGGTAAGGGAATCAGTGTAGCTGGCCTCCACCCGTTCATGAACATGTTACCAAATAGCAAACAAAATTTGGACTGAAAAAAAAATGGTAAATTTGAAGCAGAAGTTGAAAAATAGTTAGGTTTTTCCAACGGTGATCGGCCGACCACTGTTGGAAATGTATACAAAAATGCCAATTTCTTGAAAATGACTTCACATCAGGAGCCATAATTTTACAGGATGCTTTTGACTGTCATTTACCAACATCCAAGTATTGGTATTTCGTAAAAACTTGATATTTTTATTTTTCGATGTTTGCAAATGTTGTATATTCCCTTTAAACATCCATCATCTTAGTAATGGTCACGGAGATTACAGACTAGGAGTTTTGGATCATTTCTCTGAATCATTCATTAGATATCATGGTTAATTGGCTCTGTCATGAATATAACACTTCCTTTCATAGCACTGCAGGTAATGTGTATATGCCAAAGCCACCAGAGCATTTTCAAATGCACAGAGATTCCATTTTCCAAACACATATTTTTGAGCTGTGTAGCACTTGCAATGTGATGTTTATGCGTCCTTCCTGTTCAACGGTGACTTTTGGCCCATTTAGATTGTTTGTTTTGGATCCTGTTACAAGATCTCAACAACTGCAAATCTGAGGTGAAACTCAGCCAGTAGTGAAAGGAACAAATTATAGTCGTATTGCCGTCTATAATAAAGTTCACAAAAATTTTGTTTTTCCCCACAGGGATCTTGATTGCACTCTGATTTAATATAAAGTCTTTTTCATAATCGATTAATTTAATTTTGATGCAATGTAAAGATATCCATTTGTACAACGTGTGTCAATAAAAATGGCGAGGTCAATCCAGAAATATTAAAAATACTAGCACTCGCTTTTTGCACAACTCTGAAGGGGTAGTAAATACTGAACACAATGTTCTTGATCCCATCTCATTTGGAAACCCCAGTCCAGAGATACAGCTAATTAAATGAAAGGACTTGAATTCCAAGTTGGGCCGCTTGGTATCTAATGAAAGGCATTCACATACCAAAGTCCAGAGATACAGCTAATTAAATGAAAGGACTTGAATTCCAAGTTGGGCCGCTTGGTATCTAATGAAAGGCATTCACATACCAAGAAGTTGTGTGAATGACTTTAATTAGATACCAGGTAATCTAAAAAGTGGCCCAAACAGATCTTGAGTCTTTACAAGCTATGCCGTGACTTTTAAACAAAAGGTCCGAATCACACAGAACAATAATCCTGTCAAGAGTAAAGAAACACTCTATCATCTCCTGGTAATTTTTTTCCAAAAAAGAAAGAAAAAGATTTTGTTTCCTATTAAAGGGAATGTACAACATTTGCTTTTGCTGCAATTTTCAGAAATAAATGGATTTGGAGGATTAGCATGTTATACAAATATTGTTAAAATGTTTTTTTTCATGTTTTGGGCTTGTAGATGTTGGAAAAACCAAGAAAACCAATCATGTTCTTGAAGTCTTGTTCCCTGACCCCACTTAAGATGAAACGGAGCAATTTATAGACTTTGGGGAATTGTAAGGTCAGAGAATCAGTCTAGCAGACTTGTACCCCTTCACATGTGTGTAATCAATTGCAAAGAAAATGCGGAATAACTAATTATGAAAATCTAGAGCAGTTTTCTTAAAAAAAAGCCAGTTTTCTCCAACGCTGGTCGGCCGACCAGCGTTGGAAAAAATACCATTTTTCTTGAGAATGATGGCACACCAGGAGCCACGATTTTACAGGATGCTTTAGACTGTCATTCCCTAACAATCCAGTAAGGTATTTCGTGATAATTTGATAATTTCGTTTTGTGATGTTTGCAAATGTTGTATCTTCCCTTTAAATAAAAGGTTGTTTGACTGTTACCTGTTGGTTGACAAGGTTGATTTCTAAAAACCAAACTTGACCAGATTGTTGTACATACATGTACTGATTCCCTCAAGGACGCAAACCTACAGTTTTCGTACTGCATTGCTACATAAACAGGTACAGGACATGACTGATATTATCCTTGCATCATGGAATATTACACTGATCTCATCAAAATGAGAGCAGATTCATTGACAGTCAACGGCCATCAGCATTTTTCTCTTTCACGAAAATTAGCACAGAATGTGCAGGTATTGTTAACTGTGCGTACATGTACATTGTATGTTCTTGCAGATACGTAATACACTATCTGTGTGTATCATGGCCTTCGTACGATGAAATGTGAAAATGGGATCCAAAAATTCCCTGTTCTGTTAACGAATGCACTGGGCCCCCTTTCACAGTTCTGCTAACCACAGAATCCGTGCTTACGGTACGATCACCATTTTGTGTTAACAGCACTAACATAACATAACCATTATGCGCTAACCCTTTAAGCACAGAATCAAATAGTTATAAGATGTGCATTTCTAAGCCAAAATTCCTTGCTAACTAGTGACGTATGTTTGCTGTTAAAGCTATAGTCCATCATTTGCAGCCATCCGAAAAAGTAACTGGCGTATTATTGTTGAAAAACATACCCTTGGTTGAAAGATAGTAAGTGGACTAAACTTCCTGTGAAATTATTCTTTCTGGCAAGCTGTCATATTGAAGTAATCAAGGAAAGAAGGCCTTTCCATCTTAAGATGCACCGTAGGAAAATTTAAATTAGTAGTTCATTTTGTTATTTGGCGCAGCGCGCGCAAGCATTGGCACGACGCACAGGCGCGCGCGGTTGCTATAATTCGTCGGATCAGTGCGCGACATCGCGTATACAGTAGCTGCAATTCAAAACAATTCAAAACGTGATTCAGCAACTTTTGATTTGAAATTGAGATCCTAGAATGCTGTTTTTCTCGGAATATACACCTGAAGCTGAGCTGAAACTTCATCAGGTTAGTTGTTCAGTATCCTTTATTAGATTTTTGTTGCTTCAAATGCACAAAATGCACAAATTACAAGTGATGGACTATATCTTAAAGGACGGAATTTTTTGGTACAGTAAGCCATGATTTTTGGCTAACAGTACGCAGCTCTAGCCTTGAAACTGCACCATGCTCTGACAAATCTAGTTCCCTGACTGGCTTTCAGTCACCACTCACCCCTGTCAATGTGGATCCCCTTGATGAGGAGCTCTCCCCTCCATTAGTCAGATCCTCTACCGATGACGCCGACAGTTGCTGCTTGAGGATCTTGTGGTTCATAATCTGCGGAATCAAAAAGAATAAATAAATAACCAAAAAAACAAACTAGGTCTACCAGTACATACAATGTGTTGTTTATGCGTCCTTCCTGTTCAACGGTGACTTTTGGCCCATTTAGATTGTTTGTTTCAGATCCTGTTACAAGATCTCAACAACTGCAAATCTGAGGTGAAACTCAGCCGGCAATGAGAGGAAACAAATTATATTCGCATTGCCATCTATAATAAAAGTCATCCACACAGAGATACTAGTTATAGTGCCATGAACAGGGAAGATTCAGACCAGCTTTGATTTTGTTGTGAACATAGCATACGTATGTACTTTTCCTTTTTGCTTACATTGACTGTACACAGAATTCTGAAAAAGATATCCTACCGGGTAGCTTACAAATACAGTACAGTTATGATGTACAAAGTGTACACATAATTTGTAAGCAACAAATTGTACAATGAAAATCTCTATCCCTTCCCTTTTGCACTCTGTTAGCCCTATGCAACCTCAATCCTCAAAAATCCTCCAGGCCGCTTTGGAGGATTTGGGAGGATTGAGACTGAATGGCCAAACAGTGCCAGTTGATTTTGGAGGATGCACTGTGTCAAGTCGTAGGCTGTATCCAGAGATATGATCCAGCATTGTTTATATTCAGCCATGCATACTTGAGCCCTACATTATGCTTGATATCATCCGCACTGCTTCTGAATTTATGAATGTCATTGACACTACCTTGCACAGTCTAATAAGACTAAGAGTCAGCCTGGTTATTACTTGGGTCAATATTGGTCAAGACCCTCATTGGTTTGTACACAGTAGGCCAGGAGGTGAGGAAGAAATTTTGACCATTGGTGACCTCTTAAATAGTAGTAGGAGGGTTAACAGTGATTGTTGGAGAATTTTGAAGGATTGAGGCAATGGTTACAACAAATTCAAGAAATAACGGATGATTTTGGAGGATTGAGACTGAATCCAACTTGACAATGGTGGCATTTCAGAGGATTTCGCAGGATTGAGGACAGCTCCTAGCCAAATGGGCCTAGGGTTAATAATTAAGATATTTTAAACATTTCAAAGATTTTAAAATGCCAATGCAGGTTCACTGATAGAAGTCTATTGATCATTAAGCGAAGTTATTAAATTTTAGGTGGGAACCTGAAAAATTTCAGACCTTAAAATTTATTAACAAATAAATAAATCATCAAAATAAATATTCACAAAATCAAAAACTGACAACTTACCCTTAATTTTATCTACAAAGCTTGGAGAATTCCTTCGGTGGCTAAACAGTCCATTTCGCTGGTCTCGATGGAATTCCGATAAGTGTTTGGCACAATGTTAACAGCAGTCACATTTTCATCAGGAGATTAAGCAATCCACTGGAATACGGAAACGTCAGCTGTGTGGAGAATATTTCATCCGTTTACATGTACTTCATGCTGCCTGATCAACTGACAACGCACGGGTTGAATTGCTCAGCAGCCACAGAAGGTCGCGGGGAGGTCACGGCTCATGAATAATGTATGAGTCTGTCTAAATGCTGGTTGTGATGGCATCTGGATGAGAGAGAGACAGAAGGAATAAAACCAGACATCAGCATTCAGAGCATTTCTTGAACGTTCCCTTGAGAGTCATAAACAGTACTGCGCAACCTGGGAGCCAGAGGCTCCTTGTGTGAAGGATTCTGTGATGGCCATATTTAGTTGTCAGATTTAAGACTGCCATCTGTCAGAATGTAAGACTGTAAAAGATGCCATTTAAGTAGAAGAACACAAGAATATCATCTTGTACATAATTTAAAAAAAAAATAATTTCTGGTAATGGAACCAATGATTCCTCAAAAGTGCCCTAGGCACTGTGGCTCGCAAGCCTGAAGAAACCTGTAGAGAGATGACAATGAGAAGAAATTACAGTTTTAGAGGTGGGAGGAAAACCGCTGAAGAATATTCTGGGGAAAACCCACTGAATCAGGCAGGGACTGAAAACCCAATCTGCATGTGGGCTAGGGCAGCAAGGGCGGATCCAGGGGGGGGGCCAAAGGGGGCCATGGCCCCCCCCCCCCCAAAACGAAACCAATTTTTTTTTTTTTTTATGTGACATCGCAATAAAGGCAGGCAATGAGTACACCACCATCTTTTCCTCAAAAAAAATTGGTTAAAGTGGTCAGAAATTGCCTCAGATCGCACCACAGAGCATCTAGAATCCAAAAATTTAATAATTTTTTGGACCCACTTTTTTGGGGGACAAAATTTTTTTGGCCCCCCCTAAAATTGTGTTCTGGATCCGCCCTTGCAGGACAGGAGTCGAACCCGGGCCATAGTGGTGGAAGGCGAGGAAAGAACCACCGTGCCTACCTGCAATATATATGTCAACAAGATACATGTACACATATAAGTTGTAACACAAAATTACAAAAAAAATCCATAAAAAAAAATTCCACTAGCAAAATGTAAGAATGTGACTTACGTATGCAAACAGTCTCCCCTAAATAAATAGTCGTGAGAAGGGTGCTATTGTACACTTTTAGTTAATATAGTGTGCCCGATTGTAGGATTTTATCAGCGCTCCCCATTGAAAATATGGCATTAGCCCGCCTCCCCCCCTCCCCCTCCCCCCCCCCCCCCCCCCCCCCCACCAGCCATTGATTTTCGGAGGCCAAAGTGTCTGGATAAAATAACTGGTCTACATTTCAGCACGCCTCCCTGAAAAAAATTATGGATCCAACCTGCTAGGCCCCCCCCCCCCCAAGAAAAGTATAGGCTCTAGAACCGCGCCTGAAGGAATTATGAAACGGCTTGAAAAGGTACAATTGGTGTGTATGTAGTGTAATCTCAGTTGTACGCAACATACACTACATGCATGTTGTACATTTGTAAACATCACACAAGATAATACTACTATTACAGAATCAACTACACGTAAACTGCACTAAATGATAATGCAACATACATGTACATGTAAACAGTCACATACCGGTACATGTTAACATCACACTGATAACTGAATACTACTCACTTATTAACATTACAGAATCAACTACACATAAACTACATAAAATGATAATATGTATGTACATGTACCTACATCAAGTCATACAAAATACATGTACACTAGACGTGTATGCCAACGAACAATTACAGACGTGACCTGTGCAACGATAATACCCTCAATCATGCGTGAATACTTCAGATCCATAGATGATTATTCCCTAATCAAAATACCTGGTATTTCCCAACATTCAGTGACTGCAGTTTCAAAACTCTGTCTGATCAAATAAATAGCAAAGTTCTGGTTTTTTTCCCCAGTTTCTTTTAAACACATTTGTGGGAAAAACCCATAGCAATTTATAATCATGGGGTTGACCCATGAGTCATACTGTAAATAATAAAAGCGTCCCATTTTGTGGTACGTTTCACCGGTATGGTATGCGAAGTTTTTGTCTGTTTGAAGGACTTTGCACTATTCAACATCTAATCACGGGTGAACTTCGATCTCTGTGAGACTCCAATTTCTCGTTAAAATTCTACACTGAAAATCTCTATCTCGTCAAATCCTCCTTACTCTGAAGTGCAAATAAACACTCGTTGGTACACAGATAAGCTCTTCAGTGTTTTTTATGGTCTGCTAGAATATACTGGTTGTCCAAGTGGCACATGATGTGGAATATTTCAACTTAAAGGGAATGTACAACATTTGCTTTTGCTGCAATTTTCAGAAATAAATGGATTTGGAGCATTAGTATGTTATAGCAAATATTCTCGAAATGACTTGTTTCAAGTTTTGGGCTTGTAGATGCTGGAAAAAAACCATGAAAACCAATCATGTTCTTGTAGTCTGGTTCCCTGACCCCACTTTAGATGAAACGGAGCAATCATGACTTAGGGTCAGAGAATCAGTCTAGCAGGCTTGTACCCCTTCACAGGTGTGTAATCAATTGCAAAGAAAACGCGGAATAACTAATTATGAAATATTAGGGGCAGTTTTTGAAAAAAAGCCTGTTTTCTCCAACGCTGGTCGGCCGACCAGCGTTGGAAAAATACCATTTTTCTTGAAAATGACAGCACACCAGGAGCCACAATTTTACAGGATGCTTTAGACTGTCATTCCCTAACAATCTAGTGAGATATTTCATGATTATTTAATCATTTCATTTTGTGATGTTTGCAAATGTTGTATCTTCCCTTTAATTTTAAGCTAACCCTTCAAAATCCAACTGCATGTTTTGTTGGAATCTGTTGGAGCGAGTACTGCACTTGTCAACTGATTAAGCGGTACATGGAGTTTAAGACCTACCACAATAATCAGAGTCCAACAGTGTTGAGTTACCCATATATGGTGTTGGATTTTGCAAGGATGAGAACGGTTCCTAGTAGGCCTACCGGTACCTTTGGAATTAGGGTTAAAGATATAGTCCATCATTTGTAATTTGTGCATTTTGTTCGTTTGAAGCAACAAAAGTGCTCAAAATCTAAAGAAGGGTGCTGAACAACTAACCTGAGGAAGTTTCAGCTCAGCTTCAGCTGTATATTCCGAGAAAAACAGCATTCTAGGATCTCAATTTCAAATCAAAAGTTGCTGAATCATGTTTTGAATCGGGCCTGAATTCAGCGTCCGAGACACGTTCTCACTGAGCCGATTGCAGCTACGCAATGTCGCACACTGATCCTACAAATTATAGCAACCGCGCGCGTGCGTGTGCGTCGTGAGGACGCTTGCGCGCTTCGCCGAATAAAAAAAACGAACTACTAACGGAAATTTCCAACGGTGCGTCTTTAGATGCACCGTTGGAAAGGCCTTCTTTCGTTGATAACTTCAAAATGACAGCTTGCCAGAAAGAATAATTTCACAGGGAGTTTAGTCCCCTTACTATCTTTCAACCAAGTATGTTTTTCAACAATAATTACGCCAGTTACTTTTCGGATAGCTGCAAATGATGGACCATAGCTTTAAAGATGTGTGCTCTTTAACCCTCAGGTGCAAACAAACAGTCTGTACCAAGTTGTCTTTGCAGTCCAAATCACTGAAGTGACTGTTTTCAACAGTGAAGAGCACCAAGCGTATAAAGCAGGATTGACTGGCTGTGACTGTTAATGTTACTTGATACAGCTGTGCTCTGACTGTACATGTACCGTAGGTGATTGATAAGCCAGCTGTGCCTACCACTTGCCTGCTTTTGTCTGTTGATTGAATTTGACAAGTCATAGTGCTTGCTAGAAATTTGATCTAACTGTTGGTGACTAGCCTGTGTAAAAGGCATGGCAGGGGAAGAGGATTGATTTTTGACTGTCTGTGACTGTTCAGAGAGCAGGAGGGTTAAAACGTGTAACAATTGATCAGATGCTATAACCACACAGTAATGAACATAGACAAAGCAGGGGAACTCACCGCAAATTCAAGGACAATGAAACTTATGGTACCAGTTCCGGTATGTACTGTACATGTTTACATGTACATGAGTATATGTACACCTACATTTATTAGTGACAAAAAAAATAGTTTCAGATTGCTTCAGATTGCATGGCATTTGAAAATAGGGTAGGTACATGTACATTTGTACATGTACATTGTAGGTGGGGAATTTTTCCCCCCCACATTCCCCTCCCCCCCCCAAAAAAAATTAGGGTAGGGGCTGTTAAAATAGGGTAGGTAGGGTAACCAGAAGCAGAACTACATGTACATGTACATGTATAGTCGTGTTCCCTAACGTGGCGCACTTCGAAGCTTACCCGACTTTCCTCGTGTAGTGTTGCCAAACCTCTTTGTTGACAAACCTCAAATTTATGCAGTAAAATACTGGTGCTTTTACCTTATTATGCCTGTTATTTAACCTCTGTGATCAATTTCGGTTTCATAAAATTTAATCCGAAACTCAAAAACGGTGGCGTCCGGAAATTGGGCACAAATTGGTGGAGTGTTCCCTAACGTGGCGCACTTGAATAAATCTTGGAAAATTCAAAATTAACATTTAAGAATTTCTGTAAACTTGATAAATTCTGATAAATAATTATTATCTCTACTTAGATACCCAGCCAGATGTTTGTCAGAAAATAATTTTTCTTATTTTTCGGGGTATTTTCAAAGGGTTCACTTTGCACTTGAAAATAAAATCGGAATATAACGCCAAAATATATTTTTCTTTTAACTTTGTTACGGGTAAATAAACTCGCGATTTATGAACAGGAGTGTTTAGAACTTGATGAAATTTCACAGAAATTTCTGTGAAATTTCAGTTAAAACTTTTGCTCTAGGTAGGCGCTACAGGAGAAAAATCGAAGTGCGCCACGTTGGGGGCCGCGCCACGTTAGGGTACATCAACAATATTGGGTTTTTTTGGCCTTAGGAGACAATACCACAACATAATACATATGATACTGTACATGTACATACTGTACATGTACCGGTATACACTTTCAAAACTACCAGTGTATGCAACATTTACTGTATTCAAAGTCGATTGCACAGTATGGCTCAACGTGTTTACCGGTACATGTTTGTATCAACATAAACTGCCTTAAAGCTGCAAACTGTTAAAGTTACTTGGACTACAATGACTGCC